GTGTTTGTCGGAATGAACTCTAGCTTTGAAACTTTCACCGCGTTAAAAACAAAATAAAACCGGTCAATTATAATATTATGATAATTTGCAAGCACATAATGTAAAACAATTCCTCGCTGACTCGTACATTTTGAGTAACGGTAATTAATTGGGTACGAAAAAGTAAAACGAGTGCTTTTAACACAGATCTTCCGCCCCTGTACCGAAAAATGAATGAGAGACACCTGTATTTTTGGCATCCATCTGCCTACGGTGCCAAATGGTCAGTGCACCTGCAACCGGACGATAATTAAGAATATACCCTTATTGCGTATTATGTATAATATCTTATGTACAATTATTCCCTTGGGTTAAATATTATTTCACTCTTTCAACTCTATCTCTCTCTCTCTCTATCTCTCTATCAAACTCGATAACGTATGAGATTAACAGACTATAGAGCAGGTCGAGTTCTAGAATAGCGGAACGGTAGACGTTTAACGGCGGGTGTATATCGCCGTCTTTCCACCCCACTTATACGGAACGGATCCTTCGGTTTTTTTTTTTATCGTAAAACTCGGTTACCGGCATGCGGTATATAATTACACGTTATTATATTTGAGGATGTCACCAATTGGAAGGTACAATGTGTAACGCGTGTAAAGGATGTGCGCGCCGGTTGTATACACACACTGCATATAATGTAATATAGGAAGCGGTGTGCCAGGTGTAGCGAAAGGGGCACGTGCCACCCCGTCGTGCACCTGGATACATTGACGTCAGCTGCTGAATATCACTCTTATACAAACGTATAGTTATACATTAAAGCCATCACAACAAATAAATACATCCCTTCCTTTGGCCCAATTACTGGTGTACCACCCCAGTACGTTTACGTACCGGCAGTGGACGAAATTGATACGGAAGTTAAACCGCCTTTTAACTATACATAATGCATGTACTACAGTAGTTAAACGATATTGTTTTATGAACGGCTATACCGCCGACAAACGAAAACGGGTGCCTTGCGGTGATCGCCCATGGCCGACGACACTACTGGCAAGACGTTTACTTATTTTGTATTTACAGTTATACATCTATTTTTTGTTTACGCTCAATTTAGCCGCCAGTTTGTTTAATAGCGCACCGACGCCCTCCACCCTTTACCGCCTTGCAAATCAACAGTCGTCAACTATTATAGACACTATATCTACTATATGTATAGACACTAATTGCAGCCGACAATCAATCATCACCGTTGACTTGTCGCGATCCGTGATGTCGCACGCGACCCCAAAGTGTCATCGGAAACTGCCTCTCTCCACCCGGCACCCTTAAACTTCTTAGGAAAACGACAACTGTAAAAACAAATCTACACTGATCCGATGGACTGAAACTGTACAAAACATATCAAAAGTGCACACAAAAAACGGTTGAAAAAAGCTAAGGCTTGACTTTATAAAATGTATAATGATTTGAATTTCGCTATAGCTTTTTGACGAAAGGCCCGAAAACGGGACCACAACATAACTAACATTGTCATTTATATCATGATCGAATTAAGCCAATTTTTTACAATTTAGGACAATAATTATTCTACCATTTTTTTTTTTCAATAAATGAAATAAATATTTTAAAAAACCAATAATTAAACCAATTTTTAGCCATATAAAAAGTAATTTAAATGAACACATAAAAACGGCAAACGGTTTTATGCGAGATTTCCGCCATCAACAGAGATACCCTCATCATAGTTTAGGGACTGGCGAATAGTTTTCTTGTGTACCTATATATAGCACCACTTGCTATATATATTTTTAAATTGATGCATTTATGTATGAGGCGTGTAACTGCCACGGTGGAGAGTATAAAGTTAACGCAGGAACGATCTAGCCAGAGCCACGAGGCCGCAAAGTACAAACGCGGCCGGGTCCTAGCTTTGTTTGGGCCCCAGAAAGCCTAGGAGGTCCCAAATGATTTGCTAGGTTTATCCCCTAGCAAATCACTGCAAAATTGTGGGGAAAATATAACATGTGCATATAAAATTTATTTTGAGGCCCTTTTAGAGATTTAAACTACGAGTCTCTTTAGGTGCAAGCCGCAAGGCCGACCCTATGCCAACGTGTTTTTTAGAAAATATTGAAATTACTCAGGTAAAGTTAAAAAATATAAATGCTGATCGCTATCAACGTGTGTCGAATATCCTTATGTGTGGATAATTAGTTAAACCAGAAGAAGTCGAGCAAATATGGTAAACAAGTACTTCAAATTGTGTAAATTTCAACGGGGTTCGCCTTAATAATAACATAATTAGGTATCTTAATTAGAATAGTTGCTGCAAATTGTTTTAACTTAAGAGAACGTTGTACACCTAATTTCCCAGCGTTAATACAAAAACATACCTACGCTGAATGCGTTTTATTCGGTCTGTGTTGATTTTAGAGCAAAAATACCCAAACAAAAACGAAAGATGACAAGATTTCAGAGACAATGGCATATCTTCTTTTTTTTTTTGATAAACCTAATAATTAGCTTAATATATATATTTTTTTTTTATTTATAAAATAAACAATCTGTAAAAAGTAGTTTTACAATAAGATCAAAGGATGTTTACAGAAAAAGAAAATAAGATATACATAGATATATATATATATAGAGACATATATTAGAGACAGTAGTCTTGTAGATGGAGCCAGCCAGCGTTGATACTTCTTGTCATGAGGTAGCTTAATATTTAACATTTAAAATCGCACTTTTTTTAAAATAGCTATAACTTTTTTTTTTTTTTGACGGTGTTATTTTAAAAATCGGATATGACATTGTCTCCAAAATGTTGTTATCGTTCGATTTTATAATAGGTATTTGCTCTAAAGCAACCACGGACCTAGTAAAACACATTCTGTGAAACTGTGTGTAGATTAAAAACATTTTAAAATCGTCAACTAATAATTACACATTATAATTTAAGCTTTACATTATGATTTTGCAAAAAATAGGGGTATCACGTCCTCTTAAGGCTTTTCTTTTTATTAAAAATAAATTACATTTGAACACAATCTTTACTATAAAGGGTGAGCTAAAATCTATTCTCGGAGGAATTTGCTCCCCTCCCCCTAGCTACGCGTACGACTATAAAGTATAGTGTATTAATAAGATGGTAAGCTTTACAGTATATCTATATCTTTCTTTCGTTGTTCATGACGATAAAACAACCTTTTTATTAAATATGGTAAAGTGTTTTGAGTATTTTTTTTTTGTTGTTTTTAAGAATAAAACATGTATTGAGTCCATATTAATACATATTAGAGTGTACTGTACAACATTATTGTATTAATTCACATCAATATTGTTAGGTACTACTTTCAAATATTCGAAGTATTGGCCTTTTACACTTCTTTAACCAATAGCTAATTATAAATAATAAAATATATAATAAATTATAAATATATATATGTATTACTAACCTTAATTTGTAGATCCATTATTTTGATTAAATAATTGAAATTATGGAATAAATAAAAATGTTATATTGATCATGTATTCCGGACAAATAAATTCATCGGTAGGAGAGAGCTAAGCTGAAATTTTCTCCAATTGCCATTTCAAAGAAAAATAATAATAAAACATAGTTTTCACAGAAAATAAAAATTGGATATTGTTCTACAGGTGTATCAGATACGTTTCCATAGAAACGGTCAATAATAACATCCCAGATTATTCGGGAATAATAATGTATAGACGAACTTCCGCATCTTTCATCTCACTCAAAACAAACAACTCTTCTCAACCTGAAATTGTGTAGAAAATACATACAAACAATACTTAGCGTGGGAAAAAAATAGCGTTATCTCTAATAATTGCGATCAAATTCAGGTTTCCACTTGACCTTTGCCATATGGTTTTCGTACTATGACTTGCTTTACCGCTTACTTATTTGTAATGTACATCCATCGGGCCATAAATCTTCGTTACATTATTACCCATACATTTTTTCGACTTAGCAAAAAGGCTATGAAAGCTTGTAAGTCGTTATAAACGTTTAGCATATCATTATGACTATATTACGGCTGTCGATCATTTTCAAGTGTAAACTCAACAAAAAATAAATGATAATTATTTCATCATGTGACACCTATTCATTGAGTATACTTGCTATTATATTGTTTACAATAAAACATATTATTTAACCCATATCACAAATCAAATACCAATCTATCCTATGACAGAAGCTTATGAAACTTTTTTTATTATAGTGCATAACACATATATGAATTATTTTTTATTGGGGTTACAGAATATAACACTATTAAATTTTTTTTATTTTTATTTCTATTACAAACATTTTATTTGTCTCGTCTCTTGTAATTATTAACACTATCAAATGTTTTTATTTATAATCAAATTATAATCATTTGTAGACAAGTACGACAAGACGTATACATGGAATTGTTTTAGTTGAAATATTTTACTTTATAAGACTATTCTGGTACAGGTTTTATTACATTTCTTTAGTCCTTGATAAAAAAAACCTTGTCTGGCACGGGTTTCTTAAAATCTTGTTTAATCTGGACCGAGTTTAGAGTTGTTACGGATTTTGATTATTGAAATTTTGTTCCGGGCTTAGTCAGTCCTACAGTTTCAAACAGTGTGTTTAGGATTGGTCTGGTCCGGGGAAATAATATTTTTTTAACAATACAATCAGCTCCAGTCCTATATTTTCAAAGCCGGGTAAACCTTTAAGAAAAACTGTCACAATAGCTGATGTCTGGTAGAAAAAAAAAAGGATCAATTAGTGTACTCTTACTCGTGTGTCGTATTGATCACACGGCAACCAATAGCGCGTAAACATAAAAGAAGTAAAAGCCGTTGATAAACTGTATAACATACTAGGTGTTGTTGTATAAATACAAAACACATGTACACTATGTGTGTCTGTATAATATGTGTGGGGCGAATACATGGCGGGATGGGACCGCATGTCATTGAACAATTGTTAAAGCGGTGGCGACGGCGACGGGCCGGCGGCAGCGGTGGCGGCAGACTCGACCCGAAGACAACGGCGCGCTGACCAGTCAGATCGTATGGCAGTATTAGGCTGGCAGACAACGTGTAAGGTCGTTTAAAGACTTCCAATCGACTTGGATTGTGAAATAATATCGTCATTTTATTACAATTGTTCTTTTTTTTTTTTTACTCCTAGTTGTGTAACTTAGTGTGTGTGTGTGTGTTCAACAATTTTTAATTTTTACCAAATACTTACAAAAAAAGTGTAAAAACAATATGGTGACTTCGCGACTGGCGTTGGAAGGAATCTTACAAAACGGACTCGCCGACTTGTGTAAGGCCACTTCCAGGATGTCGGCAAACACTGAAGACCTCTTTCATCTATGTACGTTTAAAAATTAAACATATACGTATTTGTCATTCTACCTAATGTGTTAAACAAATTATTGAAATGTATTAACTCTACTAAAATATGAGACTCCAAATGCCTTAAGTCATCACGCTTCTATAGTAATTTAGCTCACTAAAAACTGTTTAAAGCATTCACTTCAATAAATACTTTTTTCTCAAATGTACAATTTTACAAAGCGTCAAATTTATAACTTCGAATATAGTATCCGAAAAACTTGTTTGCTTTATATTTGGGGGTAAATGTCTTATTTAAAAACCGTTGCCTCCCTGTGAAATTTCAAACTTATCAAACAAAGTAAAAGGAAGAGAAATAGAAAATACCAATAAAAAAATATAAATTATAGCAAAAAAAAAATAACTAAAAGAAAAAAGTTGTAATTATTTAAAAAAAAAAAAACAATATTTTTTAATAAAAACTTCATTAAAAAATGAACCCTTTAACAAGTTAAAACGATGAAATTGTATTTATACCTTAAACAAAGACGGTAATCATATTAGTCTTAAACCTCGGCTATTGTATTTTGTGTACCGAATTCTTAACGATTCAACAGCGTGAATAAATACTTTGATTTGCATTGTCTACCGCAAACCCGATAATATTTTTTATCCACTCAGCTGCTGCTTATGTTAAAAAATATAGGCGTCTGTTGACTTATCACGCGCACAGCGCACGGTATAGACACAATGTAATATTAATTTGATGATCACACCATATCCTTAATATTTATATAATATATAGATAACGATGTTTATTTTGATCAATATATCCTGAAAAACGACGAATAAACACGCGTATATTCGACAACGCCGATTTTTTAAAAACTATGCCCGCGCGTCTATCTTTTTGACTTTCATTAGACTTGTACATAGAAAATTCTGTTATTTCAATAATAGACAAACAATATTGTAGACTTTGTTTTTGTGTAATATTGTTTTACTTAATTTGCACAATAAACACCTGTGCCACTGTGGGCATATTTGACGGTAACAAATAATAAAGCGTTTGTTACCACATTAAAATATAAAAACTACATCCGCAAAAAGTTATAACAAATATTATGTATTCAAAAACAAAATTATTTTAGGAGAAAAAAATTAATAGCCAAAGGCTAATAAAGAGTACCTATGTATCTTTATTTCACTTGAAATCATTGACCTGCCGAGCTTTAAATAATAATTTATTCATACATATATATTTATCGCATACAATTTAAACAAGTATACAATAGCTGCAGGACAAATTACTATTTATTTGGTTATTCCACCTATACATTTATTGTGTTCCTATATCAACCATTATTTTAGTTGATCCGTGTATGGTTATAACTGTGCTCTTTTATTTAATGCGCATTCAAATCGTCGACGGACTTCAATTAAACTGTTTATTTTTAACAGACAATTAAATTTGAATATTATATTATAAGCTTTTTATAGCAAAAAATAACAGAATAATATTTTATGCAGTTCAAAAATACATAAACTAATTACTTGTATAAGGGGAGTTAAATTAATCCTTAACGATTTAACAGCTACGTCGAATATTAACAGCAACCCACGATCGGTGCATTAAATTTGAATGAACCGGATAATTGATTCAACGTTTTTTTAACATAATGATCCAATAGAACCCACGGTTCACAAAATTCGACATTTTTTTTTAAACAATAGATTTATAACATATTATATTTGAATATTGCTAGGGTATTTCTTTCTCTCCTGTAATTTTGACTAGATAAGTAAAAGAAATATTTTGCTTTCAGTCTAAATATTTAAAGAGTCCATCTACTTTCATACGAAATAAAAAAATTTTAAAAAACAAAATTGTAAAATATTAATTAGCTAAGTAGTTAGAAATATATTATTATATATTCTTATGCGTTGGATGTTTTTCTTTGCAGATAATATCAAGCAAAATATGGACGACACAGCCTCTGAAAGACGGTGCTACTCTCCAACGGAAACGATCAAGCGAGAAACGCACACGCCGACCAACTCGAGCGAAGACTCGGGCGTAGACGTCGGACCGTGCAAGCGTAAGCGAACGAAAGACGCGTGTCCAACGTCCGCTAAGCGTCAAGACGCTATCCTGTCCGTGAACTGCATCATCGACGTGCCCGACAAGATCGGCCACGGTTGTCCACCGTTCCGGCCGTGGAGCAACGAGTCGTCGTCGGCCTCGGACGTGGGCCTCAGGCTGTTCCATGACATACAGAACGTGGACAGAATACTAACGCTGACGCAGCGTAGAGATTCACAACCGCCGGAACCACAACCGCTGGACCTCACCAGAAGCACTGGTCGTCTAACAGTCGCGCGGACCGCCGTCTACCGAACCAACGACGACGAACAGTTCGCACCTTCCACAAAAGCGTCATTCGTCACGTCCGCCACCCCCGCCACTGCTGTCATCACGTCGACGAATACCGCGACTACCACAACAAGGCACGGAAAGAGCATGTCTAGAGCCAGGCGAATAGAAGCCAACGCGCGAGAACGGTCGCGAGTGCACACTATTAGCGCCGCTTTCGATACGCTCAGGTCCTCCATACCGTCGTACTCGAAAACCCAAAAGCTGTCAAAGTTGTCGACTATCAGGATAGCCAGCGCGTACATACTAACCCTGTCCAGGCTGTTGGATATGGACTACACCGCCGAACAGTCCAGGCCGTCCGTGGAACAGTGTGTGAACGACATAACGGGCATTATACACATGGAGGGCAAGGCGAGAAAAAGGAAGGACGACCCGTAGACGGCGGCTGTAACTTTATCGATGGCCGCAATATTATAAAATAGTCTATATTCGTTTACCCGCACATACACAATCGCGCTCACTATTTTTTAAGGATCACACCGTTGTGGCCCAGTCCCACATGTTAAAACACATGGCCTGCACTTGTATATGGTTGTGTTGATGCGTTATGTGTATCGCGTACATAAAACGTTGACCTATAAATTTAAAAATAACTATGCACATACTGTAATATTACATGTTGTAACTACAAAAATGTGTAAAAGTATTCATAAAAAGCTTTTGTTAAGCTTACATTCCAAATAATATGATTATACATGACGTATTCTACACCATATTGTTATAACTTCTTGTCTCTTGAGCTACAGAGATGTTATCCCATCCTATTTTTTTTTTATACATATCTATTTTTTTTAAATATCCTTTTATTGTTATGTTTAACCCTAGTCAGTCATTATGTACAACCAACCGATGTATCTATATATGTTTTAATATTTTATTATTATTATTATCATCATCGTTATTATGATTACCATAATGTAATTTATGTTTTCAATAGTTTTATTAATATTACAAAAGTTTATTTTTACAAGAAATCATCATAGCCGTTGTATTTTTTTCTTAATACGTCGTATTCATTATTTTCGATATCTAAAATTCTTTCTCTTTACAAAAATATTTGTGTTACTCAATTTTTGATTGGTACTTTATTGTATATAACAAAACAAACGATTATTTGTATTCACTATTCCAACTAAGTAATTCAAGTATTTAAAATAAACTCACTAATGCAAAATAGTAACCTTAATTCAGCGATAAGGTTGAAAAACAATAAAATTAACACTTAAATAAAAGTAAATTTATTAAGTGTTGAATCTAACTAGAATAACTACTTGTAGAATTACATACTTATTGTACAGATTAATATCTTAATTTAAGAGGACGTTGTATACCCAAATTTCCAGCGATAAAACATAACTACGCAGAATGCGTTTTACTCGCTCCGTGAAGATTTTGAGCAAACCTAAAACGAACACGATTTTGGAAACAAAGCCATCCTTATTTTGATAACCCTAGTATTTAGTTTAATACATTTAAAATAATAATTTTGTTCACATTTTTAAAACGGCTATAACTTTTTTCCTATATCTATCTATTTATATAAAAATGAATTCTTGACCGGTTTGTCCTTTATGCATACCTAACCGGCATAGTACTTTTCGAAAATTCCACCCCTAAGGATGACCTCAAACACGAACTTTGTACTCACAAATACGAAATGTAAATAAATTAAATGTTTGTAACCATGGTAACCCGAAATAAACACTTGGTTTTTAACCATGGTAACCACGGTACTCGAGTAAATGGTAGGTGATGGTTAAAGGAACAGGCGGATTTTTATGTACCACGATTCTGGGCAAGCTTTTAACTGTTGGAACGGGATCTGGGACTGAGATTGGGACCGGGACTGGGACCCTTGAGTAAGAGGAGGACATAATAATCGAAAAAAGTGTCACAAAAACGCTGTTACGCTATTAGCTGATAAGAGATAGGAGATTAGAGATGGGAGATGGGAGTGGGAATGGAAATTATTTTACTCAGCCCTGGCCGACTAAATCTCGGACAACGCCGGGTCCGGACAAATTGTTATTTATAAAATCAGATAGAAAATTGTCTTTATAATGTTATCTGTCGATTTTATAGAAGGTATTTTTGTTCTAAAACAAACAAGGATCTAGTAAAACGCATTCTGCATGTTTAGATGAAAAGAATATTTAAAATTGCTGACAAAGATACTATGAAAATTATGAAATTTAACTACCAAAAAACAGTCCTAATTACTAAACTAATAGATACAAATGAAAATTTACGCATTAAATTAAGATTTAAAAATGTCTTTACGGACCATACCTAACTCCTTAATAAATAGGAGGTATTACAAGCATTAATATTAATATATATTAATAAAAATTTTATAAATGAAAGAAATAATAAATAAATAAAATTAGTTTTATAAAACAATAAAAATACAAAGGTCCATTAATTATCTATATATAAATACTAAATATTCATGCACATTGTATTGAAATGTATAATCGTGGGAAATCTGTGACTCAATATTATAATAGTTTATATTATGTATGTTATATTTTCAGTATTACTTATAAACAACGCCTTCGATTGGCATAGGCCACTGCACGAGTTGTACAATCTTATCATCGATTTGTTAACTTTACCCGTCCTTGACCAAATGTGTGCTGAAACCCATGACAATCAATTTTTTTTTTGAAGAAAAAGGCTCCACGGAACTGTAGCCAGCAAAAATCTATTGCAAATTATTTGGTAGTAATTAGTTTACCGTTCACAATCAGTAACAACTACCTATTGATTAATAAGAAATCGGAAAATGTACTTAGAGCTATAGTGCTTTATTAGGTATTACTTATTACATATTGATTGGCCAGTCAAGTAAGGATGTAAATAATTAATTGTTATGAGTTTAGTATGTGATGATTGTTTCAAAATATTTTTGAAATGTTGATGACAATTTTTAAATCACAATTAATATATGTTAAAAAATCTTGTTTTTTCCTATTGCCTTCTCCCCCCTCCCAATATATATTAGTCAATATTTTCAAACGTATTTTATTAAAATCGCTAAACAACTATTCATATTTTTTTGCCTATATCTATTGTTAGTAAAGCTATATTTGTACAAATCAAATTATTTATTTGTAACAAAACGCAGAATATTAATATTTTATGATTATTAGGTTTTTTTGCTAAATCCGAATATGGTTTTAAAATACTCTAGCCATTTTGTGTTTTAAATCGCTTCCAAGTCTACATGCAAACTATTCATTTTATTTTGTGTTAAAAAAAACTAAAAATGATACATTAATTTTAAGAGAATCCCAGGATTATTATATAATAAGCAAGTGTATGAAAAAAAAAAATAAATACAATTAGGGTATGTACAATAAAATAAATAAATAAACAATAGACTTATAAAGACAAACAAACAGGACAGATAAAAAGTATAAAATTGTTTTATTAAAGAGCAGACGGTAAGCTATACCTAATTTTGAATTCAGCCAAGAAGAATAGAATAAACAACGATTTATTTAATATACATATTTAAAAGACCCTTCACCCTTGCCATAAAATGGTGTTTTTTATAATTTTGTAGATGATTTAAAAAAAATACTAGATTCGGGTTCAGCGATAAAATTGAAATAAGTAGATGTATTTTGTTAGTTGTTTTAATCGAGTTTTAGGTACTGTGTTAATAATAGTTAGCATGTCATAAATATTTTACTTGTGCTCTCCTCATCACTGAACTGAATACAGTTCAGTTCAGTGTCTCTCGTACACTTGTATTGTTTCAACAATATTTCCTCAGGTGATTAAAAGGAGTAAAGACATTAACATTCGAAGATATAAATATCCCAGAGGTTTTAATCAGTACTCGGTATTTGGTACGAGCTAAATATAAATAGTTGGCTTCTTTTGGCACACACATTACTTGTGTTTGATAAAATAGCAACTTTGAAACATTCATAATTCATTAGTAATTAACTTCATACGAGATTTTTGGCATCTCTATTAGGTTATGTAGGAAAGTGGAAACAGATTTTTAATTTTTTGCTTTTTTTATGTAAAAAAATTGGGTTTTAATATTGAAAATTTAATATATTTAATTACAAGTAACTGAAAAGTTTAAACAAAAATCGGCTTTCTAAAATTAGTCAAAGAACTTGAATCTCTTTACAGAATTGAGTATGTAGTCGAAATTTTGTCTGGCTTTTTGGTCTAAAATAAACCAAAATGGCTTTTACTTATAGAAAAAAATATTTAAATTTGAAAATAAAAATAAACTTTGAAGCTTATACAAATTAACCGATAATTTAATTGACATGGTTGAAATTTATTAAAACCCCTTTTTTCTTAAATATTTCCTACACAAAACTTAATCAAAACAGACCGCATGCAACCCTTAAATTCCAGATTATGATTATTAAATCCTTCTACATCTACCATAACTAACTTATAACTTCGATATAAAACTGTGTAAAAAAAATCTAAGTGAAACCTGATTAACAAGTAATTGAAAAAATATTACGTGCATTACGATTTACGAACTATGCCTATTATATAAAATACAATATAATAATATATTTCATATTTTAATAGTGCTGATATTAAAATATTATTACCGCGTATTCTCTGTTTATCCTGGTTAACATTTAATAGTTGAACAACCATGGTACTCGTAGTAAAGTATCTGATAAGAAATAATGCAAATGATGATAACAAATAAATAAACATTGAAATGATTGAACGCTTAAAAAAATAAAATTAAGTTTATGTGCGTACCTACTGTGTAAACTGTAAAGACATTTTTGTACAAGAATAGATAATAAAGAATCTTTGTTATTATTGATGTTTACAACTTAAAAGTTAAAAAAAAAAAAAATACAATGAAGATCAATAATTTACAAAATGTTTTAGTATTGTATTTATAATTGTGTTCTTTTAATGCAGTTAAAACATTTAACTTTAATAATGTTATTGTATTAGTGCGAACAAGTTAATCTACAACAATTATGGTCAACTATTGTATTTTGCTTATAGCAATATTTATACTACATCCAAGTAAAACTGCATAATAAACGGTTTTATTAACCAATACTAATATATTTACTAATTTTTTTGTAGACAATGTAAATGCTAATTGTCAAGATTACTTTGGTCGTAACATCGTTCAAGGCATGCACTACGTACCAGGACCAGATACATGTACACTCTGTGTTTGTGATAATTCCGTAGCCAAATGGTGTAAAGCTGTACTTTGCTCTCCGCCACAGGTATTATTTATTTATATTTTGTACACTCCTTAAAATAAGTATCATGAATTTATTATATAATTTTTTCGTACTAAAGTTTTGAAGTGTGAGAATGTAACTATTTAAATTAGGTAATTTTTCAAATTATATTATTTAGGTTAATACTTGTATTGTTAAATATGTAATTAAAAAACTAAAATTTGTTAAATTAATAGGACTGCAAGTCTTTTACTGTTGGTAGTACATGTTGTGAATTCAATTGTTTGGATGATTCTCTAAATGACGGTGGTGATATCGATTTTAAAGGAGACAACATCAATGCTAGATCAATTGCCAGTACAATAACTGCCTTTTTGTTTTTCATTTTGATAGTTTTTCTCATTAACCGATTGCACAAACGAAACATCATGTCAAGTAAGAAATATTTATTTTTAATTTTAATATCATATTATGATTATTGTTTCAAATATATTTATAATTGATAACTGAAGAACTATGTAGACAAAAGCTTTAACAAATGTTGTATTATTGCAAGTTAAAAACATGGCTATAAAAACTAATTGTATAAAAGTCAGTTACCATCTTTTGCAGAATAGTTGTTGTTATATTATAATGTATAATTTGTTTTCACACTAATTCATACTGTTTGACTGCATAAAACAAATTAGTATATTAAGCATAAAAAAACATAATTTATAACTTTATATTTGGTAATTTGTTTGTTTATTTGAGATAATGTGTATTAAATTATACTTAAACATTACAGATGTTGAAGTATTCGCTAATCCAAATTCTCCCCAAATGGGTGATGGTGTACGTGGCATTGGTTATATAAGTGGCTATATGAACTTTCCAAGATCTATTGGAAACGACTTATACTATGGAGATCATGCTACCCTTCATATACCTTTGTGGAAAACCTACTATCCTCGGGGAGACGCTCCTCCTCCATATGACGAAGCTATAGCGATGCCTCAACAAATGTCTCAAAATTTCATAGGCATGGGGGAAATGATTAATCATAGAACCATTCCTGCTACAGCAACTGAGACCAATCAAAATATGCAACAACCTTGCATATTAGAACAAGAATCAACAGCTAATCAACCACTTTTAGACAATGGTGATTTGAAAACATTTTGACATGAAAAAAATTAATGTTTTCTTTGAAGGAAAGAAGAATGAATATGGATCACGAATATGTATATTCTGACACCCTTCCTTGTCAGGTCCTACTTTCCCTTCCATCACTTTTACTTTCTTCTCCTTCCCTCTTTTACCAAAAAAACTATGCAAATTTTCGTGGTCTAAAAGACATATTTATGTCAATATGTCTTTTGGCTGGAGGGGGGGTCAATCGTGCGTTGCCAAGACATTTTTATATCACAATGTTTCGAAATTTCTACTTTGAACTGATTTTAAGTTAATGGAGAGTGGCAGGGGCAGATAGGCATGATCTGACCAGCCCGGGAAAAATAGAATCTAAAGGCCCGCAAGATCATATCCAAGATCCAACAAAACCTCTTTTTTTTTTTGTTAAGAAAAAATATAAATTATGATTTTACTATATCACTGTATAGTGGTATTATTATATTATTTTACTATACCAGTGGCGCACTTTGAAATCGAATTATCAAATTTTTTTTTGAAAAAATATTCCAACAGATCACTTAATTGACAATTATTTATAATTGTAGATTTAATTATAGATTTTAGTATTATTGTATTTATTAACTATTTTATTTGTATGTATGTACATTGTACAATATCGTCAATAACAATATTTTTCATCGGCCCATCTTCGTCAATATAAGTACCGGCCCACCGGGAAAATCCCGGTGTCCCGGTGGGCCTATCCGCCCCTGGAGAGTGAGGGTAATATATTAATTCAGGTATGGGAATTATTATACTTTAAGTGAAGGGGAGGGGAGGGTACAGAAAATCACTTAATCTTAAGACGTTATTCATGAGCCAAGTTCTTTCAAGGGAAAGATTGATTAATTTTTTTTAATAGTTTAGTTGAATATTCTAATTTAAAAATACATTTTCATTATTTTTTAGCTTTAAAGAAAACCGTTAGTAAAGAATCCGTTTCAAATGAAAAAGGAACTACCACTTCAAGTGACGATTTCCGAGAAGAATGTGAAAATTGTAAACATGATCAAAAACTTGCTGAAGGATATGACGGCAACTTTCCTGAACCAGAGACTATGACATTAGAGCGAAGGCCACAAATAACACACGAGCACCCTATAGATAGAAATGAACCACGCTCGTCTATGACTTTACCAGGAGACGGACGGCATGGAAGGTAATAATTATTTTATAGTTATATTTACATTTTATAACATTCTAGCTTGAATTATAGGTCTCATGTTATAAAAGACAAAAACAGAGACGAGCGGTTTAAAGAAACAATTGTTAAAGAAGATTCAATTTCAGATGATGAAAATTCATAACAACTTACGACATCATAGTATAGATATTATTAATTAATCAGATTTTTTTTACTAGATAAGAGATTGGGTCGACTAGTATTGTATTTAATAAGGTATGTAACTAACAAACCAGCTTTCTTTTCGTATTATCTATATTTGGTGTTAAAGTTACTCTAGCAATAACTTTGTATTCTATAATACCAAAGACAATTTAACATTATTAATTATTAGGTTCTAATATTCTGGAGAAATATCTGAGAATGCTTAGTAGTTTTTAATGGCAAATTAAAGACCAAAGTTAATAATTATGATAAGATTGGTGAACTATTCTAGTCAACACTATATTTATTTAAAAAATATAAACTTTTAATTGTTAACCTTAATTGACATAGACATATCAACGTGTCAAACAAAAAAGGACGTAACTCGATTTTTACAACTTTTCAGCACAGCCATTCAAAGTTTTCTAAGTTAAGTTCTAGTATTGCATTTAAATTTTTTCCAACAATTTTACAATCTCTTTGGAAGACAGGAGTTACAAATCGTCTCTTTAGGAGATAAAGAAAATGAAATGCTATCTTAGTATTTAATAAACCGAAAAATGATAAAAATTGAGTTACAACCATCTCCGTTGGACACGTTGATATAATGTTGGTGTAAAGATTTAATACTTTTTTTAAATGTACTTTATATTTTTTAACTAAACTTCGGTATAAATGCACTTTACCGGGAACCCTTATTTTTGTGATTTTTTTTTTGCTAATTTATAGTTTTTTTATGCTGTTTTCGAATTTGAAATTAGATATCCGCGGACTCTTCTAATTCAAAAGTTACAGCTTGTAAAATTTACAGTTGCTTAATGCGCCGCAATTGGCAAAAAAAAAGGTGCCCGGTTAATAATGCATTTGTTCCTTAATTTCTGTCAAAACAGTTAGTCCATTAGTTAAGTAGTGGTATAATTGCAATTACTTATATAATACAAAATAATGATGAAATGTATATATATATATATATATATATGTATATAGCTGCTAATTATAGATAATAAAATAATGGATAAACCAAAGTAGTTTTTTTACAGGAATGTACGTATAACATTTTGAAGTTTCAAGTGTCACAAGGACACTGCCCTGTGTGTCATTAGTATAGAGTGGCTATCCATTGTTTTATTATCTATGTAGCTGATGTGTGCTAATTTGTTCCATCTGTTAATGCTATTCTTTAGTTATTATTTTATAAATCAATATAATTATGTAAAATATTATCATTGATTCATTTTTCATTGGATTAATCTTAAAATAGTTCTAATTTAGTAGCGTTTTATTCTAGTATTAAGTATAATATATTCTACTAACCAATTGTACTGTAGTATTTTTACGAGTAGGTGATAATATTTAACAATATTAAGTATTTATTATTTTAGCTTTGAGATAAAACATTTTTTAAGAAATTTAACTCTAGATAAAGTGTATAAATCACTTATAAAAAATGCTCGCCCAATTAGGCAATCCTTTATTTATACAACTTGATAGCTCTTGATTCATTATTGTTACTTTTTTCTGTGATAACTAATAGCCTATTAATATTAATTTTAGATTATCTCATGTTTAATGAATTGAAGATTCGGTCCAAATGACGTGCTATTGGCCAATTTTTCATCTTTTTTTTTGTGTGAATTATTAAGCTATAAACCTATTTTAAAAACCATAATGCTTTCCAAAATTTTCTTATCACACACAATAATCATGGCAACCTATCATACCCATTGATAAAAATTCTGTTATTTTTTATAGTGTAAAATTTAAGGTCTGGTACTTAGCACGTTATTCACACCCAACCTTTAATTGGCCTAATGTATTTTTACTTTATTTAACTTGTATACTTTATTATAGTACGTAATGATACATGAATTAATAACATTTTATTGATTTAGGTTACTGCGAATGAAAAATGTCAATTTTATATTATATTAAAAACTATTTAAATTAATACACAACAATATGAAATAAAAAGTGGTTATAAGTATACACTAGGGTGGTCCATAATTTGGATTTGGAGGAATTTCAGTTAAGACACCACCTAAATTAGTTAGAAATGCATAAATAACAAATAACCACCCAAAATGTCACACCTTTATTTTGATGTTAACAACAAGTGCAGCACTGCACATATTTTTACTTGTATGTGAAGGTATTAAAATTGATGTCACTGTATAGTTTATACTAGTATATACCCTAGTTTCCACTATACAGCATTAATAAAAAACTAATCTTAAGAGTGAACTGAATACAACTGATAAATCTGTAAATTTAAATAACTAGCTTTGCAAATTGTATACATTATTTATATGTACAAGAACAACTTAAGACATTTCATTACCTTTTATTGTGTTAAAATAGATTTTGGTTCATTAATTTATAAACCTAATCAATTTCATATGTGTAATATGTATTTGTGCAATTGCTGTTATTAAATAATTTTTTTCTCTATAATGTGTTTTTTATTAAGTACTTAGTTGCTCACTAATCATAAATAGCTCAAAATTTAATAAAAATAATAATCAATACTATAAGATTGTTATGACTTAGTTTACAATTCAGTATTACTCATTAGCTATAATATATAATCAACAAAAAGTCGTTAAATGTTTTACAAAAATTATTATTAGTCAAATAAAATTACATCTAACCATTTTACCATGAATATGTAGTGTGTGGAAATCAAAAATAAATATTCAAATATGTGTCTTATTTATCTTTTAATTTCTTTTTTGGAAATTTATTACTGAGTGAATTTCTTAATCTTAAAAAGAACTCTACTAGAAAAATACAATTTAAGACAAAAATATCTCTATAATAAAAAAGTTATGAAACCAGCTATCATACATCATTATAAGCTATATTTTTCGGCCATACATACATTTTAATGTTCAAGTACTATGTATACTAATTATAATATTAGTAACATAAACTTTATGCATAAGATTTTTTTCCACATAACTGGGTGTATCTTCCAGGGATCAAATTGTTTTATACACCTATTATCCGCTATAAATGTAGTGGACATTTACTCATACATTTTTTTAAGTTTAGGATGTAACTGTCATAAAACAATTGTAAATTATGAATAATTAATTTTCCAGATACAAATTTGTTTTAAATTATTATATTTTAATGTTTAGGAAAAAATATTTAATTTTAATAATCGTCAGACAATTTAGTCATAACCGAAATTCAATTAAGAATCTGGATTCTTCTTCCTTCTAAAAACTGCTAAAAATTTATCTCCATTATTTCTTGTGACTTTTTTACCTTCTTCTGAACTCTCATAAAGTTTGTCTACTATGGGATCTTCTTTCTATGATAAAATGATACAATTTATAAATGAGTATTTCTATTTTTTAACATGAGTATTTAAAAACAAAATAATATTAACTTACTAAACATTCTTCATCAACAGGTTCAAAAAGACAGTGTTCTGAGAAATGTTGAGTCATCCATTCATGTAAGTCTTTTACATCAGTAACTGTATACACCATTGCCTGAAAATAATAAACGTTTTTAAAGAAGTTTAAAGTGTTAATTACACTTAACGAGCAAACATACTCCTTCTGCAAGTACATAAGCATACTCTGATAATGTTGTATCATTAATGATCCTCCATTTGTGTTTAGACTTTTTAAAATGAGGATCTGGGTATAAGAAAAACATTTTCTTTATCTAAAATAAAAATAATACATATTTAATACAACTGTCTTAGACAACTTTGCCTCTCTAAAAATTGGCTTCAAATAAATAAAAATGCACTACTAAAAATCTTAGGTTTTTTTTATGTTAACACATGCCTGCAGCAAATTACTTCTTAACGGAATAGAGAAGCATGAAATAGATTTAGTTATACATGCAGTTTAGTCTCAGACTAATATTTTAGCAAAAATGGTTTAGAATAAATGTATATTTTTATGTTGCAAATGATGATTTAGTCAAATGTTGGCAGCTGAACTCACTTTTGAATTTATAAGCAAAAACTTCTAAACTTATTTTTTTTTTTTTAATGTAATAACCATGTCAAAATTACTATTTTTATAAACTTTTTCATTCCAAACCCATTTGTTTTATGTTAAAAATAATGATGAAAGCAAAAATTAAATAACTTTAAATTATGACAAAATTACAGTTTTTTTTTTTAATTTAACCTATTTTTGAACTAGCTGTCGACTACCTGCTCTCGCCCGTAATGCAAAGCGACGCGATCAGAAATTTAAAGGTAATCGACCCCGCTGTAACCGTGTTATTGTATAGTGTGCGCCCGACCGTAATCGCAAGATATAGATGTAATATTAAAAGAAAAACCACCGAGAATATGGTTGAAGATCATAGATACTGCGTCCTAATTTCCCATGTTAAATTTAAATGTTTCCATTTTGATTTAATTTATTCTGTGATACTACTACGGACTACCATTGCTTCGTCCTATCCTTCAAGCGTACTAAGTATCCAATCCTACTTGGCTCTGAAAATTATTAATTGACTTTCTCCAATATTTTCCAAAATTGGACCATATTATCGGCAGAAAATATGCAAGATCCCTAGAAAATTGAGAACCTTTAATATGTATATTCAAATGCATGTACATACTTGGCCTTTTTTAAAGAAGTTTGGTAAATATTTAATTGCATTTGTTCTAATACAAGCAATGTTTTCATAACAATTTGGTTGGTTTACTCTTAATGCTTTTATTCTCTCTATTACGTACTGAGAAACTTTAACCCGTATTTCCATTCCAAGAATTAAAGAAGTTGGAAACATTGGTGAAAGTGTGACTGTAAATTAGTTTTCCTCATTATTAATTAATCAGAAATAAAAACAGTTTATAGACTTACCTAAGAGTCCACCGTATCCACAACCAATGTCCAACATTTCTACACTTTTATTATAAATCTTAGAATTTTCATTAATCACATCAGGATACAATGCTGACCAGTCATAGGCATCTGGACAACTAGGACTATAATAGTTATATAAAATTAATAATGTTTAAAAATATTCTTATTATTTAGGTGGTACTTAGTATAAGCCTTTACTAATCAAAATCATGGTCTGCAATTGGATTTGAATGAGCCCTTTGTCTGTAATATTTCTTTTGTGGCAAAGACAACTCTTTTTTCTCAATTTCATCCTCGTCAATTAATCTTTTTGTTTTTTTCACTTCCATAGTTTCTAATATGTTACTCTTTTAAAAATTGTCCATCTGTAATTACATCAAAATATCAATAAGATATATTAAAAATTGAGAAAGTAATAAATAGAACTACATACAGAAAAATTAAAGATGTATAGAAAATAATGTGATCAATTAGTACATAATTATTCAAAATTCTACCATATTACCTATATTTTTTCAAACTAATCGACGTACTGCCATTTAGCGCTATTTGTAGACCATAACAAAATAATCAACTTAAGACAACAGACATTTAACAATTTTTTTATTCATCTGATTTAACCCTTCGAGGTTTGAAAAAATTGAGATTTCCGGTTACCGTTATCACTTGTCATAACGCGCACGGCCCACCACCGACCACGTTGTAGAGAAGATATCTTCAAAAGAATATTATGAAGAAGGGAAGCCTAGGCCGCGACTGATAAGTGTCTGACATTTTGTTTTCTCGGATCACATACAATTATCACTCTTTTTCCTGGGTCAGTGTGACCAAAAATATCAGAGAACAAAACTTGTCTATAGTCTTTGTTAAGTCCATAGACCTATAAAGAAATATCTTTATAGGTCTATGGTTAAGTCAATCAATTATAATCTGGGCTCCTTTGTTCGACGTTTTACCTTTATTTTTTAGAACCCATACAATTTTTTAAAGTTTCCCTTCTGGTTATTCTGTGTCACAATGCACACACTACGTTAGTAACTTGTTGTTTTATTTTTCGAAATCACATGTTTTTAAATTCCTATTAGTATAGTATTATTATTTTACTAGAGTCATACTCCATGATGCAATTCTCCTAAACATAGTGAATTTTATTTCACAATTTTTACTGTTCTCAGTTCATATACTATATATATTTATAGATGTAGTATGAATATATATTATAGGAGCTGACGTCTAGGCTGCCTGGGAACATTACCTATTACGTAGATCTTAAAATATAATACTATTTAGTCTATTATTTAGACCGCACTCGTTTAAAGTTATGGGGCAGGTAATTTTTTGTGTATCCATGTCTTGAGCAGATTATTAGAAAAATTGCTACTTTTGGCTACTTGTTCCATCCCATTTTATATAATATACTTTCTAAGCTCATCAGTAATATACCGATTACCAATCGATAGATACTGATATTATAATTTATTAAAACACAATACTACCTAAATGTATACCCATATAGTATTATTATATCTATATAAAAATAATAAATTCTCAACAAGCTCAACATGCAATGAGGGAAAAATATACCCTTGGTCAAAATCGTTCATAAAAACCCATTTAAAAAATATAACGAAGGGCGCAAGTTCCTTATGGGACGTCATGATGTTGCATTAGTACGGTTAGGTAAAATGAACGTGATTTGCCGTTTTAAAGACCCGATTCAGTGGTTTATCTGAATGAAACCTGGGTAACTCAAAATCATACGCGTGTGAAAATATGTCAACATTAGGTATGTTAATACCGAGAAATGTGTGTAGGGTAGGAGAGAACGACCGTCACACTAGGTCTTCTTCGTTTGGTTTTGTACAAATTGCTATTTCGTTGTAAATCAGTAAATCCGGATTCCGGTAATAAGGAAGACAACTATGTTTAACAATAGTTTACTGAAGAGCCCATCATTCTTTTTTTGTGTAGCATTACTTTAAATCAAATTCGAGTACGGGGGATGTACAAATAAGATTATGGATGAAATTAGATGAACACTGTGAAAAATACAAGAGGGAAATAGTAATAATATTTTGTAAAATATTATTGATAGATCGTTTTTGGTATTTATAAAGTTAAAATTTATAAATAAAGGACTTTTGCCAATATTTATTACTGAATTAGTAAATTAACAGTATATTATGTAAATTTAATTGTAGGCAAATCATATTTCTTGTGTAAAAGGTATACTTTGCAGTTTTGTAATATCAGTTTTATTATATTAAAAAATATTAATAATAATAATTTTAATTTTTGTAAAATTATACACAACCAACCATGAACCAGCATACAACTGGTTCGTATTTTAGGGGAATGTGTAAATCATAATTACATTTTGATTCTTCACGTGGCTAAAAAAGAGAAATCTGTTTGATAAATTAAATCAGCATTAATTTTAATAAATAATAGCTATTTAAGTCATAGGTAAAATATGAAAAATAACAAGTTTAAAAAAACAATTTTGTTTATGATTTTCTACAACAAGTTTAGAAGACTTACGTGATTTCCTTTCACTACTCGAACGTTCTTAAGCCTAGTTACTTCACACTTTATAAATCATTTTTGGTTATATATTTTCTTTTGAGTATCAATTGTTTTACTAATTTCAGGATCTAATTTGATTACAGGATTTAATAGAGAGAGAAAGGATCAAAAGTGAGTTTTGGAGGGAACCTATTTCCAGTTCTGCCAGTTGCATATTTTTTTAACGTTCCTAATATTACATATTATCATGTTATACCCGAATTCTCAGAATGGTAAATATATTTTGACATCAAACTAATTCTTTTCAACAACATATATTATGATGACGAACATGTTACCTATAACAATTTGTCACACTTTAAAATGAAATTACCAAGGCGTTTATCGTTTCATCATAGTACAGCGTGAATACTGATTTTTATGGGACATTCTCTATTTACATATAATATATGCCGGTTATTTAATAACCCGATCATATTTAACCATGTAAATATCATACATTATACTTACATTAGTATATATATGTATATACTCACAAATATAATATATTGTTTAGTATTTATGTTTTGTATACAATTTGCATTACCTGCATACTATTTTTCCTTAATATAAGAGAATATTCTTTTATTTGTTAATGTTTGGTTTAAAACATAGCGTCCATTGCAATTTTTGTTAGACGCAAAGTCAAAAGTGTTACTTAATACACAACCATACCGAGATGATAATATCATATATTTTATTTATCTGTTAGTGAAAGTGGATCATAATAGCGCCCGAAGGCTTCTGATCGTTGTGACCGAGTCATATAGTTAAAGAATCAGTGTACCTAACAATTATTATCGGTAATAAAAACATAATTAAGTCGAGCGTTTTCTACTGAGCTATTATATTATGTTGTTTAAATAGTTAAGACTTAAGGATAATAGTTAATACAATCATTAACATTCGACACTTTTGCAAAATTATCGTTTCAAGTCCAAAGATAACCTTTTTCTAAATAGAAACTAAACTAAGGCCAAAGGTCATACAAAATTATAAAATTATTGCAGAGAAAATATTTCACTACTGTCTACTTCAGATACATTGATGCACAAGAAAAATATTCTCCAACGAGTTTAAAAATGGTAAAAGCTATTGATAATTTTATTACAAGACTGAATTTGTACAAAGATAATTTTTTGCATTTCAAAAATTAATTTAAATAACCATATGAAACATTTTATTAAGTTATGTGAGGACAGATTCCGTCACGGTCTGTGCTTAAAACATTTTTCTACTCAACAAATCTTAAACTGGACTTATTATTTTTATTAAATTTGATAATAAAAGCAAATTTTGTAGTATAGAATGGAAAATAATTTCGAATTCGACTTGCCTTGTAATTGCTGTAAATAATTGTTTTTTAAGTTGCCTGTCTTTGTAAATATCGTCCAGTTTGTACACATTAATTTTTAGCATCAATTCATACATTTATTAACTTATAATTGTAGAAATAAATAGTTTGTACTAATATTTCAATAAAAAAAAAATAAATGAATAAATAATTTCGAATTTTCTTTTAGTAAATATCCTAAGACTATGGCATTAGGCCGTAGAAGGTTGAACACTGTCAACAACTGTTTAGCTTCGATGTGGAGCTGAGAAGGTATTGTTTGTACAATGATGTGTTATTTTGTGCCTGGACCCACGATATCATTTAAAACCGCAGAACCGATTTCTTCGTGGAGCAACTCTATTGATTAGAATTCGTATTTAAAGGGTACATAAATATATGCTTAATACTTGGGCCAAAAAATCACCACTTCCCCTTCAAAATCGAGAAAAACCGCCAAAATATGTACATATTTTTCAACTTAAAATTACGATGCTCTATAACTTTTTGTTCGAATTAGTTACAAATTTGTATGGAATATTCTTTAATCATAGTAATATTAATAACCTTAACGATAAAAAAAAATATCATAAACGATTTCCGAGAAGGGATAGCAAATTTTTCTTGATTTCACTTTTTCAAGCCGTTTTATGGATTTAGGTCTGAAAACTAAACCTAAGGTACATCCTGAATGAAACTATAACATATCCAATTTTCTCAAAATTCTGTAGTTAAGCTTTTTTTTATTATAAAAAACCCAAAAAATAAAAAAAATACACTAACCGTAGTTGATTTCCCGGTTGCTATGTGAGAGGAAATCAACACTCAACAGGTAATGCAAAATTGTTCATTACCATTTTTGGGTAACTATGGCATTACATTTTTATATACAGATGATCAACCCTAATCGTAAAAATTAATTTTTAAGCACTTAATTGTCATTAGGTACGATGCTTTTGTCGATATTTATATTTTCATCTGTGAACACTGGAGTCTGGACCTCCCTTACTTACTAACGTACTACTACTACTAGTACTACTTACTAAAACTACTCACTAGTCACTTACTTAAATTACTTTCTTACTTTGCTGATTTACACTGTACTTGGTTTGGTCTGCACTGGTTTAAACATACTATCCACAGATTCGCATCAAAGCGTTTATTTAGGGTGATTTTATCACTTTCCGTTTTAATAATTCCTGTAAACCTGTACCCACCCCGTCCCCACTGTACTAGCTTTTTATGATTGTTACATTAAAAAAAAACTAATAAACATTGCCCTATAACGCGAATACATTGAAAATAATATTGGTTTGTTTTCTTTAAGGTCAAATTTTAAATTACTTTTCGTTCTCACGAGTTTATTTTTTAAACGAATTAACACACCTAGTTTGAATTATGGTCTGCAAAACTTCAAACTAGATATAAACTGTTTGCTCGAGATAACGTAACTAAAAAATGAAAGGTGTTTTTTTTTTTTTTGAAGACATTGTAATGAGGTATCTATCGTCTGTACATGGCCATGCGGGCGTATACCTTTCGACGACTAAACCTTTCTATGACGGTCCAGCACGCCATATGCACTATATAGGAGTTCACGTCATAGGGTGTTGCAAGATCTTTCCATTAATACACACACACACACAATACATAGAACCGAACCCGTTTTGCGCGAATGCTGTGCGAGATCACATTAGAGTCAGTCGCAGTTTTATCTCGACGTTTTCTTCAGTTACATACCACAGTTCGCGTGATATCCAAAAACAAACATGTTATTCTTATCCTCCACAGCACTATATGTGTTTTTGGTCATTGCGGCGATCACGGAAGGAGCCGTAAAAAGACAGGTACACTTTCCTTTTTACACATATTTTATTATCAATTATTACATTAGGTTAGTTATATGAACTTAGTTTATAAACTCAGTATTAACTAAGCGCGGATTTTATATTATCTTTATAACGGCGTACAACTTTTTTTAAAGTATACGCTAAAAAATTAGTCAAAATTTAACAGATGACTTTTAATAGTCTTAAAAATAAATTATGTTCTCTAGGACACTTATTCGACAATTTAATAATAATAAGCACAGAGGCGGCTCCAGAGACTTGGTTGGAGGGGGAATGGGCTGTCATAAATTTTAGAAAAAATGATAACAAAAAAAACAACAATTTTTACAACGCAAAATCAATTGTTTAACCAAAAATATCAATAATATGATCTATTTGAACTAAAACATCCACTTTATTATACACATTAATAAGACATAATACTGATAGTCTATCTTCAGTCATCCTTGAACGAAACAATGGTTTAACTTAACTCTCCTAAGTTTAGATAGAGACTAGAGAAACTCCTTTCAGCAGAGGCAACGCTTACCGATAGAGTTGCTAATAATGACCTAGAAGTTCGAAACATATCTTCATCACAGTGCATGTATAACAGTGTACAATTTTTTTGAAATACGGGTCTGGGGGGGGGCTGTAAAGCTGTATTCTCCTGTTTTATTCGTGTTCTTTTTTTAAGTACTAATACTTATCTCGTAATTCTCAAATTTAGGTTACATCTTTCCGATGGTGTTGGTTGTATACATTGTGAACATTGGCTTCCCAATTTTTTCTATGCTTCATTCGTTTATCAACAATAGTTCCAAAATTATTCCATTATAAAGTTGTATTTTAATTTTTGGTAAAAAGCTTAATTAAAATTAAAAAATAATTGTTAAATAGTAATTATGTTGTATATTAGTACCTATACAAATAATTGTTAAATGGATTCTTTAATATTAAGCTTTTTTTCACTTTTAATTAAATAAACCTTCGAAAATATTATTATTAACTAGCAAGTTTTTTTTAAGCAATCAATCCATTCTAAAGTTATTTATAACTTGCATTATATAACAGTGTTGCCACATTATTATAATACAAATTAATACAACTTTAAAGTAGAAATTATTATATAGATTAGGTATATTCTATTATGCATAATAGTATAGAAAGTTAATAGTCATGGTCTCCGTCCTTGTTCCAAAATACTTAATATCTGAAGTTCTTCTAATTTTCATGTAGGTAGCTATACTATATTATAAACATGCACGTTATGTTAGTATACTGTATAATTTGTAGTTCATATTCAATCATTGACTGACCTACTGTCGGCTTTTATAGAGAGCAATACTGATTTCATGGTTGTCGATTATATCATTCCAATTTCCATGATTGTAGTTACCTAAATACAAACATTATTAGTATCAGGTGACCCTGCCATTGTTCAAGTTTTGAATTTTTAAAAGACAGCTAAACACTAATCGTAATCACTAATAATATAAATGAATAACCAAAAGTTTCTAGTCGATTTCGATAATTATTACTATTAGCATAGATTAAAGCTGTGGTTGGATGACACAAATTTATGTCATATTTTTTACCTTTCGGAAAAAGCTTTTCAGTTGATACTTAAGTTTTAAATAGCTTTGTATGGGTTCATATTAGCAACCAAGCTTGATAATTAAAGAACCCATACTTACTATAACCCATACTATTTTATTTTCTATTTGTGACATTGATGAAAAATATAAAACTAACAATATAAGTAAGTAATCCAGTAGACGTAATTATAGGAAAAAACTTGAATACGTTATACACTTAATCCATCCATAAATCTTAAAGTTAAGCTTTTTCACCTAATACCTACCAATAACTAAATCAAACATTTTAAAAAGATAATTTCTATTTAATGAGACTTAAAAGTTAAATACTTATTCTAAATATAGATGTTTTAGCCTTTTTGCACTTATGGACTATAGCCCAGTTAGTTAGTTTTTAGCAATCTCTTGTTATCTTAATATAAGTATTAGGTACCTACTATATAATAATTTATACATAATACTTTTAAAATGTAATGTCGATAAATACAAATAATTGTTGTACAATACTAAATACTAATATTAGTGTGTATTACACTCTGTGTAGCTCGTATTCATATCCTTGAATGTGATATTTGTTTTCAAAAATAGAGGCAAGCATACTATGGGGGTTATTCTGATGAATACTCAAAAAAAGGGAACAAGGATGAAAGTCATCAGGACCTGAGCAAATTACCTGGCAGGCCAGGAGTGGATTTTCCAATTTACCACGAAGTGCCCGAAACGAATTTCCACTGCGGTAATGTACCTTATGCACCAGGCATGTACGCCAACTTAGAAACCGGATGTCAAGTGCGTAAAAACTATTATTCATACTTAATATATAATTAGGAATAAAAGATGACAGTCACTTAACTCCGTCACTCCGGTCACTTTAAGAAGGTACCAAGTCGGCGCGGCGGACTAAATCTCGTTTTATGTAGTTTAATAACAAACCACTTTGTAGCAAACAAAAAAATTAAAAACTTACCTATAAGTATTAAAAAAAACACTTAATCTTTTATTTAACAGTAACGATTTTTTGAAGATCATGAAATGTTGAAATGATTAATATACTCGCAAATTGTTTGTACCTATATGAAAAAATTATAGCTATCTTAGCAGCTGAATAACAAAATATAATATGATTAATTTACCTTTAGTAAATCTATTTTAATGTTTATTTTTAGTGTTAATACTATCGATACATTAGACATGTAGTACTTATAAATTATAGACACGTTACTTATTCATAAATACATAACCAAATATTTATAAAATTTTGTGTTACTAAAGGCATACCACATTTGTCATGATGGTCGAGAAGGCCACCAGGGTGCATCATTCTTATGTGCTAATGGTACACTGTTCAACCAAAAGGAATTTGCATGTGATTGGTGGTATAATGTAGACTGTGGAAAATCTACGGCTTATTACGAGTAAGCATAATCATTAAAAATCAATATTTCTACTTTTATTGAATAAAAATATGTTATATTTACAAATAAAACATACATTGTCCCTTTGATTATATTTGTACATAATTATTTATAAATAGGTATTAGACATAATAAATTATATCCAGTAGCATATATTGTTATAAAATTAATAAGTTTAATAAACATGAACTCATAAGTCTAATATATATTTATATGTATTTTTTTTTTTATAAACAAAAATTTCATAATTATTTTAATATATTAAAATAATGATATTTTTGTACAAAAAAAAAAAAAAACGATATAATTATTTCAAAAATGAATAATAATAAATTAACGTTTTGTAAAACTTTGTTTTAGCTTAAACACCGATCCAGAAAAGAATCCATTTGTTCCAAAATTAAAATCATCTGAAGAAACGTACAAATCTTATGACAACTATTACAAACCAAAATATCATAAATAATTTGTTAATTATAAGAAAATTTTATAATTGATAAAACACTTATTTTTATGTAAATAAGAATGTAAATTATATAAAATATAAGTTTTAAAAAACAATTCATGTTGCCTACAAAGCTATTTAAACTAGATTTTATATTAAGTTAACCAATACTATAAGTGAATATTACATATTCTGAAATTTTAAACAAATAATGTACTTGGTAAAATTATTTTCATGCAATATTCAGAAAGAAATAAAACAATTTATTTATTTTTGTTTAATTTTACACAAAATTAATTTAAATACACAATATAACACATGATTAATTAGTATAACTCACACAATGGGACAATTATAATAAACAGTGCACAGTTTTAAAAAAACATAAATTAAATATGTAAATAAAGAACTTATATAAAAATTAGGTATACAACAAAATAATGTTTTATTGCTACAACTCGAAATTATTACTATTATTTTACAAATATACCTATCATCTACATACATTTTTTTAATTGAATAAAGTAAGGACAAAAATAAAATTTTAAAAATTAAAAATAGGTATTATCATTCAAATCAATCAATTTTTATTTATCTATACTTATTTTATTTAATATTTTAGTATAAAAATACAATTAAAATAATAAAATTAGGGGGGGGCTAGTGGGGCTTATGTTCAGAGCCTTGTGCTTAACAGTTATAAAGAATATCAAAATCCAAAATGGTAGCAAAGAATTTAAGTTAATACTTTCAGAAATGTAATCGTACTTTAAAATTTTAGGGGAAAAAAACAAGGTGTCATCTCATTTATTGGTATTTTTGGTCGAGGCTGGCATCTATACTTAAATCATAAAAATAGTCCTTGTCCTAACAATAAAACAAAATTTGTTCTTGTTTACTTTTTAATACAGTGTTGACGGACCTCACCTTACTTAACTTTGTTTTACTTAAATTTTGAAATTACTAAATATCATAAATTTTTAAAATCTTAAATCTTATAATATTATTATCATATTCTTTATTATTATAATTTTAAAATTACTTAATATTATAAGTCTTTAATTTTTAAATAAAATCTAGAATTATATTAATATTTTGTTTTAAAACATTTCTCAAGCATTTAAAAAAAATTGTTTTCCTTTTATTTAGTAAGACTCATTAGAAAAAATAATTTTAAGAATGATTTCATTGGACACATTATGTATTTATACTATAAACAATTTTATCTATACTTAAATATATATTAAGTTTAAGAAGTTTTTCGAGTGGAACGTAAAGGATAAAAGAACTAAAATCATAAACTCAATATTAAATTAATCGGTAAGAAAACAGTATTGTTGAGTATAGATAATAGGTTTGTAAATATTTAAAGACAAATAATAATAATATTTGCATAGAGTAAGTAAAATAGGGAATGTTTCATACAAAAAAAAAAAATGAAATACAAATGAATGTAAATGAGAAAAAATGTAATAATATACAAGTTAATGAGTAATTTTTTATTTTACGTCCAGCAATTTTTAATGTCACCTAAATATTCTTAAATATTTTGAAATTAAATGGAACACGAAGACGCTTTTTTTAATATTGATAAACATTTAAATTTTTTTTGTAGGAATGGAAACTCAATAATAAATATATTTATCATAAACCATAGTTCAAAAAGTATTTTTTTTAATTTTTGATTTAAAAAAACAAAATGTGCAATTGATATTAAATAATGATTTCTTATAAAACATTTGTTTAAGTGTCCAATTCTATAAAAACGTTGCACTCAGAGAGGATCACTATCAATTTTACGGAAAAAGGTTAAAGGGCCTCGCATTCATAATTTGCCCCATGCCTCACAAATAGTAGTGCTAGCCTTGGCTATTGTTTTAGCTATAATTATTTAAATTAAAAATATATAAAAAAATAAAAGTAATATTTAATAATAAAAATCAATAATATAAAATTAATAGGTAATTAAATATGAATTGGAATATTTCAATATAACCAAACTATTATCAAGTTTAAAATTAATTTTATTAAAAACTATTAAATTTAAATTAATGCTGTAAAAAAAATTAATTGTAAAAATTTATTCTCTTAAGTATTAATAAAAACTTAGTTTAACATGAACATCTATAGGAATTCAGCAACAAACTTAATATAATAATCACATTGTGTCATCCTTGGTGACAACAGTTTATTTAACACTAACACACACAAATCATTAGGATTCACATGGGAAATATCTTTATCTATATGCTGTAGTAAACTACTAAAAGAGTCATAAAATCGAGGATAGTAATCACCCTCTACATTTTCAAATGGTCTGGTATATCTTCTAAAGTCGCATGTAAATTTTAAAGCCGTTTTTAAATCACTTATATGGACAGCATGAAACACAGTTTCCTAAAAAAATACCTTGAACAGTTAGGTAATACAAAAAATATATAGTATTTATAGTCATTGTTTAATATGCTAACAGTTAACTCAATAACAACTAAATTGTATAATTGCGGCAAGAGGTAGCTATGTAGTATGTATAATTAAGGAACAAGTCAAATTAAATTAATACAATTTAATGAAAATACAATTGGGGACATTGAAACTTTAGTTGCATACATTTTATTTTAAAAACATTTTAATTTATAAGCTGTATTATGATTCAAATAAATCATTGTTTTTTTTTTAGATTTAAACTACCCAGATTTACAGTAAAAAAGTAAATATGTACTTAAAGACATTATTTAAACAATTTTTTTAAATATTATATTTTTTACACAAATATGAAATAACAAAAAAGAGCAATATCATACAAATTACATACAATGTTAGTAAATTTGCTTTATAATAAAATCAATACGTTATTTCAATATATAAATTTACCATGTATACTATATGTCATTGATGATAAGCAACTTTTTCCAATATATTGTAATTATTTTATTAATACTAATATATATTATTATCAACACTTAGGTGTACAATTTCAATTGGGATGTACACATGCTATTAGAATTAGTTAAATATAGCATAATATAATATTTCAAGTTACAATATCAAACTTAAATTAAAAAGTAAAAATAATTAAGCGTATTAAAAAATTATTACCTCACAACTTAAATGAAGCATTTCTTGTCTTAACGCATATCGACCATATTGAAACGGGTTTTGTAATCTTTGTATGGATTTAATATGAAAATGATCATTATAAAACAGCATTGCTATCTGTTCATATTCATAAGTATTTTTCCACAATGGAAACAACACATAACTGACGGAATACATTTCAATAGGTACATTCTCCCATTCTGCCGGGAGTTTGCTAAGCACATAGTTAAGTATGGAATTATCATTATCCATTTCTAAGTACAACAACTATTTGAAATTTTAGTAATAATGTGTTATATTTTCAATTAGTTAAAACGAAAAATAAAAAGAGAACTTGGTTTTAACTAGTTATTTACTAATATTTCTTGTTACTGTTAAACTAATATTTGCAAATCGTACTATTAATTATTATAATTAGAAGCTACTAGTTAGAACTAGGTTAATTCAATAAAATTATGTATGATTATAGTCTAGATTAGGTAGTTGATATGAACTATGTAGACAAGTGTATAAATTCATATAACAGAATTTTTTTTTTTTTTTGTATCAAAAAGGTGGTAACGGTTTTACTAGTGATACCTGTTTTGTTGTGTAATGTGTTTATTTTATGCATGTCTGTGTAATATTGTGTTTGAGATATCAATCTCTGGAACCGCCATACTGATTTCTTTGATCGGCATCCCGACCAATGAAAGCGTACGTCCCAGCTAATTTGTATTTCAGAATTCAGTTTCAGAGCACGCAGGTAAGAACCACCACGGAATAATCTAAATAACTAAGTATAATGTAACAATCGCTAAATAACACGGATCGTCGATATGATGGTAAGGGTCCGTTTTATTCCATTTACAATTGTAATTACCTTTGATTAATTACTATTTTAGAAAGTACTTTATCCTTTAGGTTCACGACAAATGTATCAACAATTACAAATGTCTCCCTATTGTATTTATCGTAACAATAATCAATCGGCAATCCAATTAGTTAGATAATTGATTTTGTAAGGCTCATAATATTTGAAAAATTTACTGAAATTTAACACAAAAAGAGAATATTTTATATACCAAAGAACGAACATCGTAAATGGTATTTGTAGGATTTTTTGGAGAATAGAAATTATAGAGATAAGATGATTTAAACGTTTAAGGGCATTTTTAACTAATTATAATAAAATGTCGAGTGGTCTATAAAAAATATTTTGTTTTAATCAGTTTAAACATGATGAATAAATAAACTAACAAATGGCAAACCAAGTTCAAATTGTATACATTTGTTGTTAATAAAAATTTAGAAAGTATAATTTACAAATAGATAATGTTTTATGTTATGACTTATGAATACTATCGTTATGCATACTGATATGTGTACAGGATGATTCATTAAGGATAAGACACTTATTTTCTTCTAAAATTTTTGAAGCTAAGCTTCTTATAGGACGCCTGGGCGCTGGGGGATCAACGAAGAAAAACCATAACCTAATAGCCGTATGTCTGTTTGTCCTTAACGCATTACTACACCATTCATCCGATCGCCATGATACTTTGGAAAGTTGTTGAGTACACTCCCACGAAGATTTCTGGCATAGTACTTTTTGAAAATTCCACCCCTAAGGGTAGCCTCTGACACGAATTTTTTACTTTAAATACAAATCCGAATATGTTTATTTTCGGCTGCTAACACAAAATAAACAATTGATTTGTAACCGTAGTAACCACGGTAACCATAGTAACAGTATCATTGACATACTCTAAATTCTAAGCATAGCTTCTGCCGGGGGTTCTGTGACCTTTATTAGGGCGCAATGTATAGGTTATTTGTCACTAAAACTTATTATTAAGCTAAACATTTTAATCATAATATATATTACCATAGGAAAGAAGGTTCTATTTTTATATTACATTTTTTTTCAATTTATATAGCGCATGTAGGTAGGATCTGTTTTTGTACAAAACCTTATGTACATATTTACTTCAAATGTACTGTTTAGTGTTTCTGTTTCTAAGAATACTTCGATTTAAGTTTTGAAAAAACATTTGGATTCATCATAAATCATAACATTTACTAGAGGAAGGAGGGAATGTCATAACAAGGTCGAAAAATATGTTTAGATTGTTTTTGGACTAAAACCACGACCAAGTTTAGTTATTTTGTAAAAAAAAATATAATTAACGTTGCCATAATATCAGTAGGAGTTCCGCCACAAAGAGAACAATGTTCCGGAGGGCAAGACGGTGCGTTTTTTTCATTATTCCAAGTATAACGCTCAATACATAGTTTAGAAATAACGACTATTTTAACATTTTTAAATGACTGTAACTTTTTAATGAATTTTTTTTAAAAAAACGCACCAATGTATTTGCGTCGAAAAATATAACGGAAATATTTTTTATTAGTGAATAATTTTCTGCTTAACTAAAATTTATATTTCGAATTGTATTATTCATTAAAATTCGACTTAGTTAGGCGAGCTAGCTTTGTATGGCGGTTGGCGAACCATGGGAATTGTTTGGCTTGGCTCGTGTCATTGTTCAGCTCGGCTAACGCTATCCAAATTTTGCCGATTACCAAAGCAAGGCCCTGAGCCACGCGCTGTAAATAATTACTAAAACCATCTAATACGATTTAATGTTTTATACGTCTTAACTCTTACCAGTGGTAGAATCAGTAATTAACCAACTAAAAATAGAAATTAATTTATTAGTTAGAAAAAAAACCAGCTATCTATATACGTATTGCGAGAGCCTTGATTAGCAAAATACAACGTGTTCTCACTTATTTCATATCTGTTTACATCATAACTTCTTGGTTTTGCGATGACTGCATTTTTCACGTTCCTATCTATAACTGTTTTACAATTAAGAACCCAGTCTTATTTTTTTTTTCAAAAGATAAGCAAAAACACTTTGATGTTCGTTTCAACAATTTAGTATTACTTCATTTAGTTACAATATAACAACCAAATAGAATAAACTATTAAAAACCTGTAAAAAGATAATAATTTTATTATTGCGTTTCTAAAAAACTAAAACCTGTACAAAACATATAATCTAATTTATGGAATCAAGAAGGATCTCTGGATAAACATTAACACAACAATGTAAAGTTAAAAAACCTAATTAGTTAAGTAATATATTTAATATAAAATAAAAATACATGAAATATAGTGTACTTATTACAAAAATAGTAGGAAAAAATTACGTTTAATGACACTTTCATTAACAATAACATTTAAAACAGTCCTGATACATTAGTAACTTATAAGTTCTAACTAATAAATACTGCATACATATAATAATCAAGTAGACTTTGCGTAATTAAAAATACGAAGTATAATGACAGTCAAAACTCTACTTCGATTAATTTACTTAACCGGTTTTAGGATTACACATAAATATTTATAATGACTAATATAATTATAGTCATGATATTATATAATATAGTATAATATGAGTAAAATATTCAAAAACAGTAAAAACGTAATAAAATAATCAGTTCATTAAAATAATATGGACAAACAAATTTAAATTTTAAGCAAATTCAACAACATACTTAATGTAATAATCACATTGAGTTTTTATTGGGCTTGTAATTCTACTTATAATTAATACACACAAATTATGTGTGTTATCTTGATAGCGATTTACTTGTTCAAGTAGACTACTGAATGTTGAGTGAAAAACTGGATGTTTATCATAAACATCCTCAAATGGTAGAGTATATCGCCTATAATCGCATGTATGTTTCAGCGCTGTTTGTAAATCATTTCTATGTACTCCGTGAAAAGCTATAGTCTAAAAAAAAATTTTTTTTTTAATTTCATACTTGTGACTAATTCAACGATTTTATCAACACATTTTACGCTAAAATTATAAGTGAACCCGAATAACGGGAAAACATTTCACTATTTTAGGTTTATAATTTTAAGTTATGCTTTTTTTAAATATTAAATTTTGAAATAAATTAAAACTGTTACAAAAAGTCAGTTGTAATCAATCGCTGATGATGGTAACATTGCTGCCGAATTACACCTATATACTTAAGTGTACTATTTTTTGGGGTTAAGGGTTTATTAAATATTTAATAATTTTATTTCTTTGCTAAAACTAAAAATGTTAAGCTTCTTAAAGTGGTCCGATTTCGATAAATATTGTTTTGTTATAATAAGGAAAGCTTCATTAAGGGTACATTCAGTTACAAAATTAAATTTCTAAACCCCATAATCCAAATTGGAATAACACCATGTTTTTTTTTTGTAATGTAATCGAAAATTCAAACCCAATACGCCGACAACCGTATAGAAATGTTTTTTCTTTCAAATAAAAAACAAATAACTACTGTGATAACTGTTATTTTTCCCATGGTCATTTTTTAACATAAAATTGTATAAGTTAAAAATTATGCTATAAAAGCTACACAAATTAATCTGAAAATAAGCTGCCGCCTGGCATAGTCGAAAGTTATAAAAACAAACAAGCTTTTCTCATATGTTGCCTATTTTTTATGGTTTAAAAAATAGTCACAACAAAGTCTTAAAAAATCTCGTTGGGGATATCGATGCGGTATTTACACTGTCATTGGATTTCGTTTAGAAAGTATCAAAAAATACCAAAAGTTGAGGTTTTAACATCCCGTACGCGAGCGCTTGGAGGTTAAATGGAATAGAACCAAAATAATACGGTTTTGCGTGTGCCACTGAACGTATTCGACTAATTGTACTTGAGAAAAGTTATTTTATTTGAAATGATAATATCAGAAAATAATTCAGTATATACCTCGCAATAAACACCAAGCATTTCTTTCCGTAACATAAACCGGCCGTATTGAAATGGATTTTGTACTCTGCTAATTTTTCTTATTCGTAAATTGAAATTTGAGCTTATATTTCTGTATTCATTTGTATAGTCTTTTACTTCTACAAGTATGTAACTCGTGTCATAAACTGGTGGGTTATCCCATTCATCAGGCGTGTTTTTCAATACAACTGAAATTAAACTCATCTGAAAACAAACCACCATACTATTATTAGTAATTAGGATTTTTTCTAATTATAAATGTCTTGGGCGATTTTTCATGGCCCAGTATATAATCCCAAAAAATGTGACCATTAAAACTGTTCCGACAGTTTTTCAGGATAACATACCTTTTATCCGAACATTTTCATAATACCGGTGTTCTGCCCTACTAAGCAAACTTAGTGCCGTAACTAAAAAAAAAAAGTGTTAGCTAAAGAAAATATGTACAATTAGTTTTTACTTGGCTTTAAGATTATTTTATTCTAGTTATGGCGCTTTTTCTTAGCAGGGCAATATTTCGGTACCTTAAAAATACACTACAGATATTATCATATCATATCATGATGTCGTAAGCAGAACAACGCGGTTCAGTGACAAAGTACAGGGCTTCTATTCACAAAAAAAAAGTAAATGTCCATAGCTTTTACTTGTTTAACTAATTATTATGTAAACTTTTTCATTGATAATGTTATTGATAATATTGTTATTTTTTATTATTGCAGAATTATCTAACTGCAAAATACCTAGTACATAAAGAATTAATAAATTTAATGGTTCATTAAACATTTAGTGAACGTTTATGCAACCCGGCATTAATTTTTTAATTATGAAATGATGATTTAAAGTTAATTCTAAATTAATTAAAAAATAATACCCAAATCTAAAAAAAATCAATTATCTGTATAACCTTTTTTTTTTAAATTTAGATGATTTTATCTATACAACACACGTTTCTTCTAGCGCTGAAACTACTATCTAAACTTTGGTGCATACGATTATATTGATATTGATTTAGGTAAATTGTATGGTAATATTGTAAGTATTATACTGAATATTCTACACTATTACAATGTTGATTATTATTTTATTACTGTTTATAATCTAAAAAATGTCATATTGCCTATACCGGGCTATACTATAACCAGTTCAACATTTTAAATTTTAAATTTTTGGCCGTACAGTACAGGCTGGATGAAAAATCTGATCAGCGGTTAGAAGATATCGTAGATCCAGTCACACACAAAAAAAAAAAATCAAAACACATTATCGTAAAAACAACAGTACCTTATAGCTTCGCCTCGAAGTAAAAAATTATTGAAATTAATTTTTAATTTGAACACTAAAAAACTGTTTATTTTTAATATTTTGGTTTGGATTATTAGAATACAATTAATCCATAATCCATAATGTTGGATTACTGGATAAAAAAAACCCATATTCCAACAACTAGGAATTATTGGAATCTGTAATCTGTAATCCAAAAATCAGAATTACTGGAAAAAATATAATCCAATTTTTTTATTAATCTCGGATTACGAGTAATCCGAAATATCATTGTAATCGATTACGTATTATTAGCCGTTTTAAAAATGTATGCACCTAGGTTTGGATGATTGTTCAGCAAACTTTTGAGGTAGTGGAGTGCACCATGCCACCTACCCAAAAGTCTTATATAAGACTAAATTTCCCTATCAATATTTTTTTTTTAAGAATTCAATAAGTATTTACTATAATACAAAAATATACACATAATATAAAGTTACATAATATAATAAAACTATATTCGGTTATCTAGTTTAGTATATAAATCTGTAAAATATGCAGTTATAGTGATAACTATAATTATCGTTTTTACCGATTGTTTTAAATGAAAATTGGTTTCCTACATATCCTAGTAAAGTAGTTAAAGAACTTTAATTTTTTTACAGAATTAAAATTAGACCATCCTAAGTAGGCGTAATTTTGTCAAGCTTTTAGTTCTAAAAATACCAATGAAATTTAATCATTGAAAAAATTGAGTAAGTTAAAAATAACACTTTCAAACTTTTACAAATTTATCTGTAAATAGTTGAAATTTATTAAAACCCCATTTTACTAAAATATTGCCTACTTAAACTTCTTAAAACCCATACGATTTCAAACCCCTTATAAATCAATCGGAGTGAACACGTTTTCTATTACTATTCTTAAAAACAAATTGTTGATGATATTTATCAAATACTATAAATGACAATAACGGAAGGCTAGGTCTTTTTAGGTGCTTATTTCCCCTCCCCCCAATGTTAGTGTAGCTATATATTGTAAAAAATATACCGTATGCATATTATGTATGATAATAGTTTATATTTATAAGCCAATGTAAAATTTCAATTTTCAGTGTAGACTTCGTTTCAGAATAATCCTATTTTTATTCCTTGATTTGGGAAACACTGTTATTGGGGGAAAAATTCTGAGTCAATACAAATTAACATTGACCTTCCAGTATTGTCATTTATAGTATTTGTATTTATCTAGATAATATGTAGTAGATATTATAACCGAAAAATGGTTTATTAAAAAATATATATATATAATTTAATAACTATTTGTATTGTTGACTGTTGTATATACAAATATAATGATTTAAATATAAACAATAAACAATTTTTATATTTATAAACTACAGAAATAAAAAATTAATTATACACGTATGTAAATTTTTTTTTTTTTTGATAAGTCAGTCGACCAAATGGACTTGGCTGCCCCCCCTAAAAAATGACTCCGCTACGCCCTTATTACATCGGTAGAGCTGCAATTTGTTTTTTTTATGGAGGGGAGGTGAACATAAGTTACGTCGTCAAAAAATGCAGCCAGAATCTCTAATTTTTTTTATTCAATACACATTTAATATTTAGTTTTTTTACATTTTATTAAAGGCATATCATTTTAGAAATTGTCTTATGGTCATTAACATCCGAGCACTATATAAACACGTGTAAACACTACTCCTGATGTGATGCGCCACTTTTACCAAATTGCATGCGTTACACCAAGGACCTTTTGGCTTTTTTCCATTGTACACTTTTTTCCAATGACAAGTTTCTTGTCAGATCTTTTTAACTTTAGTATTTTAACTAAACTTTAAACCTGTAACCTCCTTCTAGACTATACTAAACCTAGGATATTTTTGGTTAAGAGGAGCGAAGTGTCGGCGCCGAGCGAGCGAGTGCCAACACCAGATGACCTGCTCACCTGCCGTCCTTATCAGTTTGAATCTTGCCCACTGATAAGAAACTCATCATAGACATTGGTAATTTATGCAATTTGGAAAAAGTGGTAGCAACCAGGCCCCGGACACTGATAAAAATTAACACAGGGAAGATACTTATCACACAAAAACGCGGCGGCCGTTATCTTAAATCTACACCACTATAATGTTAATGTATCCAAATAGGTCTGCTTAGAGCAGCTGAGGAAACTGGTCAGCACTAGACAGGAAAGTAGATGTAAAACTATAAATAACAATTTTCTGTGAAACTGAAAAAACGTGTTATCGCCAATGGACAAAGACTATATTCGTTCGTCGTTATTCGTTTATTATTCTTTAGTAGTCTAGGATCTCTAAAACCCCACAGTCCTACATAACCCTACCTTACCCTAAATTAATATTTTTATTGTTGATTTTATGAGCCTGTATAGTATTCACATATTCACTGGCCTTGCTCTCAATTTGGTTCTAATAATTTAATTTTAAACAGTAATATATTTATATTGTGTAAAAACTAAAAATATTTATATTATTAAATTCTTTACATAAAAAAAAAAAAATGTATTTTTGCCGCCAGTACTTTTGTGGTGGCTTACGATTAACAATATATTGTGTCCCCTTCCAGGTGTCACGTTTTATATAATCTTAATCTGTTAGCATATTTGTCAGGTTTCATTGAAACCTGACCATCGACTACTGAATATTGAGTACAAACGAAGTTATTAAACTTTGCGGTACTTGTGTATTGTACGGATGCCCCCTCCTATTTTTTTCAATATCAGAGGGTAGTTATAGCAAAAAATGAATTTTCTAAGTAGAAGGAAGTATGTTTAATAGGAAATAATAAAAAAATTTACAAATTTTGTGATGTCTGTGATCAGTGGTGTCCAAAAGTCTAGGTCGGCGAGTTCAAAGTTCAAACACGTCGCTGCCGCCGCTCTTGGTTACCAGGCTAATTTGTTAACTTCTTCTTTAAATTAAACTTGATTTAACTTTAAACCTGTGACCTCCTCCTTGTATCCTGCAAGCCTAGAATACTTTTTAGTTTAGCGGAGCAAGCCTGCAAGCTAGTGTCAAAACACTAGGTGACCTGTCGTTCTATAGGAAGCTATAGAGGGGCGGATGGGGGTAAGTAATTGCTTCATTAGGAACTGTATTAATGTGTAGTGTGATTTATTTTATCTAATCACCCTATGATATTGAACAAATAGGAGGGGGTCCAATACACAAGTACCATAAATCAAACAAAAAATAATGTTCTTTAAAATAATTATAATTTTAAGTTTGTACTCACGGTTTTATTTTTTAAAAATGTATGTTTGTAGTTCAACAGTTGTCATAGGCAACTGCGTTGTTCAAAAATGTTATTAGTATTATAAACTAACGTTGGTTAGGTTAATTTGCATCATTGAATAAAACAAAGCGAACACTACACTAACACAAATGCAGTCAACAACAAACCAAGCAGTTGAACGACGGACGATTACTGATTTACTAACAGTAAACAGACTACAGACACCAGAGTGCTGACTACAGTGACTGTTTAGTGTTTACCAAACCTAATACTCGTCGCGCAATAACCTTCAGCCTTCTCGGCCTCGCCCTTTGATATTCTTATAGAACAATTTATTAATAATAATAAGATCGTATGGCCAAATGAAATATTTTGGGTGACACTATATTTTAGTTGTTTTTATCATAATATATTTTTTTGCGAAACAAATTTACAAACTTAAACAAAATAAGTTATAAACTAATTTGCCATTACCTTACACCTTAAATAAACAAAAATTAATTGTTCTAAGTCAGGCGCCTATTCCATTTTACCCTGGTTGGCGGTACATTAAAAACAAAATGTTGTAGATATATGTAATACATAATAAATTCGATTTATTTTTAGTTTTTTTTTATAGCTAGCATAACCATGGATACTTATTTTTGTTGTATTTTTATTTTGATATAATTTATGTGATTTCAACATTTGGCTTGCTCATTATTTAATATATATATATATATATATATATATATAATACGTGTTATGTAAACAGTAGTTAATAGGTTTTATCTAAATGATAATGCATTTTTTGGATCAAAAATTTGAGGGCTTGGTACACGAGTGGACTAATTCCATTTTTTTACATTGTGAGGTTTTTCGTGCAAATTAGGTGTAAACGGTAAAAGTAATATATTTCTAATTTCTGCGCCACAGTGAAGTGTGAACCAAGTAGGTACCTACTTAGTTCATCCCAATGCCGCAAAATGATAACATGTATACTCCATTTTAGCACAGAGTAGATTATGCGAAAACCAATTTAGGAACCAATTACTGGAAATCGGCTGTGATGGACTTGGTTCCTTTGTACTCTGAATCTTCCAATTATTTGTAAACTATTATTTACTTATGAGCACATTATTCGACCTTCACCAACGAATCTCTTTTATATTAATCTGTCGCTATTTATAATGATGATTATATACTTTTATAGCTAAATGTTCTAATTCTTTTTGGCTATTATTATTTTCCTTACAATATTTGTTTGTATAATATATATTACAATTATTATTATTGTAATTACTTTAATGTAGGTAATACGGTATTATTGGTATGTAATATTAATAATTTATATGTTTTCTATCTTTGTTTTGTACTTTATATTTAATATAATTTAATGAGAAGCATCAAAGTCCGAAAAATAAATATTTAAAACAATCATATAAATAATGATGTACTAGTTTTTTAATTCATCGGTCATGAACATGATGGTCCATACAGAACATCCTTGCGAAGGTGGTCCGACTAATTTCTTTTTCTTCTCATAATTGGTATAATTTTCTATATCCTTTTCCGTCAAGTTGTTAAATTTTTCAAACGCGTTGTAAATCTAAAATAATATTCAACATGACAATACATTATTTTCAAAAAATGTATAAAAATATACTAAATACTAAATGTATAATATACAGCTCGTGTCAACACTACACAGTAGCGTGTCTGGAGCTCATTCTAGGGGGGTCGTTTTGCCATTTCGTTTGAGGGGGGATGAATGATGATAAGAAATTATAACGCCTTCTGAAATCAAGGTTTAAAGATTATCTACAAACTTTGTTCTGAAATGTTTGCCAAATAACTAATGTATTTTTTTACAAACACATTTCATCATCCAACAATTTCACCTCCTATCCCCCTCCAAGAGAAAAATATCCTGTGTGCGCCACGGTTATGTATAGGTAGTAGGTACGAACTAAGGATTGTCATAATTCATAATAATTATACTTACAATTTCTTTTATGCCCATATTGAACATAATTTTATCTCTATCTTTTAGACCAGCTAGTCTTTCATTTTCATCTACTATATTTATTTCCACGTCTTTCCAGCAATTCCAGTACCCTTTTCTTTTTTTATACTACAAAAATGTGTATACAAACTAATAAATATTCAAAGAAAATACATATTTTATTATAATTAACATTTATTAAACATATTTTTTTAGAAAACATGAATCCAAATTGCACATATTAACTTGCCACATTTTATAGTAGAAGTAACATATTTTTTTAATTTGAATTCTGAAAGTCCCATTTCTAATAGAGATAGATAACATAATAAATATTCAATAAATTTGATAGTTATCGTTTAAAAACATCAGATTTTAATTGTTATTTATTCATAGGTTGTGATCCGACTAAGTATTAGAGGAAAAGGGAAGGGCTAACTTTCAGCTTATATAAAATAATATTAAAATAAAATAACAATAGTTTTATGTAATTGATTCTATATGGATTTATTTAGTTCTTTCACTAATTCAAATCTTAGTATTTATTTTTGGAAAATTGTCCTACGATATTTGTCATATCGTTGTGTCAGTTCTAACGCCATCTAAATCAATTTTTCTAATTTTACAGGAGGCACAATAAACTGATTAATGTTATTCGAAAATTAGTTTGTTGGTGTTTGTTTTTCACCCATTTTCAGTGCTCCAAACACTGTTTGATCAGACCATTTGTGCCATAAATCGAACATATAAATCGGTAATATTTAACCCTCCGTTAGCCACGCGGGCTAATAATACTTCAGTCACACTTAAGTCAGACTGTGACTTAGCCGTTAGGTAAGAAAAGTACGCAGGTCACATTTAATTCAAGTGTGACCGAAAATCGACTGACTAACAGAGGGTTAATATCCAGAACTACCCCAACCCCTGCCTTTTAGCACTCCGTAACATTTGTATTTTAATAGGTGTTAAAACGCAATTTTTTATTATAAAGGCGCTAAATCCTCCCTTTCATTTGAAAAATTCATTAACATAATATTTACCCTTATACTTGAAATCGAAGACTGAACATCGGCAAATTGTTTTTTAATCTTAATTTTGAAGATCTTTTCATTCTCTAAACTAGGATTTGTCTCAATAATCTAATAATGTTAACAAAGATATCATAATAAATATATTTGTTATATATGTATTATGTTAAGCGTTTATAATTTTATACATACAGACGTTTGCATTTGAGCTGAATCTTTTTTGGCCAACGGTTTGTTAAATATATATACTTTAGAATTTTTTACATTAAAATTCGATCGAGTAGCCATCACTAGTTCTTTAGCTTCCGAATGAGTCGATTTTATATTACTTTCAACATAATTTTTAGTAGCATAATTTTGATGACATATTGATTTTCTTTTTTCGGTCATGGTCATAACAATGTCTGTATCCATAACGATCTACACAGATATTTAAAAAATAAATAGTGATAGTTTTCACATTTTAACATTTTACACAACTGTTTTATTTGTATTCGATCTCGAATCAATCATTGACACAGCATTTCTCAAAACGTGTAATGGCTTAAAAATTGATTTTTCTTTTTTTATTAACGGCTGCAAAAATAATTATATAAGCTTAATTACACATACATACATATTTTTTAAAATAGATTTAATATACTTCTTTTGAGCTATTACTGCAGCAACTACATTTTCTTATTGGTTCGCCTACGTCTTTAGATGTACTATTTTTCTCTGCTGTTTCATTATTAGTTCGTTTATATTTCAGCTAGTTATAAAAGAAAAATAATATTTACGCTATTGTAATATTAATAATATACTATTCGGACTTAATTCGCTTAGGTACCGTGGATTCTAAACGTATTTTTGAACAGTGAGTATTTTGAAAAAGCGTACTTTCATTTTGATTGAAAAACTTTTGATATGAATCGGAGTTTTTTTCTGAGTATATTAATCTATAATTACCCATGTTTTCCTTTTCCCATGTTCTTTTTTCTTCTTCGCATATTTTCTTGCATTCCTGAATTCGTTGTTTGCTGTAAATTATTTAATTATTTTATGCTAAATAATAGATGATATCGCCGCCCCGGTAGAACAATGACACAACTGCAAAATTTTGTAAAATGGACTAATTGCTTCAATTTGTTTAGATTTAGCGAACGCATAAGGTAGAAAAACATCGTAACTGTAGTTGTAATAATTAATTGCGCATTCATGAATTATTAACATTTTAGTGAAAAATAATTTGGTTTTTTGGTTCTCTTGTAAAATTTCAATTATTGCAGTTGTGTCGTTGTTCTACGGGGGCGGCGATATCACGAATTTTGATTTTAAAACAGATTCTTACAGACAAATGAATAATGATGTATCACTATTATTAGGTATTGTTGTTATAACATTGTAACCAGAATTATAACGGAATTGTCTGATAATATTTTAAAACTGTATCATTAAAATACAAACATAAATTTAATACAAGGCACGTTATTTTCACAGAAAATTATTGTAATTTAGTAGTTTTTCCTTTTGTTATTTATACTTGTGTTTATCATTTTAAAATAATATATAATTTCCAAAACGATTAGTCAACATTTCCAGTAGATTATTTTCAAGTTATACCACGTTATCACTTCTTGTCTAAGTTTCAAAAGTTAGTAGGGCTCTACCTAACAAATATTAAATGTTTTGAATACATATTTTAAAAGAAATGCCTGAGAATTGAAGAACTTAAGCAAATTTTTTAGTATTCTGTCCACATTTACGAGGAAACACTGATGTCTGAATTATATACCAAAGACTATATACCAAACATTTTTATCAGTGTTCAATATTCGTTGTTCCGCTTTCCATTTTTCTTCTTCAGAAACCAATTTTTTAATAGAAGTGTCTAACTGTAATAATTTGAAGGTATCTCTTAGTAATTCTTCTTTTACTATTTGATCAAGTTTAGTATCCGTATGGAAACTAGGCGAATGGTTGACCTAAACATGGGAAATTTATTGTATAATAATAATGTTACCTATTTAATAAACTGGTTAGAGTAATAGTCCATCAGTACAACTATACAAAAAAGACTTTCGTAATTTTTATACATATAGGGTAAATTAAAAAAAATGAGAAGTTGAATAATGAAAATCTTATGTAACTAACAGCAAAGACATGTTATTGAAAAACAGTGTATCTGTAAATTTTTGCATAATTTTGGACTATTTTTAATAAAACTATTAAGTTATAGTCCTTACAGGATATCCAGTTTAATTATTTTTTAAGTGTTTATAACTAGCCTAAATAATTGTTGTTATTGAGCATTCACTGTATAAACCAAGTTTAGTCATAAATCGCGATTTTTAATTTTGTAAAAAAGTATTTGCTCATAAATAATACAGATTAAAAAAATTGCACCAAAAGAATTATAGTATTAATAGCTAATAGTGATAACTGACTTCCAAAAGGTGTGGCTTGCAGTTCACATCGAGCAGTATATCGAAACCAAGTATCTCGAAACACGCCGATGTGTATTCGTGATTTGGAAAACAAGTTTGATAACTTCTATTGACGAAAGGATAGGCGACAATAACCGTTTTAATGATAACATCGTCGATTTTTTCCCATATCTTTTCTACGCTGTACTGTCTAGCCTCGAGCCAGCTATTAAGTGTCTTCAACCGACTTTTTTTTAAAGTACATTAAAAATGATTTGAATTATTTACGCGTTAATTCGAGTACGCGGTATTAATTATTAATACATTACTCATTAAAACAATTACCGTTTGCTTCCATACATTTCGTTGTCTATGTACATAGTATTTCTTTTGTTAACCGAATAATTTGTGAGATGCATAAAAAGATTTTTTAAATTTTTACTCGTTGGCTTTTCATACGGTTCGGTCGCGAGTCTATGAGGAAAACATAAAATGGTCACTAAATGACTCCACAGGCGATACATACAATAGTCAATACTATACTTATCTACATATGTATATATATATTAGCATGTATAGGAGCCAAACCTATAGGAAGAAAAAGGACATTCATGATCTGTCCAAACAAAATGTCCTCTTAAAGTTTATCAAGTAGACCACCATTTTTAACTTACTGCCTAGTTCCCTTCTAAACTAACGAATCAAAACCTCATCAGCTCATTGGGACTCTTCTTAATAATAGCAGCACCATAAAAACCGAGTGGGCAAGTTTTACGCTACTTAATGCGACTAGATTTATTGGTACCATAATTAAAAAAAAAAAAAAAATCACAAACTCGAGTGTCTACCCGGTTTCTGGCTGTAGTGTCTTATCGATTATAGCGTACAAGTATATCATATAATTTACCTAACGAGACCATCGTTGTACACGTAAATCCTAAGCGGATCGCATGACGCTATTAAAGTATAGACCCTCATGTCAAATTTATATCCGTCAATCAGTAGAGGCTGCAGGCAAAGTAAAAATATAGACAAAAGGTACAAAATTGTATATATATATATATATTATCTAACCTAGAAAAAAATGTTGCTACCAATGGAATTTTTTTTATTTGTCTAATAGAAGAAATGTTTAAAATTCCAGCTTTCTAGAGCTTTTTAGAGCTATATTCCGCCATTTGATTAACACGTAAAAATGTTATTTTTGTAAAAATCGTTATAACTTCAAAAACTTTGAAAAGCTGACACTTTCGCATTCAAAATGCTTTACTAAATATTAGATCTTGTTTTTTTTTATTGAAAGAAACAATAGTTAAATGATAAATAAAAATAAATTTTTAGTCATCATAACTAATTGAAAAAACTGAGAATAAACAACAAATGAATATAAATATTTTAAAGGTATTATTGTAAGCTTTCAAAACCATTTTTTATATGTTAATCAAATGGGTAAAATGTCCTAGACCGCTGAAATTTTAAACTTTCCTTCTTTTTGTAAATAAAAACGATTCAGGGGGTAGCAAAACAATTTTTTAGCATGGAACATGCTTTAGCCTAGGCCCCCCCCCCAGCCCGAAAACGATACTAAAGTAGCGCACCTACTTTAAACGTCTAATAACGTATAAGTAATAAGATGCCATTGAAATAGTAACGAGTCGTCATCGCCATGCATAACGTTTGACCAAAACACATAATTAAGACTATACTAAAATCATAAATCGCAAGGAGATTATAGATCAGAAAAGATCACTAATGAGGAGCCAGAAGACTAAAACATGTTCCATGTTTTATCATTTTAGCTCTTAGGATTTAAGTAGACTGTGACTTTTTTTTTTAGTCATATATATATATATCATCATTTTTTTGAAATGGCTAGAGATCTTTTTCCAAAACAATAAACGTATTACCTTTGACACGTAGTGTTGACAAATCAACTTTTCATATCGCGCAATGTTCTTCGTAGATTTCGTTAAATATATTCCGATTCCTTGGCAACCGACATCCGGCTTAAGGATGTATGTTAAGCCTTTGTGTTGACTCATATGGTCTTGTAATTTCGTAAAACTATTAGTATATTAATAATAAGTAGCACCTATAGTTTGCTTTAAATACAAATCAAGCAACAAAGAATAACTCGCATACTCGATTGGCAAATACCATGTCTTTGGAAAGAAATTGTAATCATTTGGGAATATCTTGATCATTCTGTTGAGGTTTCGAGCCAACAGATCCTTTCGACATATTTCCGTCATTCCGGGAAAATGATTAGTTTTCTGAAAATAACAAGATGACCAGGTAGGTACGTCATACAGTAAATTATGACTTATGAGTTCAAGAACAGACGATTTGCGCGAAAAGTGTGTCCTGGTATCAAGAATTCAAGGAAATAATGAGTCTTTGCCCACGGCAACTGAAGCCAAATAAAGAACATTTCAATGATCCATTTTACATCGCACCCAGGTACATAGTACCTGACCAATATTAGGTGTCAGGTGAAGGAAATATACTTTAGTTCATATACATTATTGGGTCAGGTCAGTTAACATTTTTTTTATTCTTCGCATTATTCATCATTTATATTATACTAAACATACCACTTATTGTACTATATCACTTAGGCACGGGCTTAGAACTCCTAATTTAAAAAATAGTACTTTCAAATTATTTTTTCTTCTTTACCTTAAGTTATATAAGAGGGCTAAGGGAGGCTTTAATGTTTATAATGTTTTACGCTTTGGTAAATGGTAAGTACTAGGTTATAATAAATTAAAAGAATATATAATTGAGATTATAAGCACTATTTTTAATATTAGGTATTGGTTGAACTACTAGTTTTTATATATTATAATCCACCTTTTATAATTTCACCTTTTACGCCTGCTCAATTTTTGAGGCGATTTGGTAGTGAAATCAGCCCGAAAACTTGACATTTTCGATTTTTTTTTTTAATGTTTTGTTCTCTGGGATGTGGAGAGAATGTGGATGGGTCGAAAAAGTCATTCTGTATGTTGCAAGCCTGAATTTTTGCACTTTGTAGACAAGTTGTACACTTTTGGATCTTGAAAATAAAGTTTGTGAAATCGCTAAAATTGCAATTCTTCAGTTACAGCAAAACGCTCTCTATACTTATTTTACCCACATCAGAATGAGACTAAGAACGTGAAATTCCATCGATTAGAAGTGGAGTTATTTCGACTTTTATGAGAGTACCTTTTTTCCCCTAAATTAATTCGCACCGGTCACTATAAACGTATAAAAATGTTATATTTTGTTTGAAAACACTTTTTTTTCAAAGATGAATCGGGGGAAAAAAGTTCGAAAAGCCTAGGATGAAAAATGAGAAAGTTAGCAATTTCACTACCTTAATTTGATCGGAAATCGAAAAATCGAGCACTTCTATTTGATTCTTAACAGTTAACAGGACATTTTCTATGTTTCTAGTGTAAAACTTAAGTACGCAGAATGCATTTTACTCACTCCGTGTCAGCTTAAGATCAAAAATCCCGATTTTGATATCGAAAATAGGTGATCTTTTGTAGGAAATAATCTGTTATGAAAAATATTTCCTAGAAAAAAAGTTATGACTGTTGTGAAACAGGAAGTTCGTTATATTTTACTAAAGCATAATAATAAAAGATGCTTCTTTTAGTTATTTTTTTATAAACCTCCCCTTTCTCTATTGCGCCTCTACTCAATGCAATAATACATTAGTATACAGTACTGAGGTTGAAAGAAATATATTTAAAAAATGATAATATCCTGCATAGCAACATTACACTACACTAGTTACCGATTTACGAATTATTGAAAAGAAATATGCGTGTAATGAAACTAACTTGAAATTTTTTCATATCTTTAGCTCTTTCGATGCTGATAGACAAATCAGACCAATACAAGTCCCAAGGTTGAGTAATGTCTAACTCTTTCATGCCCAATGATTTGGCGACATCGCCGACGACACGATATTTACAAGTTATTAAACATATGGTACTCCTATAAAATAATTGTTATGTTTATCTGTAATAAGAATACTAAACTAAGTACTTATAATTCATTGTAAACATCTTAGGTTATGTTTATTATTACTTCTTTTTTGTTCGTTTTCCCATAGCTCGATTCCAAGCGGTACAGTTGAGCTTATCACAATACAGGTCTAAAATACAATCATAAAGGTTGCCATGACTATTTGTAAACCAACGTGATGTCCCTCTACAATCAATATTCTTTGAAATACAATTATAGATGTATTAATTATTTTTTTTAGTTGATATTATGGCTCCGAATTCGATTGGAACTGTAGAAGGTGACAAGGAAATTCCGGATTTCGTTCAACAGTGTCTTAAGTTTGTGGCTCTTTATGAACCTGGAACATTTTCTTGTTCATCGAGCTCGTCATTAGAAAACGAGGATGTCGATGAAGATATAAAACGTATACTCAATGAACACAATCCACCAAAGCAACCCCTGTCGGCATACCAAGGATTTTCAAATATCTACAAGAAAGTTTCAGACGACATGGACACGGTAACGAATAATAAATCTGAATACAATGATTGGGGCGATGCTGTCAAAGACGTGTGCACGGTGTATCCGCCATTAGGAATTGATAAAATATTGCTTAAATCGTTACAAGATAAATTATTGAAATTTCAACCGGAAATTTTATTAGAATACGGAAATAACGAAAGCAAGGAGTTGAGAAAATGCCTAGAAGCATCTGTTTACGAACAAGGATTGAAAGAATTTGAAATAGCACAACCATATTGTGTAGCGAGTAAAAATTTGCATTATGGGAAACCAAAAATATGTCCAAAAACTATGCAAGTCTCGAAGAAAAAAGTAGAGAATTGGTTAAACAATTGCATAGATCAAAATCATATATTTTCGTAATATTTACACATTTTTATACATATTATTTAAAAACTATAAATTATTAATAGGTAATCAACTGAATATAAATGAAATATAGCTTCTAATAATCAATATTGGTATTATATTTTGGTTTATTAACTGAATTGAAATTCACAGGCATAGACATTTGAGTAATATTATAATTTATAATCATCCCGAAAACAATCAATTAGAATATTTTGTTGGAAAATAATTGTAATTTTATCTATAGAAATTACCGTGGTAGTCTGACAACGAAAAATAACTACCAATAAAGAATTCTTGTTAGTGTATAAATACTAAAAATTATATATTGTAGTTTAAGCTCTAAATTAAGGTTTTGCGAAAAATTGCCTATACTTTCTCCTTAATAAACTAATGGGTAGTGTCCTCTAAAGAAATTAATTTTTATTACTTTAAAAGAGTACTTGTTTCTGAGAAAAATTAAATTTACTTTAGTATTAGAATTCAGGGATACATGCAAAAGATTTTTCCATGATGTAAAAATGAATAAAATATATAAAAACTAATTAATAGCTATTATTAATTGACACGAGAGGTCACTTATTAATAAACATAAAATAGATTATTAGGTAAGGTTACCTAAATATGCAGAAATATATTGAGGTCGTAATTGCTCCAGTGGTTTGAGATTTAACATTCGATCTATTGTATTATCATTGTATGACAACATTGACAAACGTATTTAGGTCAGGTCTCTATTAAAAAGAGGAACAATTTAATAAAAATATAATGTACAAACTTATTATTACATATTACACGAATCTAGCAAAATAAAGGATGTTCACCTATTTTATATAAATATGTTTAGCCATTGTACTACAGATAATCTTACAATAAAATAAGTACTTACGTATAGGTACAAATATAATTATTAATTAATAATTACACACAAAAATAACCAAAGTAAATTTGTCTTCTTCTAAATTTGTTTTTGAATCCTTGACCAGTTTTAAATAATAAATTTCCATGGTTTCCTATACACATATTTACATACCTATTTTACTTGTAAACCATTTCTTATTTGTTAGACAATTTTAACATTGTACTACAATAACAAAAAAAATAAAATTCTTACTTTTATAAATAAACAATATGGTTGCCTATATTTATGTACATATTTTGCCTATCAAAATAGATTTTTTATTTTGCTACTTGTATTACCTATAGGCTTTATACAATATTATTGCAATAGTGAAACTAAATATATTTTATTTCATTCTTTCTGTTTTATTCACATTAGTTTTTTTCAAGATTATAACCTTATTACATATTGTCTTTTTAAAACCTGAAATCGTAAGATTCTTAATTGTAGCAAATGTGGCTAAGATTCTATACAAATTAAATTCAAAACTATATAAATTAAGTAAACAAATTATGAAATGTATTTATTTTATTATAAAATAAGTTTAAAAAAAAACAGTGTTACAAAAGTATAAAAAATTGAAATGAGAAATTAATATTAAAAAATCTTATACATTAGTATCACTACTGTTATTTAAAAAATAATTTAAACTGGAAAAGATATTGGACAGAATAATAGAACTAAAATTATCTACATAGAACACAATTAATTACAGACACATATCAAATAAAATAAAGCAGGATTTTTAATCTAGAGTAAATAGTATAGCTGTTAAAATATTTCTTAACAACACACATTTTAAACTTGTTTTATATATAATTAAATTATATACATTCATAACTTTATAGAAAACTAAAATTAAAATATACTTAATGAATTTTCACTTTAAATTTAAACTATACAGCTTGTTGCTATACATAACTATTCACAAATAAGTCAATTTTCACCACTTTTTTCAAAAACTCTTATCAATTTAGCTACTGTAACTTCATTCCAGCTCTCTAAACACTGGGAATTCTTAGAAAAATAATTGAAAATGTTTTCCTCAATTGAGTCATGTATAATAAAGTGATGGATAACTGTTGGTCTAAAAATAATAAAACAATATTTTCTTTTACATATGGTTAAAATATACAAAACCACTAGTAATATAAAAATAATTCACTCACTTTGTTTGGCCAATTCTGAAAATTCGCCCAATTGCTTGTTCTTCATCTGCTGGATTGAGTACAGGTTCAACAAAAAAAATGCGCGTTGCTTCTGTTAAATTTAGTCCTTTTGATCCCAAGCTTAGGTTGATTAATAATGCATTAATTGTTTCATTAACCTGAGGAAATAACATAACAAGAGTAAAAATAATTAAACAATTTAATTGTTATTTTTTTTCTCTCGATAATTTATGAAAATATAAATATAAATAAAACCTATAATAATAAAACATTTATCGAAAAATGTTTATGAATAATGAATATTGTCTAGCTAAAAAGTATAATTACTTTAAAATCTTTTAAGTTTTTTTTGTAATTTTTGTCTGATTTTAGTCTTCTGTATTTAATTGAATTTTGTTCAAGTGCTTCGCCTACCAAATCCAATACTTTATCCCACTGAATAAATTAAAAATTACATTTATGCATTCATAATAACAAATAAATGAATACTATTAAATAATAGTCACTTACAGTTGAAAATATAAGAACTTTTATTTTATTTTCTTGAGCAATTAATTCCATCAACTTTAAAGTAATAGATTCAATTTTAGTAGAAAATGATCCTTTTAACACTATGCCTGAAGGGTTATCATCTGGATTGCTTTTTACATAGGATATAGATGTCAAATCGGTAATACTTCGGCACATTGGACAAGGTACATTGGAGCCATCTGACATACTGCAAACAGTGGGTATACAAGTATTGCATATACAGTGACCACATTGCAAAACTGCCCACTGATAACACAATCAAACATTTATTTACTCATAAAAATTAGTTTATCATTTATTCAATGAATATTTACTTCATTCTCTATAGTATAACAACAAATTGGACATAGTTCCGACTCGGTAGTATTAGATTTTTCTGTCTTAAGATTTTCTAGGTATATTAGTGTACCAATTTTTTTTTCTAATGCAGTTTGAGTGACTGGTATGTTGACCTCTAATGAAAAAATATGTAAGCCCACCTAAACAAAATAAGCATTATAAATTAATAATACAAATAGATATAAATTGATCATTTTTAAAGAACAAATTAATAACTAACAAGTTCTTCTGAAATGACATTGCCGTCATTTTCTTTCTTAGACTTTTTCTTAGGAGGTCCTTCATCGTTCAGCTCAGCATCCGCATCTTCCAGTCTTAATCTAGATTTCGCCATAACTATTTCATCATGAGCTGATAAATTATCACTTAGATGTGTCCACAACAGTCGTAAATATTTAAATTCTTTGCGCACTAGTTCTAACAATTTTATATGCTCAGCTGCATCTTTGAAGCAATTTTTATTAATAATTTTTGCTTGTCCATATTGAAATAATTCTAACATAAAGTAAACATACTAATAAAGTTAAATATAAACTAACTTTTTTTAAAACTTACTCGTGAGCAAAAATTCTTTTTGAGACATTTTCCAAAGACCTTTACTAGTGCTTTCAAACAAGCTTTTGCTTTTTTCTGCATCTTCATCCGTTATTGCATTTTTCTGCTTGTTTGATACACTAAAGAGTAACGTTTCATACAATCGTAGTTGATTTTCAGCTTCACACAATAAACACCTATGATGAAATGCACACATTTATGAAGCTGTACACTAACTCAATAGTTGAATATATAAATATGAATTTTACATCTGTTTTGCACTTCTTCTTTTTATAATACGTAAATGACAAATCAAAGCCGACTGAACTAAATCACACATTTTAGTTTTTTGTAATTTGCCTAAAACAGTCAATGAATCGATTCTGGCACTATTTAAATCATCAAGCCAAGAATACAAAGTGCTGTATACATCATTCAATGATTTAAGCCTTAAAATAATACAATTTATAAGATTGTATAATACATACAACTATATATATATATATATATATATATTTCTAAAACATGTTTAAATTAATACCTGTTAGCAATGTTTGGTACACCTGGAACTCTATAATCTTCTAAATCCATTTGTACTTTGCCCAAAAAGTCATCAACTGAATAAATCCAATCTAATAAATCTGACCACCAGTTTGAGTATGACAATGTCTTATCTCCATTATTCATTAGCTCTGTTACTTTGTCAGAATAAAACGCTACAGTTTTTCGTGTATTTTCAATCTACAAAAATTAAGTTTTTTGTTATTTAACAAAACCTTATACAAAATTTACTGAAATGTTCATTTATACACAAGCAAATAATAATGAGGAAATCACAATAAAAATAAAATTACTTTTTAGTTTTTCCTATGCCTTATCAAATATTCGTCATTAAGTAAATTAAAAAAAACTTACATTTAGTTTGCTAATTTCAAGATATTCTTTCTCTAGTTTTTCCATGTTTTCTTTTAAATTTAAATCATTTAATGCATGAGATACTTCTACTTGTTCATCCAGCAACAATGACAAATTGTACAATACGTGAATTTTCTATTTAAAAAAAGATACAAATGATTAATTCAAAATTGTATTTTTAAAGAAGTGTTAAAATGTTAAAACACTTGCATGGTACCAATAGTGGCCAATGCCTTGCATGTCACGCGACTATCTATTTTGAAAGATGTAACTATTAAAATTTGACTAACAGATTGAAATTTAAAAATCAAATATCAAAAAACCCTTTCTCAGTTATAATAATTATAGCTTATTTCAATATTATTCTGAACACTTATGTAATATATTACAATAAACCTTACTTGACATGTATCAACTTCAAGTTGTTTGTCTTTATATTTTTCCATTAGACTCAATACAGTTCTATAATGTTCAACAGCATTGGCTGGTTGTGATCTAATAAGAAACAAACCAGCCATTCCATTATGATGTGAAACCAGTGTTCTTAAAATTTCATTACATTCAGTGCGACATTTTTCTATCATGACATCCATCAGTTTTTCCATGGTCATAGTTCCTTTTACTTTTAAAAACTGCCCACGTACTGCCTTAAAGACATACATAATTATTAGACCCCTAAATTATTTAAGGTTAACATCAATGTATAGTAAAATTAACTTTACTTGTGGATGGACAGAAGCTTGTCTGAGTTTTAATAACGGTCCCATTATTTTAAATAAATTCCGTCTATCAATATTTTTTAAAGGTATCATAAATGTTTGAAATAATCTAAAACCAAATAAATACTCGTAATAATAATTATTTAAAAATACTAACACATCGGGGTTGAGACATAATTGGATCAGGGGGCCACAAGTCTTTAGTAATTATAATAAGTAAATATCAACAGGTAAAAATATTAAATTTGATAAAAATTATATTATTAATTGTAATCGTGTTTTTTATTTATTTTTCCCTTATTAAAAATTGAATATATTATAGTGCCACACTAAATTTACCTTCAGTCTAATTTTCAGAAATTTTGTCCAAAAACTAAAAGACTAAAATAAAAAAAGGAAAATTAAGAAAAAAAGAAAGTTTCCTCCTTTTATAGGGGATAGATTTCTTAATGATATTTTCTTGATTATTCACTGTACTTCAGTAGTACTAAATCTAAAGAATATTATAAAGTATAATTTCTGATTTATAGATTTGTTACAAGAAGATATCGGTAAGTGGTTAAAAAGTTATTGTGGGTTTAAAAACAAAAATTGAAAAACATAAAATAGTATTGTAAAATCAGTACCTTTTCAGCTACACAATAAATACAAACACAAAATAAATAAACAAAGTTACATTTGTGCGTTGAAATAATAATTTACCTTGATGAGAGAGTCAAAAAAAGCTCAGCACAGTCAGTATGCTGTTTTTGATAAAAGTGTTTTTCAATTTGAGAAAAAGTTGACCAATGTTGTTCAGTTGTTAGTGGAGGTATTCCTAGTTCAGAAATTACGTCTTGCATGCTATTACGCCATATCACTTTTGAAAACCAATTATACATTTCACTAGTTTCTCCTTTCATGAGCTGAAGAAATTGTTTGTGATTACAGTATGGGCTAACATCTAGGAACTTTAATAAACCATAGAGATCTACGAAAAAAAAGTTAAATATAAACAAATAATACAATTTATAATACTTTATCTGATTGTACCATTCAGTGATTTTTGAATTGGAGTACCAGTCATAGCCCATTTATGAACAGACTTCAAACACGATACTATATCGAAAACTTTACTATAAGTAGATTCAACTGTTTGACCTTCATCTAAGCAAATACGCCACCATTCTATACACGGTATGGGAGATTGGGGATAATAATAACGTTTCGAGTGTCTTAAACGAGCAGTTCGTTCTTGTATGTCCTACATAAAATATAAACTTATAGTAAAAAGTGGTAATAAATGCCAATTAAATGTTATTTACATGTTGGATAAAGTTTAGGTCTCTTTTTAGATTAGAATACGAAGTAATCACTATATCATAATCATTGAATGTGACAGGTTGAATGTAGCCATCAAAGTGAACACCATTGTAAACTAAAACTTTTAAACCTGGTTTAGCGACATGTTTTTCTATCTGAAAAATGTTTACTTAAATAAATTACAAGCTTAAAATCAAATGAACAATAAAAAAAGTTACCTCTTCAATCCATTGGTTCAATATAGTCTGTGGTACTACTACCAATGTAGCTTTACACCGAGGTTTATAATTTATCGTCCAGCAATCAGCACATAAGTATGGCGATTCTTCAAAAGGTTTTGGAGCAAAATTTACACATTGTGGATGTTGACCTTTACCACATATTGCACAATAGACCAATGTACTGTTTGGAATTGCTTCAGCACAGTAACATTCAACAGTTTCATTTTCCTCATTGCAAATAGTTTTAATATTTTTCTTTGACGTAAAACTCATTTCATCAAGTACATTTTTATACCAATTTTCTAATGAACTACGAGACACACTTTTTGCATTGTCCTCTAGCTTTCTAGAATATGGTACATATTTACGTGAAGGTGTAGCTGAAGGAGTAACCGAAACCGATTTTATTGGCTTTGTTAGTACTTTTGGAATTTCTTTAACCTTTATCGGCTGTGAATAAAACTAAATCAAATTTAAAAATATTGTTAATTATATTATTGGTATTAAGCAAAATAACAAAATATTTGACAACTTAAGTGACACAACCAAGATTTCAATAGAGATTGAATTTTAAGTAGCACCCCTCAGACAAAAAGCAAAGGTGGTCCTTCGATAAAAATATAGGGTAAGCCTATATGAATAATAATATTTGAAGTATAAAACTAAATTTCCTTTTAGGTATCTTTTTAATTTAAAGAAAATGATTTATTAAAAAAAAAAATATATATATATGGCTCTACTGTGGCTTAAAAGATTCACAAATGTCTCAGCTTGCCTTTTAACCTATACATATGTGTTGATTGTACATATATTTTTATATAGGAAGAAAAACCTAGGTTTACCCAAGGTATGTCCAACACAAAAACCTACATAAATTCTACATTTCTGCTCTGAGCTAAATTTGTCAATTGGTAACAGTAGAAATAAGTTAGTGAATGTGTGTGGCACTAAAATTATTGAGTTTGATTCTTGTAGGACTGCAAAACAGACGTTGTAAGCTCCTGTCTTGCACAAACTATGCTTAATTTGTTTTGATGGGGTGCCACTTTTTTTTTAAAATATATTTGTTTTTATTAAAAATGCTTATAAATAAAAAATATGTTAAAATAAATATATTATGCTATACCTCTGTGGGTGCAGAATTGGCTATAATACATGCCAGCATTTCAACTGTTTTTCCTAAACCCATTTCATCAGCTAAAATGCCTCCACTAAATGGCAATCCATCACTTTTACATACTAAAATAAAAATTATAAGAGAATCTAGTTAATATATAATTTAGTTATATGTATTTATCTGGCTTATCACATATTACTTATAAGGGAGGGGGGGCAATTTTGCTAAAAGTGTGGAGGCTTAACACCAAAAATATTATAAACTTTTTCGTTTCATGTAACTTTTGATGTAAAGAGCGTTAACAATTTTGGGGATGCCAAGCCCTCTACCCAAATTATGCTTATGCTTATGAGAATGGTGATCACCAGGACTAGGACAAACTTAGTTAATTAAATTTAAATTAGGTTGACATATTTATTGATAAAAAAAAACCTGATATCGTCTTCTAGAAAAATCTCACGACTACCAGAGAGATATATATATAATGAATATAATGGAAAGTTAAAATGACCTCTTACGTTGAAACTTTGGCTACTCGACAACAATGCAACTTATTTTGAGGTCTACTACAGAAAATGTATTATGTTTCATTTGAGACAAATGCTGCTTGACAACAGGTGCCCAGCATCATCTATGTAAACTACACCACATTATGCTCTTCCAATATACTTTGTTTGCTACAAAAACTAGTATATTTCAAAGATTAATATAAAAAGAAGTAAATTTAATTTTTGTCCCTAAACAAAATAGTATGTTTGGCTTAATCCTTGCATGATTAACCCTTAAAGAGCATCAAACCTGAAAACGGAAGTACAAAGCTTCTAAAATAAAAGTAGACTAATCAACCTATGCAAATATAAATGATGTCAAGTAATGCACATAATGTAATATGATGAAAAATAAATTTCATCAAAATTGACTAGCAAACTTATTGGTAGTCTTTGGTAATTAAATAAGTTAGTAACTAAGTTTAAATTAATAATAATTTTAGCCTCACAATTGTTGTTTTTTTCTTTATCTATCATCCATTTTATAGCTTTACGTTGGTAAGATCGAAGAGTTGGAATCATTTTGGATGGTTGTTGGAAATAATCATCTTGGTTTTCATGGTACACTTTAAGGTTTTTAAAAAACTCAATAGCATTTGAATTAAACATAATTACACCTGAAAATGGAAAAATAAAGTTAGCCAATATATATATATATATATAGATATATAGATATAAATAATAATGCATAAGTTTTAAATTAAATATAAAATAATTTTATCTGTAAAAAATATGATAATAAATAAAATATTATGTTCCTATTTAAAATTCTTCAAATCATCTAAGTTTTAAGACATGTATTGCTAAAATAATTTTAAATTCATAATTTAAACTATAATCAATAATTAAAGTAAATATTTCTTGTAATTCACTGACATGTTTATTCAAAACTGTTTAATGACCATTACAACTACCCATATCGTGATTTCTGATGTAGTTTAAAAGTTAAAGGTAATCTTTCAAACATAGTTAAAGATTATAAGTACAAGAACAGCCAGAAAGGTAAATATTTGTTAGTTTTATAACATTAAATATGAATACATATTCAATAAGAAATATATTGATAGTTATTTTTTGAGAAAATTAGGCTCAACATTTTTATTACTGATAGCTTAATATAATTTAAAGAAAACATCATTTAGTTGTTTCTTATTCAGTATATTGTTTTTTGTTCGATACTAAATTGTATAACATAACTACAGCTTTATTATTTTCAAAAGCATAAATATCAATTGAAAATTCAATAAATGAAATAATATTTGTATAGATTACACTTATATATTATATAAGCAACAGAATTTGGAGAATGGGCTAAGTCTACAATTAGGTACTAACTACCAACCATTAACACTTAGAAAGTTATATATTCAAAAAAACCATAATTTCAGCCAACTTAATCAAACTAATTACTCAAAAAACTGCTGCTGTATACAAGTCAATTCAAAGTCTGGGTAATGAAGTACTAGAATTTAGCGTCCGGTAGTATTGGTAAACTAATCTAATCCGATTACTTTGTATGAAAAAATGACAAAATAAAAACAATCATTATTTTAAATTTAATGTTTTGTTTTGCTTATAATACAATTCTTATCACTAAATATTTAATGCTTTTCGCAAAAAAATATTGATTACAAATCAATCAGTGTAGCCACCATTTTAGATATTATTAAACAGTAAGCGTTACCATTCAAGTTTTTACATTGTTTTATATCAGCAGTTATACACCTTCTCTATTTTAATCAATAGTCAGTGATAACATTTAATTTAGTGAATAAATTATCATTTTTTTTATCATCAATAATAAAATAATAATAAATATTATAATTCATAATAATATTCACCGATTATCGTACTAGGTAGTACCTAGCGGCTTGCTAATGAATTATTTGCTGTTTTTTTTTTTTAACTGATAAATTACATTAATTAAAAAAATAGTATTACATAAATACTTATCTGTTGTACGTAGCTTAAAATTATATCTTTCAATTATACAACATAAGAACTCAAAACAATGATGTTTTAGTTATTTTCATGGTATTCTTCCGTTCTGTATACCGTTTGTTGATCATGAGCAAACCTCAAGTGGTATTTGTTCTCGGAGGCCCAGGTGCTGGTAAGGGTACGCAATGTTCTAACATAGTATCTAAATTTGGCTTTGTTCACCTATCTGCGGGTGATCTATTAAGAGCCGAACGTAGTAAACCAGATAGCAAATATGGAGAATTAATTGATACTCACATAAAGAACGGTACAATAGTACCTGTAGAAGTTACTTGTAAACTCATACAAAATGCAATGGTAGCATCAGCAGCCAACAGGTTTCTGATTGATGGATTTCCACGGAACAAAGATAATATGATTGGTTGGAACACAACTATAGGTGACCAAGTCGATTTGCTGTTTGTATTATTTTTAGACTGTCCCGAGGAGGTAACTATTCCATGGCCTACTAACTAATGTAAACTATATGATATTGAACTACATTTATATATTTAATAGGTGTGTATTGAACGGTGTATGAAACGAGGTGCTGCAGGAAGTGGTCGTGCAGATGACAACTTGGAAAGTTTGAAGAAGAGAATCGTAACATTTGTAAATGATTCCATGCCAATTATTGAATATTTTAAAGAAAAAAATTTAGTTAAAAGAGTTGAAGCAGGGAAAAATGCTGATGATGTTTGGGCTGAAATTGAACAATTATTTAAAAACCTTTAAATAATGTAACTTATTAGATTTTAATTGCTATTAACCAAAAATAATTGTTTACAACCTTACACTCCTGCACTATTTTACAAGGTTTCATTGAGAGCACAATTATTACATCAATAAATAATTAGGTAACCAGTGGTTAAAATACATTTTTTTTTTTTATTCTAATAATTAAAATTATTCTCTTTTGCTAAATAATTTTAGCAAATTATTATTTTTATATCTAACTTGTAGTTAAGAGAATACGGTAGTAAATAATATGTTTTCTTTATTATTTATTAGATATGACCATTAACTATTATTAGTATATTTATTGCAATGGTTCTATGATATAGTTGTAACAAAATATTGTTATTTTGTCCTAGTTTGAGTTTTCTAAGTATGGTATTCATGATAATAATAAATAGCTCATATAAAATCAATCACCTACAAATGTATGGATGTACCTTGTAGTAAACTTAGGTATAAATTATGGTTAGAGAAGTAATGTGCAAGTCATTCTTTTAAGGTCATTTATAAAAAAAACCGACGTAAATTGACTTTACTAAATTCCAAGGACTGTGGGCATCATATTTAGTTTTACCCCTGGGCAGTGGGCACCAGAACCACTAGTTGCGCCACTAATGATCATGAAGTTATTAGAAAAGTACAGGACTAGAGAAACAATTCAGTGATACCAAATAAAAATTGTGGATGTATTAGATATAAGAGGTAGGTAGAGAAAATAATACATTTTTTTTTTAAAGAAGAAATAAATTATGTTTAAAATGTTATTCAAACCAAAGATTAAATTAAATTTACAAAGCTTTTATGAGTTTTTTAATCTAGATTAATATTGTACATAAGTCTAGGCCTATAAGGCTATAACCATAAACGCTATCAAATTAAAGTATGTCTATGATTTGTGTATTTGAGACAATTTGTATTAAGGGACCTCTGCTTTTGTGTACTTTTGATTGCAAAACTTCTCATTCTAATTTTAACCGCATTCTGAAATCCTAGCCTGACAATAGTTTTGAAACCGATATAGATTTTCCAGTAATTGAGAATCTAAATGGTTTTTTCAAAACTTAAATTGTATTTTTTTTGAGAACATTCCTGTTCAAAGTAGTATATGTTTTTATACAAGTTAAAAAACAAAATTAAATATCAAAATAGATCCCTCTTTTCCGTTTTAATATTTATCTTTAAATATTTTATCGTACTGTCAAGTTTTAATGAAAAAAACTATGGATATTTTTTACCAAATATAGAACTAAAAAAAATGCCTTGCAGTATTACTATTCTAATTTTACATGAGCTATGTACAAACTAACAATAGTTAAGTGCACATTTAACGTAAGAAAGTGTTGTTCTAAAATACAAATTGTAGATGAAATATTTTTTGTGAACAAGCGAAGTGTAAGAAATGCATTTATGAATATGTATTTAACACATGCAGGCGCTTAACCGTTGCTAATAAAAAAATAGTAAATAATATCAGTGTTTTATTTTTTGTCTACTGAAAACAAATCTATCTAATAGCACCAGTCCATTAGTATGGAATGATAAACAGAAGTTAAAATCCTCACTTGTAGGCAAAAAATAGGAAGCTAGAGGATTGTTAAATAGATAAATTGAAATTGAACTTCAACAGCCTTCCTAATAATTTTCGGGACCAAATTAGGGTTAGCTTAGTTTAAATCTCGGGGCTTATGAATTAAATCTTGAGGCGCCAAGACGAGTGCAGACTGCAGTCTTTAAGAGTTAGGACTCAACAGAACGTTAGTCGTTACCGGTTACAGGTTAACCGTTAAAACTTGTTGCTTGAGTCTTGACGTTTTTCAGTTCTCACTTTTACAGTTTCTAACTTGTAGGTAGGTATGACATATCTCATCTATTACAATTATTCACAAATCGTATATAATATTTAATAGATAATAGGTAATAATAAAGTTTTATTTTATTTGTGCTTTGATTATTGTGAGAAACACGGTTATAGATAATCGTTTATCTTAAATCATGGCGAAAAGTAAGAACGCAGTTCTCTTACCGTGGTATAAGAATATATATATATATATAACATTTTGATTTGATTTTTTTTTACATTGGTTCATGTTATCAGTTATCTATGGAGTGCTGATAAGAAAGGCGCAATTGCGCACGCGCGTTTGGCCATAATGCTACAGCTTACAATTCAATAACCTCAAAATAAGAGTACTGTAGAATCTTTCTTTTCTGTTGAGTATACTTTTGTGTTTACGTTCGAATATTCCTCTTAAATACTTGTTAAAACTAACAAAAAATGGTAAGTATCCAAATTTATCTAAGCGATCCTATAGTTTGACATTATATTACTCTATTTAATTGCATTATATTGAATTAGCGGTGTTAAAATGATATTAGTATACCTGAAGTTCTACGAATTTAAACTTTTATCTTTATGAGAAGTTTGATTTCATAGTTACCTATGTCAAATTAATTAAATTTATAGGGTCGTGTCAGGACGAAGACTGTCAAGAAGGCTGCCCGTGTTATTATTGAGAAGTATTACACAAGGTTGACATTAGATTTCCACACAAACAAGAGAATATGCGAGGAAATCGCCATCATACCAACCAAACCCCTTCGGAACAAAATTGCTGGGTAATTATTTTATTTTCTACATAATCGTGTATTGAATATACATATATTTTACAATAACCAAAAACTTAAAAAAATGTAAATTTCTTTTCCCATATAATCAATTAAATCTTGTTGGTAGTGCCCAATCGACATTTAAAACAATAAATTAAATTTTAATGTTATTGATCAATCGTATTAGTTATTCCAATGTCCTCAATAAGTTTAAGTAACTAAATATTTAGATAGTTTAGAAATATTACGACATATGTTTATACTAATATTATGATGAAGTCATTTTATTTCATTAATAAGAAATCATTTAATATATTTCACAAATTACTTGTTATCAATGGTAGTTAAACCTTAATTTTTTCTATAGTTTCATGATATTTAATTAATAAATATTTACATGCTTTATTTTGTACTTAAACATTGCTGTAGTTAGTACAATTAAGTGTAATAGATTTCAAAGCTTTTAAAATATATTACATTCATTATTTCGGTGTATTTGAGTTTCTACACACATTCTAAAAACTTTTTGAGAATGTACTATCTTATTAGGTATTATATTATATTACAAAATCAAAAATACATTGTCTTAAATAATAATATCCTAAAGCAGCCGGTGTTATAATTATGTATACAATATTATAAGTTTTAAAAATGTATGTTGTAAAATCCTCACCCATTAAAATTCAATTAATTATTAATCTGGTTACGCCTATATTATTAATTTTAATTAAATTGTTAACTTTTATAATTCAGTATTATACTTTTTGCTGAATATGCTGGTATTATATATTTTTTTTTATAAATAGCAGCATTTAATTACCAAAATAATAATTGTATAATTTGTATACATTAATATTTGATTACACTGAGTAATAATGAAGCTAATAATTTTGAATGAGAGAATCTCTTGGCACTCTTAACACTGATGTAGAAAAACAAAACGCCATTGATAACGGATGAATTCTTAAAAAAAAAATGTTGGTCATTATTAATTATCGATTACCAATTTTATACTAGTTTTATAATAGTAAATAAATGAACAATTATTTTAGATTCGTTACACATTTAATGAAACGATTAAGAACCAGTCAAGTTCGTGGTATTTCTATCAAATTGCAAGAAGAAGAACGTGAAAGAAGAGATAACTATGTACCAGAAGTCTCTGCCCTTGAACAAGATGTCATTGAAGTAGATACTGAAACCAAGGACATGTTGAAAATGCTGGTTTGTTCTCTATTATTATTATTATTATTTGTATTTGAATTGGTTTGTATTAAATTTTATTTTAATTTACAGGATTTCCAGAACATCTCAGGATTACAGCTTGTTCTCAGTTCTGGAACTCAGTATCCTAAGAGGAATTAAAAATTGTAATATAACTCCTATAACATCGTGTTTCAGTAATACAGTTTTTTTTTCCATAAATTTTTGTATGTTTTATTTGTTTGTATTAGATTTTAAAGTTCATTTTTTATCCCTGAAAGATTAAAACGTATTACTGTTTTATTTACATACTAATATTATTAAGATAGACTTATCTGTACTTTTGTTTCAGTCACTAGATATTTTCAATTCATTTTTAATATTCCTAGAGAAACTGTAAAGTACCAAAATGTTCACTAGTATCTTAGTGAAAAAGGGATAACATTTTGTAGGCGCATTAATATTTAATTATACTAGTATAATGTAGTATTTCCACATTACATGAGCTCACTTCAATAATGTTTAATTTTAGAAGTTAATAGCATTTTAATTTTTTTTCTTCAAAAAAGAAGTTAATATAAAATAGTGTGGGATTATTAGTATGGTGTAATAATGAAAATAGTACTCATAGATTTTGTTGAAATTATTTACAACACTAATCAATTGCTTATGTTATTTACGATAATTTAATAGAATTACTTGTAGAACTTTAAAATCTTGATAGTAACTTTAATCACCTAAAAAATAGTTCTGAAACTATCTGTTTAGCTTCGAGCATCTGATTTGGTGTTTTGACAACTACGGTAATATAATTATATTGTTATTGAATTACTTAATATCAATGCCTGGAGGCAAGAAACAAGATTTTGAGTTGCAGAATCCAATTAGTGCTAGAAGCAATGCCAAAGGCTCCTATCCAAAATACAATATTAACAATTAAGGCATTTTTGTGACTCGTTCATTTAATTGATCCTACACTACTTTACTTTTATATTAAAAATAAAACGAGTTTCATATTAATTGGTACTATTGTATTTTATGGCTTGGTAGCAGATATATTTTAAATCTTATTTTTTCATTTCTACACAGTTCAAACAAGAGTGAACAACATTTTATATTTGTGTATAATATATTTTTAACATGTGTTGAAAAAAAAAATCCTTTTAAAACTAAGTATTTTCGATGGGACTTAGGAATAATGATAAATGTAAATCGAGAATTCTGAGGAATATTTTTACTTATAGTGTACAACGTAATTAATCTACAATATTGATGTATATAAAACGTGTATCAGTCAAGGCATACATGGTATTATTGAGTGAGTATATATACTCGATAATATCAATATCTATGTACAAATATCTCAAACTAAAACTTAAAAATTGGTTGTGTATTTTAATCAGGGTTTGAAAGACAGTCTGTTCTAATATCTACTGAATAAGGACTATTTAAGGTACAGAAATGGAAATATCATTGTGGTTCATTATATCATTTGTATAATTATATGTTCATTATATCATTGTCGAACAAAAACTTGGATAAATCACGATTTTTTAAAGACGTAATGTTCCGTGCAGCGTTGTAATATATTATGTAGGTTACAGTAATAACTAACAAGTGTACTCGATGGTTAAAACTTAATATTATAACAATGCAAAGTACTTTCATCACATTACAACTCTTTAATTTTTCCCTATTATATAATATGTTGCAAAATTATTTCAAAGAACATAATATTATTCCTTTCTGACCAAATCTAAGACATTTTATTTGGAAAATATCAACTGCAGACGCATTAGTCCAATCTCGAAAGCGATTGACCGTTTAACTGGTTCGCTATTTTTCACATACATTCTCTATTATTAAATCATATTTAAATAACTAATTCATTTCGTAATTAACTTTCCATATAATTGTAATATTTTTAGTTTCGATGCGTTACCTGAAAAGTAATAGTTTTTTTTGAGTGAAGTCATGATAATTTTTTTCCGTGGACCGATTTACTCGAGTAGCAATTCTATCGATCTGTAATCGTATCAGGTAGGAACTTTGTAAGGTCAGAGGTAGAAAAATGCACTCTTTCCCTTCAAAATCGGGAGAAACGTCTTAAAAATTTTCAAATTTGTAATCTTAAAATTACGGCACATTATAACTTTAAAAAAAAATAGTCGAATTAGTTTCAAATTTGCATGGAATATTCTGTAGATATAGCAATACCTATATACGTTGATAAACTAAAAAGCATCATAAACCCTTTCCGTGGAAGAAGTGAAACTTTTTTCTTTATTTCGCCTTTTTAGATACATTTTAGGAATTAAGGTCTGAAAATTAGTCAGGTCAATCTAAAATGAGGCTATAACATGAACAAATTTCTCCAAAATCTGTTTCCAAACTTTAAAATTACACTTTGGCCGTAGTAAATTTCTAAGTTGTTATGTGTGATTGAATTAACAGTCAAGCGAGGTATTGAAAATAGTTGTATTATATTGTTAATTAAGATTTATGTATAATAATGGCAAAAATTATGGTATAAATCTACTTTACCGGACACCCTTTTTTTTCGATTTTCTTTTTGCCATATTCTAGTGTTTTTTTAAGCTGATTACGAATCTGAAGTCAAAATTAGGCGGACTCAGTTCAAAAGTTATAGCTAGTTGAAATTTGCATAATTCCCTATGTAACTGTACGCGCCCTTCGTGTTCCTTTTTTTTATGCCGGACACGTGACGTGGTTTCTAGAGCCGTTTTAAACTGACTTAACTTTAAATCTGTGATCTCCTCCTAGACTGTAGCCTGCAAACTTTGGACATTTTTAGTTAGCCGAGCGGCGGGCGAGTGCCAAAACACTCGGAGCCATGCCGCCGCGTACTGTTACATAGAGGAAATATGTAAATTTCAACTAGCTATAACTTTTGAACTAACGGAGTCCGCCTAATTCTGACTTCAGATTCGTAATCAGCGTATTAAACACTACATTATGACAAAAAAAAGGGTGTCCGGTAAAGTAGATTTGTTCCCCAATTTTTAATTTATCAGTATAAGTAATAGGAAAAAATCTCAAAAGTTTCTAACTTGAAAGTATGTTGTGAGTCATATAGACGCTATCTAGTGGTACAGAATTGCATAAATATATCCTAACCAATGAAATTGTTCATTTTTCCATACCATGTCACGTTTGCAGTATATGAATTTGAAAACACTCTACAAGCATATTGCTCCTGAGAAAATAATTCTACATAGCAATCGTACAACTAACGTTAGATGTTCCAGATTGTTCAGCAAGTTAAGTAATTGGGGAACGAAAAAGACAAATACAAAAATAAAGCTTGTTTACTTACCCGAAGGCATGGCTGATCCACAAACAGAACAAATTTTGGCACCGCTAAGGGCAGCTGTCAAGAAACAAGTAAGGCACAAACTTATAAGTTAAGAAAAATATATCTATACATTTAAGTTCCAGATAATATTAACAGAATATTTTTTAGGGTGATTTGATTAGGTCACTGAAGGAAAATAAAGGTTCTGATATTGAGATAAAAAAAGCTGTCGGAGAACTAAAAGTATTGAAAAAACAATTAGAAGATAAAGAATTGTCTTTACAACCTCCATCTGAAATCTTTAATCGATCAAAATTTGCAGATCTCATGATTCGTAGATTTTTCTACGATCAGTCGTTTTCCATTTATGGCGGTGAGGCTTACAAGATACACAAAAAAATTATTTATTATCAAACAATATGTTACAATATCTTGTGTTTAGGTGTTGCTGGACTTTATGATTTTGGACCGATGGGCTGTGCTTTAAAATCAAATATTTTAGAACAATGGAAACGATTTTTCGTCTTGGAAGAGCAAATGCTAGAAATTGACTGTTCAATGCTTACTCCAGAACGAGTTTTAGAGTAATTTATTCCTAACTATAAGATTAAATGTGTTTATACAAATTTGTACTGATATTTCTTATTATAGAACTTCTGGTCATGTTGAAAAGTTTGCGGATACTATGGTTAAAGACAAAAAAACTGGTGAATGCTTTAGATTAGATCATTTGATTAAGAACCGTTTGGAAGCCCTAATAAAGGACAAAAAAACTACATTAGAAGTCAAGGAAGAATGTAAAGATATTATTATTAAATTAGATGGCATGACCACTCAACAAATGTCTGATATTGTCAATAAATTTAATATGAAATCACCAACTACTGGTAATGATCTTTCAGAACCGGTTGATTTCAATCTCATGTTCGCTACTGAAATTGGACCTACTGGAGATCAAAAAGGGTTAGTAATTTACTGAATTTTAAATACTTGTATTTAACATACAAATATACAATACATGATAACAATTATATATCTGTTGTTATTTTAATAGATTTTTAAGACCAGAAACTGCTCAAGGAATATTTGTTAATTTTAAACGTTTACTAGAATTTAATCAGGGAAGATTACCATTTGCTGCTGCACAAATTGGCAACGCATTTCGGAATGAAATTTCTCCCCGCTCTGGGTTATTAAGAGTACGGTAAGTTAATTTTTTTTATCTATGTAATCTCATAAACATTTAATGATAATATTAACAATTCAGTAAGAGTTATAACTGAAAATTGACAAGGAGTAATAGATCTCTGTCTTGTCAAAATCTTTAAACCCAAAATACAGAACCTTTTCTACGACATAAGTGTGAAATATCTATTTTTTAAGAAAGATTGCTTTCATTTTTCTATTAAATTATTTCAAAATGTAATCAAATGTTTGTAGTTTGGTGTGAAAAGTATTTTGTTGTATATTAATTATTTATGTTTTATTTATTTAAATGTGTTTAGAAAGACCTAACTGGTGTTTATTATCGCCTGCTGTCACAAATGTATTATTTAAGTCTGTAATGTTTGTATTTTTTGACATCAATGAAATTAACTTTCTATACGAAGATTCAGTTATCATTAAACGATGTGATCAGAATTATTTTATAGCAAACGGATTTCAATCTTAGCTTATTCACATTGGTTTTATTTTTCAGTGAATTTACTATGGCTGAGATTGAGCACTTTTGTGATCCGAGTGATAAATCGCATCCGAAATTTGGGGACATGGAAAACACAACATTGAAGTTGTATAGTGCTTGCAATCAGATGGACGGAAAGTCTCCTGTCGAAATGACAATTGGCCAAGCTGTGTCCGAAGTATGGAATTTTATTTAAGCTACCCAAATTAAATATTGTATTTTAAATAATAAATGTCATTTACAGGGACTTGTAGCCAACCAAACACTAGGATACTTTATGGCGAGAATTCATTTGTTCATGTTGAAGATAGGAGTTACTAAAGAGAAATTAAGATTTAGACAACATATGTCTAATGAAATGGCTCATTATGCTGTTGATTGTTGGGATGCTGAATGTTTAACTTCTTATGTATGATTGTTTAATTTTGTTTTATACAAAATTATTTAAAACATTGAAATATTGTAGGGTTGGGTAGAATGCATTGGCTGTGCTGATCGATCAGCTTTTGATCTCACTAGACACGGAGAAGAAACAAAACAGAGATTAGTTGCCGAAAGAAAACTACCTGCTCCAAAAACTGTACAAGTTACAGGTATTTCTAACTAAAATATTATACATCTATGTTATTTATTTGGTAAAAACATGTATTATAAAATAAATAAATTATTAAATAAACCCTTAACCACAAAAATGTAGCGTATACATATTTCGGCAGCAATGTTGGTATCATCAGTGCATACAACAGACTGAGACTGATTATGAGCAAACACCTCCATATATATCTATACAGCATCGTCATACTGGAAATTATATCATAAACTGTCGTCATGTACTCAAGTCCCATTTTGACAAATTGTTCCTATTTTTCAACATTTTTATGGCAATATGGTGATGTTGTATAGGTATATAAGGAGGTGTTTGCCCATAATCGGTCTTGGTCTGTTGTGTATGCTGATGATAGTAACATTGCTGCCGAAATATGTATACGCTATAGAGGATTAAGGTTGGTTAAGGGTTTATTAAATATTTTATAATATAACCACAAGTGCTGCTTAAGTTTTTTTCTAGAAAAACATGTATATTTTTTTCCATAGAATTGGAAATGGATAAGGGTTTAATTGGCAAGACACTTCGAAAAGACTCAAAAGAATGTGTTGATAAATTGTCAAAATTATCCATAGATGAAATTAAACAAGTTCATGACTTTATTGATAACTCGTAATTTTTAAATAGTTAGTAATAATTAAGTTAAAATATTAATTGTTGGTTAAATTTTAGGACACCAGACCCCACTACTGGATTAACATTATGCAATATTGGTGATAAGCAATTCCAAATAAGTAAAAATATGATTCCATTGAAGTCTTATTCAAAAACAATGCACGTTGAAGAAATTATTCCTAATGTAATTGAACCATCATTTGGTATCGGTCGCATAATTTATACATTATTAGAACATACTTTTAAGATTCGTGAAAAAGATGAACAAAGAACAGTAAATAATATTAAACAGCTATTATGATAAGTATTAGTGTACAAATTCATGTTCAAAATGTAATTTTTTGTAATTTTCAGTTTTTATCATTACCACCGTTAGTAGCGCCATTAAAGTGTTGTATTCTACCATTACTGGATAATGATAAGTTCACACCTCTTGTTTCTTTCATTTGTAAGTATTTAAAATAAATTCATTAATAATAATTTAGTTGGGATATTTATTTATTTTTTTTTAAACTTTTTTAGCCAAAAGTTTATGTCAAAAAGGAGTATCCAACAAAATTGACGATTCGAGTGGTTCAGTTGGCCGTCGATACGCAAGAACTGATGAAATAGCAGTTCCTTATTGTATAACTGTTGACTTTGAATCACTAAATGAACCCCAATCAGTCACAATTCGAGAAAGAGATTCGATGGAACAACTTAGAATACCAGTAAAGCTATATTTAAAAAAAATTATAACACTTCTTAAAGCCTTCATACTTATTTTAATTTATATTTTAGGTACCTGAAGTTGTGGACTTAGTGTACAGTCTGTCACAAGACAATATTAATTGGGAAGTTGCTAAAACCAAATATCCGAAATTCGAGTCTCAACAAAATGAATAGTTTTCTAATATCACTGAAGTACAAAAATAAATTTATCAAAAGAATATTTTCTCTAAAGAGTTCTTACAATTGACAGATCAACATGTTATCTAACATCATTCTGTGAAATGTAACATCTTCTTAAATCTTTTTACTTCATTACAAAATAATAATTGTCTTTGTGGAAGTTCAATGTACAGCTATTACTATAATAAATGTATCAAATAATACATATTATATTGTAAAATTTGCAAATTGCCCAATAAAATAATTATGCTTATTGTATAAAAAAATACTGCTCTACATAGTACATAATGTATTTAACTGTGTAATAATAAAATATATTATTGAGAATGATCATGTAAGCCGATAAAGTACTGTTCTATTAAAAAAATGTTGGTGAAAAATAATCAACTTTGACAGAGTCAATGTGATATTCTAGACTAAATTTGAAATCAAAATCTCTAATTAAGTACATAATACTATAAATCAAGTGTGTACACTGTGTTAAAACGCCAAGTTATAATTAGGAGCAAATCAGAAATGGTGTCTAAGATAGGGTCTTTTGGCAGGATAAAAAACTAATTATTTGACATCTGTGGCATTGGATAAAATAATAAATAAAAAAAAATATTCTACAAATAATTAAGATCTTTATTGAATAGTTTTGGTATCATTCAAACTATATAATGGGCTCTTAGCCAAGTACAGCAGCCAGGAACACTGCATACCTCGTATGAATGTCAACGATATATTTATAATTAAATCATGCTTAGAAAATTATCAATAAATGTGAGATATTAATTTGAAAATATTATTTAATGTGTAGACAATTATTTGTATAAATTACATTTGTGATAAACATATTTTTAATATGGCTGAATTTGTTAGATCATTAAATCCTTTTAAGCTTTACAAAATAAAATAGCTATACAAATAATAATACTTCTCTAATAAGAAAATGTTTAATATATTTAATTTTTATTATGCAATAAATAAACATATTGATGATAACCATCAGTGTTCATATTATACTTGAATCCACCAAAGAAATAAATTACATACAAATAAGACATCTAATACAATACGTAATTTCAGAAATTCTAAAATCTATCCCTTAATTCTGTAATGCTAGTATATTAATTTTTGTGATTACATAGATATTCACAGTCTTAACAATTTTTTGTGCTTTTATTTAACAATACATTCAAAACTTCATTATCAAGATCAGCTAGAGCCCATTTATGAGAACTTATTTCCAATGCTTCCCATTCTGCTTTAAACGCAACTTTTGGATCCATCGGCATGGACATTGCTGCACCAGACATTTGATCTTGCATTAAACGCGATTGATCAGCAGCATTGTTTTCACCTAATACTAAGGCATAAATACTACGTAGGCCAAATACATTTAAAAAGTACCATGATGCAGATGACACCCAAGCAGCATCCAACGATACTAACTCAATACCTAAAAAAAAAATTAATGAATATCAGTTTTCTTTAATGAACATTTTATTTTAAAGTCAATTACCTCTTTGTAACATAGGCTTAAAACGTAATGTTAATGGAAATGGTACTTTAGTAGTAACAAATCCAGAAAACATCCAATTGATCCATCCTCCAATTACAACCATAGGCAAAACGTTGGTAACATTTCCTTTCAACATCTCGGTCATCATACTAGGATCAGGCATGGCTGTTTGAGCAGGGGCAGAACGTTTTTGGGTTTTAAAATATCCATTTTCTTCATTATTAAAATAATGTCTTCTCATGTAAAATCCTTGTTTAGATATATAACGACCGTTTTCACGTAACAAACGTGATCTAATTAGTACTTGACTATCCTGTACTTGAGTGAGTTCCACTTTTTTTTGTGACGTTATTAAAAGAGAAACATAATGCCTTATGACACCGACTAGAAACGTTATGAGTACAATTGGTAAAAACACCCACCCGCGAATATTAATATCTAGCACTAGCTCAGCCATATTATTTTAAGTTTATTTATTAAAGTATAAGTATAAATATGATGTCACCCACGTAAAAAATTAGTGGATTATCTTATAAAATACCTAAAATACATTTTATTATTTTAAAATACAAACTTTGGCCATAATAATTTATTCAATAATTAAACAGTGAAAACTTATATCACAAGTCACAACTGGCAATTTCAGTTTTTACATGTCACACATACAAACACTACGCTACAACTTACTTTTACAGTAGCCATAACCACTATATAGCTACTACCTCCTGATAAGTGATAATACGTTTTGCATTGATAAGACATTCGGAAATAAAATGGGATAGCACCACCTTTCCCAAATTACATACGTTACCAAGAACCATTTTTTCCACCGTCCACTTTTGTCCAATGGGCAATGACCAGTTTCTAATCAGATCATTTTGACTTAAATTTAAACCTGTAGCCTCCTCCTAGACAGTAGTCTGAGTAATCTAAAAATGTTTAATATAAGTCAAATTTATGAATATTTCTCACTAATCCAACCACATTCTGATATATATATATAACCAAGGTGATAGATACCAAAGTATAATATTAAAAGGGAGATGGCATGACTGTCTTAAAATACCACAAACTAAAGAAAAGAACGTATTTAAATTCAAAAATAAAAATATATTACTGTGGTAAGACGCATTTATCATTGATTAAAGTAAACATATAGATCTAATGTAATATTGTTATATTTTAATTTTACTTATATTCAGTTTAACTATGCAATAATTAACTTTTCGAAGACCCTAATTTCTAAATAACACAACTGTTGGTACTAATTTTACACACGTTTACTGTATAGGTACCTACAATCCACAAAATATAAATTAATTTGAATTATATTTAAATAAATCATATTTTGCATATTATTGGTTACGAAGTTTTTATACTACGCTTCTTCCGTTGTATACATCATAAATTATCTTTAATGCTAGTTTCATTATTAAATAATATAGGGTGTTCCAAAAAGCAGCCACATTTTGAAAATTCTATAACTTTTTTAATATTCGTCCAAAATAAAAATAACACATACCTATTGTGTTCAGGAGGTCCTGAGGTTTATGTGTGGAACATAACATCGGGAATATGACCGTCCCTGCTCGCCCTACAGGCCATCAATTTAACGTCCATGAAATTTCGGATGACGCTTTCGCAGATTTCGATGTATAGGTCACCCATCACTCGCCTGATTTCCGTGGCCATCACGATGTTGTGACCTAACCCCTTGCCAATTTTTCTTGACTTAACGTACCCCCCATAAGAAAAAGTCGCAAATGGTTAGGTCACAAGAGAATGTGTTATTTTTTTTGTACGAATATTAAAAAAGTTATAGAATTTTCAAAATGTGGCTGCTTTCTTGAACACCCTATATAATTGAGTTCATTTGTTGTTTCTTTACCTCTACTAGTAAAAATACATGTGTTATATTGTTATACTAAGTACTTAAAAAAAAATCTTAACTGTTGTACTTACTGTTTACCAGATTATAAGGTAGTTTAAAGTGTAAAGTCGTCTATTTGTAAGTAGGTGAAAATGTCCAATTTGGAATTTATTATTTAGGTTATACTTTCGTAAATTAAATATTATAATGGTTGTTTATTAAAGAATACAATAGTAATTTAAATACTATTGAGATATTGAAATGATAGTGTTCGAATTGGGGGGAGGGGAGGCTGAGTAGCCCAACTATTTTTAAGAAATTGTAGCGTACCCTACTAATTTTTATAAGTGGTGTTTTTTTAGGGGTAAAAAAAATTCCAAGTACGCTCTTTCTTTTTTTTTAGTAAAAACGCCTCCTATTTTTATTTTTCCAATTCGAGCACTGGCAATGGATAACATCAGATAGCGCTAAATTTAGAATTTAGAAAACATATATTATGTAGGTACGGACGAAAAACGTATTTTATTATAACAAAATAAGTCTTAAACTTTTTCTAACTGAAATCATAAAATTCATTGAAATCATTTAATCAGCTTATTCGAAAATAATTATCAAGCATATAAATTCGTTTACCTATATGTTTGTATACTTTTGAAATAAAAGTGGTGGCGTAAATTTGTTTGCTTGCTCATGTCGCAGAGTATTACTGTATTTTATATACAGGTTCAGTAAATTAGACCCAATAAGATCATAGTTCACAGGATCATTTCTGTAGTATGCATCGTCCCCTCCAGGTGCAAATCTGGAGTCGTCGTCAACTACGATGATGAGCTTAGTCCATCTACTTGAGCGTGAGATAGCTGGTATTGTGCTACTTTGTGGTGCAACGATGATCGCTAACGGTTCCTACCGGATGGTGGGTGGACAGGTTGAGTGGTCTAATCATAGGCGCAATTTCAATACTGGGGGAGCTTCACCACCCACAACCCCCAGTCAGTCTTAATATCTTTCTTAAATGTACAAGCCCTTATTTATCTTAATAGACGTTGCCCAATAGACACCACAGGAGGCTGGCTGAGTCAGCTCCCAAAAATGAGTATTTTTATTTTTCTAGTCCCATGGATTAGTTAGGAACTGTTAGGTTCTAACTATTGAACTATCAATGCCAATAAACAGTTTTGGATAATTATTTTTAATAAATAAATTAAGGTTGGGAGGAAGGGTGGAATTATAATATTATTTTTATCTGCGCGCATTCCTCAACCGCACTTTTCCTTTTGTTCTAACTTTTAAACTGTAATAACTTGAAAAGTTATGAGATTACATTATATAAAAACACTACGAAAAATAAAAATTCTAAAACTCATTAAATCCTATGAGATATTGAGTGAATCACTTTCAAAAAACCACCCTGTATATCTATATCAGCGATAAACATTATAAGATAACAAAAGGTTACACGGGCCGCAACTCATACGTCCATCGAAAACTGACAGACCGGAATTCACCGGCCTCCGATATCGTAAACATTTCGAGCCGCAACTCACTACTCACCAGTCACCACAGTCCAAGTTAGGGTATTATATTTTTTAACGTATAACATTTTTTTCGAATTAGAGATTTTGGTTGTACAAAAAACCATTTTACACCTAAATATCTGACAAAATTACGCCTACTTAGAATGATCAGATTTTAATTCTGTACAAATATTTGATCTCATCTGTTTTTTTTCCCGGTCGTGAAAGTCGATTTTTAAATACATTTTTTTTACTTTAAAAAGACAAGGAAGTGAATACTGAAAATTTGAGTAATTAAAATTTTAATACAAGCTGCAATTTACAACATTTTTCATTATGGTGTAAAATATCTATATACAAGTGGCGACGATCCCATTTTTTAAAAATTGATTAAAAATCAAAAACCTCATTCTCCTGGACGTTCAAAACAAAGGACCCCCCCCCAGCCATATGTAATGCAGATTTTTGTTTAATTGACGTCCGAAACTAATTGTTTTCCCGCGCCCCCTCAAGGTAGCCAGTACGGACCTGCCTTTAAGAACAAATTAGTATTGGATTTATATTAGGCTCCCCCTCCCACATTATAAGTAACGATGTTTAAGTTTTAACCTAATAAATAAAAGGGCTTTGCAAAATTCTCAAAAGCGTTTAACAATTTACAAAATGAAGTGAACAGTTTAGTAAGAACCTATTTTATTAAAATTAACTCCGCTTGAAAGTGTAAGTGGAAAACAGTTAACTAATTAAAAAAAAACACAAATTACACTACAGCAAAAATTTTCAAATTTAAAAATTTGAGATTTCTATAAAATAAAAACTTGTTGACATTTATAGAAATAATGTAATCACGCGGCACGCCAGTAAGGAGAATATCATATGTCTTAAAAAACAGCACCAAAAAAATAAAATCTACTTACTCTAAACAATTAACGCACTGTATAATAACGGTTAATGGGAGGGGTAAAGCCTTAGAGGCCAACTAGCCCCTACCACTGCGTACGCCACCGATATAAAATCAAAAGAGTATCTGTTTTTTGGAAGCAATGACTTAAGAATCCATTTTTAATTTATTCAGTATTTAGCTTAATAGGTATGAGATGTTGAATACGGAATAACATTATTTATTTAAAATGAAAAATTGTTAGTTTCTTATTTGTTTTGTTCGTTTAAAAAAAAAACGTATATTTGAATACTAAAATATTTTTTTTTTTTTTTTTTAATAGCCTTTATTTGCAATATGACGGCTCTACTAAAATATTGAAATCATAAATAAAAATGAAATAACTAAAACGGGTTTTAATTATAATACAGAAATTTTATTTTTATTTCTAATAATATTATTATTTAACATTATTGTATACAATGTGTATAATATTATTGACCTATATAATATTATTGAATACCTATGCATAAGAATGGTTAACTTTTAAAGCATATTTTTATTATGATACACATTATAGCATTGTCTTGCTTGTAGATGTTGAGCACGCTCCCATGGCGCTAGAAGTAGAGCCAGTATTTCGTGGTGATCCTACTTCTGGTCTCCAAATCTTTGCTCGCATTATTCCAGCACTGTCAGGACAATTTTCTTTTGCTCTTGACCACGATAATGAATGCAACGAATAAGGAGTTCCAAAAGCACCTAAAAGTATAGTTTAAACATTTTTTAATTTTTATTTGAAAACAACGATATAATATTTAAGTGAAGTTTTTGTAAATTATAAAGTTAATTAGTATGAGTAAGACACCTGTGTATTTCTATTGTGTCATCGATATAGACTATAGACCATGTATATTATACATGAAAGGCAAAAAGTTACGTTTTGCAAACAGAAAAACACCTAATAATAAAATCTACTATCCAGATCACTAGCCAGGTCGCTAATTATTGAGATTTTTTCTTGAAATGCATTTCTAATTTTATTATAACTGTGCCTAGTCACTCTAGTTTTATCTTGACTTTAATCTATGCATTATTATGTGTATTCAATTGTTACTCACCTCTGACGATAAATTTTTTAATGGGTTGTTCTTTTACTGGAACTGGAGGTCTGTGTAAACGTCCGGCAATAGTTGTTAGTTTGGCGACATTTAACGACGTAACTCCGTTACCTGTAGGACCCGTGCCTCTTGTAAGTTCTGACAGGAAATTTATATAGCCTATAGCTAGTTTGAGGGTATCCACTTTTGACAATCGTTTTTCGTATGGTAAAGTTGGTATGTGTGCCCGGAGACCTTCAAATGCTTCATTAATGCTTTGCATGCGCCTTCTCTCTCTTAGATTTGCCGCTTGCCGTTGTTGCGTCTTCTGTCTGTGACATCTAGAGCTCTTCTTGCGACCCGAACCTCCTGCTCGCAAAAAACAAAAAAATAATAACAATGATAATATTATATCCTATCTATCTAACACGTTTTATTTGAAAATAATATTAAAATATATTTTTTAAACAATTTTTCATATATTTTATAGTTACACAATATTGCTCAATATAGAGGGCCCACATGCCGCTGGCGGAGATTAATGATTACTAATTAAACATTAAAGGTGTCCTATTATAATGTGACTGAGAAAATTAGCACAATTTTTGGGAATGCGATTATTATGATAGGAGGCACATACCGCCAAATTAAGCTTAACCCACAAGTTGCAGTTGACATTCTAAGTTGTTAATATACTCTCTAATCGTTCCTTAAACGGAATTGTGTGTAGAAGTAACAGTATTTCCATAACTATTGAAAATATTATAACTTAATGGATTTTTAAATTATTTAATTACAAATAACAATATTTACCGATAACCCTATGTCATATCCTATAACATATGTTCTGAAAGAATTTCCTATATCATGTGCCTATAGATAGTAGACATGTGTCAGGTCATCGTCGGCCATTAAGGGTTATCGACGTCTCCTCCAAAGAAGAGGTTTTTAAACGGATAAACTTTTTTGGAAGGCTTAATCGACGTTAGTCGCGTAGGCGCAATTTCAATTTTTAACTCGGGGGGGGGGGGGGCTGGAATTTTTTTAAAATATATATATAAGTAAATATATTTTTGTATTTCAAAATTGTATGCATAACCTAATTTTTTTGGAGGGGCTAAATCTACCCTAGCCCCCCCGTATTTGCGCCTATGGTTAGTCGGTCGAAAAATAAAAGGATGTTGACTCCTTTAACTGGATGGTTTCTCGCCAGGAAACGACAGAGTGTTGGACTAATCTTAACTACCTATTCTTAATAATTTTGTAAAATTAAATAATATTTCCAAGAAATATAGTCAAAAATTACTAATACAATGTTTCAGTCTTCAATCACTAACTCACTACAATATACAGGGTATGGCAGAAGTCAGGACACGAAAGTAAAGTAAAAAATAAAAACACTAAAATTTACTCGAATTCAATATTTTTTATATTTAATATATTCTGTAGGATGTGCAATTTATGTGTGATAAACCACTTCTGGCATATGACATATGGAATATGGCATATGGTGTTTGTAGACCTCGGCCTTTAAGTTTAAGACGAGGTAGGCTTAGATGAGGTTTGGTTCCAACAGGACGGCGCTACGACCCACACAGCCACTCGATCAATGGCATTGGTGCGTGAGCTCTTCCCGGCCCATGTCATCTCCCGCAAAGGAGACAATCAGACATCAATTAGCGCCCAAGGTCCCCCGATCTGGCCCCCTGCGATTTTTTTCTGTGGGGATACTAAAGGCTGAGGTCTACAAACACCATCCTAAAAACTTGGAAGAACTTAAAGCCGCAATTAATGAACAAATCGCAGCAATTCCACGGGAAATGACGGTGCGAGCTATGCGAAGTTTTCGTTTGCGCTTTGATGCCTGTGTCATCAACGAAGGTTTATCACACATAAATTGCACATCCTATAGAATAAATTAAATATAAAAAATATTGAATTCGAGTAAGTTTTCTTGTTTTTATTGAACTTTACTTTCGTGTCCTGATTTCTGCCGGACCCTGTACTACAAACGTCAGACCAAAATATGTGACATGTGAATTGTGAAAATATCAAATAAGCAATTTTTATTAGTTCCCTGAAAATGGTTTTTTTAATTTCGGGATTGTTGTAAGACCCTATTTCGGCATATGTATAGGTACATGGGGTATCAACATAATAAGGATACAATATGTATCCTTATCGAAAATATAACAATGCACGTCGTGTGTGTGTGTGTGTGTGTGTGTGTGTGTGTGTGTGTGTGTGTGAGATTGTCTGTGCAATTCCTGTTTGTCGATAGCGCCTATGCGGATTCGAATTTTTTCCCTAACATTTTACCAGCATGTTTGTTCAGTTGTCAAGATGAACTGATTAAATTATAGAGGTAAATGGTGTTTACGATTTGGCGTGACCTTTAAAGTAAAAACTATAAACTATAAATTTAACATAATATTTTGGATAAAAATGTAATGTATGTGATCATTTGGGTTATAGAATTAAAATATATCTCTTACCGCAATTTCTAGATTCGCAGTCACTATTTAACGAGCTGGTACCGTCGGATTCCGAACCTGATGAGTACTCGTAAAGAAAATAGTCTCTGGTGTAAGGTGTATGATAATGGTGCGCCGAGTTGTGATGATGCTGATAATGGTGATGATCCATATCGCCCGCCCAAAGCTCGAGCGCTACTGAAGTGTGTATTCAATATTGCACTATACCTACCTATCGGCGGTAGTTGCTGGCAAATACGAATCGCGACGAGGCGTTCCGGAGGGACGTCGCCACGCAACCACAAAACCACGCCCCAAAGGGTCCCACAACCATTGTTGTAAGATTTAAGTGTAAGCTGTGTAACTTAGAATAATGAAAATATAAGGTAAATATTAGTTTTTATAAAAATCATAACCCACGACTTTCTAGATCATAGATGGATGTTCGATCTTATTTGGGTAATGGGTATCACTATTCACTTTTAAGACTTAGTGCATTAAGCAGTACGATCATATAGCAAGGTTAATTTTATACTCTAGCATACGCAATAATCGTTTCTGGAGAAATTATTTTACTAAAGCAACATTAAGATAAAATTTGTAAACATATATATCAGCACAGGAAAGAGGAATCTATTTTGATATTTAATTTGTTTTCCAACTTCTATAACGCGTACAGTCTCTATTTTTGTACAAATAATATATTTTATTTTGAACAGTAAGTTTTTAGGAATAATCCGATAAAGGTTTTAAAAAACTTTGGGATTCTTCATAACTTTACAACACAATTTGGCACAATTTTAAAATTATTTTTAGTTAATAATTTCTTTGTGAAAAATTTCACTTTTTTAATATTTTTAATCATTTTTGCTATAACATTAACAACGAAAATTAAAAATGTACTTCGATCGATACACCAAGCAAGCATTGAAGAATCGATATTATCTGATGTTGACTGTTTTCAAAACTATTGTCGGACCACGCGTTTCAAAGTACGGTTAAAATTAGAATAAGTTGTTTTTGATAAAAAAATACGCAGGTGTAGAGACCCTTAACATCATCTGCAATAAGTAAACAATAATAATTTATGACTACACTTAACTAAAAGCATTCATAATATTATGTATAGCAAAGAAGAAAAATGGCTACCTTATTGTACCCAACACGACACTAATCGTTTGCGAAATTTAATTATTAATTTTAACTTGTTTAATCTACCTTTAAGATAAGAAACAGGCCACGATAACTAGGAATTTTCCCAAATAACTTAGGTAGGACACGCAGCTTAGTTATTATCGTCAGGGCCAGACCGTAGGGGTGACAAGCTAACACTTACTTCAGCCCAGTTCAAATATTTCAGAAACTAAATATTAATGGTAAACGCTGATGTTAAATCGTCAGATAAGTAATAGGTAGGTACGTAGCAGATCCCGACGATGAATAGTTAGGAGCAAAACTCACTAAACATTTCGGTTATACCACTAAATTGTCCGAACACCGATCATCAAACATCATATGACTTGGGAGTAAATTGTTTTGTGTAAAATTCTAAAAATGCTCTGGGTTGATTATAAAACTATTGGATTATATATTATAAATAGTTATATATGGATAACATATTATTGGAGAAACATTGCCTTGCTAAGTATTTAAATTTTGCTCTCAGAATTGAAAAATCGTTGTACTTAGTTGGGTCCTGGCCAGTCTTTTAAAAAACGTTTTCAATATCTGGTTTTTAAAAGACTGTAGAACATTGGGTACCTACGTTGATCAATATTTTGTAAGGTATAACATTTATTATCTCTGAATTGTTTCAAATAGTTCTATTATTTTATCGATACTCATTTATAAAAAATGTACAATAAGTGTATTGTGTATTAAATATTGAGTATATAAAAAAATACGAAAATATAATTTTAAAATAAATTTACTTGAGAGTAACTTAAATCTATAGCTCAATTAATTTGTATTGCATTATTCAGTAATAACGTGCAAATGTTTAAATTCCCGGGCTCTAATAGTAATGATTTAAGTGCATTTATTATGAACTAATGGTTATTTTACATTTCTTATGGCCAATCTTAACAATTTGGTTTGACATGTAAATTTAGTTTAGCCTATAATTGTATTATAGTATTATTAGTAGTATTGCTAAACTATAATTAATATTTAGTTTTTTAACTTTTCTGGGTGAATGCCTCTGAGTGTATTAGGTACAATTAACTAATAACCAACGTATTACTTTTTTTATTTTTGCACTAGTCGCTAGAGAATATAATTAAACTATAAAAAAATATTTGATAACTGATAAGAATCAAACTTTTATTTAAAATTTTAAATGCAGTCAAATATAGCAATAATGTCTGAGGTGAAAAAAATGATTTTGCATTTGAATGATACTCTAAAATAATTTTAAAGGTGGAAAATAATATACGAGATGATGTCTCGTTAGAGTGGAACCGAACTGGTAGCCATGATGGCTAAGCTATCCTATACTCATCCTTTGGTGCGAACATTTTGTGTATTTGTAAAAACAGGTGCAATCTTTCCCAAGGGGTAACGCGAGGACAAATCAATGATTCACTTGCCGCTTTTGTACAAACAGCCCGTTTGTAATGAACAGCCATCTATTCACACAAAATACCTAACGTTGAGTGTAAAGTTTCACTTTTTTCACAAAAACCTTTTAAAGTTTCTACAAAATATTCGGTGAACAATGAACTGAAGGATGTATTAAAATGGTTTTGTGTGTTTACATTAACTGTGTGTTAATGTAACCTTTCACTATAAATCTAAAAAAATTAAACTTTTTTTTTTTATGGGGAATTTTTTCTTAATTAACTTTTTTTGAAATATTAATGTGTGCGCACTACGCATATCATGTTATACACATGATTTTTATTCATATTTTATAATAGTACTATTAAGTAACCTAAAGTACTAAGTTACTATTTGTATTGATGTTTTATGAATTATACATTTATCTAACATTAACGTTACATCCTGAAATGCGTTCAAATAATGTCTATACGTCCAAAAAGTCCCACGATAGCACAATTATTTTTAAATTTATTTATTGTTTAATTTAAAAACATGATATTACGACAATGTCTTCCCAGCAGAAAATCTGAAAAGAAACTACTTATACTAATAGAAAAGAAATATTATACTTAATAGTTGCTTACCGTTTTCATGTTTTGTTTACCTGTTTGATAATTATTGTTAATTTAAGTACATATAATATATGCATTATAATAGGATATTTGAAGAAGTAGGTACATACTTTTTTCTACAGAGGACTGTAGAACTACTTATGCAACACTACAGTAACTACTAATTCTTTCGATTTCTAAATAATGTTGTTCTATATAAAATATTATTTCATAACAAATTTAAAAACTGCGAAATTCCATCATTGGGGGTTATACTTTCTTTTATCATTGTGATTTAAAATAATATTTGTACAAACATTTCACACTTAAATACTTAGCGTGTATCTTTATTATTATACTTAAACTTCCACACGTGCAGCTAATTTAGACACGTGCGGCCGTCGGCCAGTCACGTGCATGTATACGTATACGTTCAACTTAACCATACGACGGTTTTCTACTTTCTATACAGCAATGTATCAAAATAAAAATGCAGAGATTTATAACAATTATCTGAAAACTGTCGATCTCTTTGATCATCTTTTTTTTTGTCGCTATCCCATATGTATCGAGTAGGCTCCATAATTTTTACCCAACACTATAAATTTGTTTATAATATCCACACACGTTTTTCGGTTTACCCGCACCTCTATCATATATCTCTTATGCATTTTACTCTTTAATTTTCCCGATGAAAATATTTTCTTTTCTCAACAATCTCATTTCAGTTGTTCCATTCCTCTTACATAACCTTTTTTTAATATCATTCATTTTCCATACATAATTGCGCTGGACTGATTAGTTAGTAATAACTAATAGCGTACATTATACAATAGTCATTACACAACCATTTCAAAGAATATGTTTTTTGATAAATATTTTCAGCATTTTAAATTATAGATGATAAATAAAATATTAAATAAAAATGATTGAAATAAGAATTTCAAATATATTTTACTAGCATGTCAGTAATAATACTTATTGAGTTTAAGAAAATTCAAAACAAATCTAAGTTACAAGCAGTAATCAGTTAATTGGAAAAGTAAAAAATAACATAAGTTTCGTATTTTGCCACAGTTAGTCTGTTAATGAAATAGATTATAAAACACTGCCGGTGCAGTATAAATGAAATTGAAGGGTCCGGTGCAATAAACGGCTCTCTAGGAATGGGCAAAATACAGTATCTTTTCGACTAAATACAAATTATCTTAAGATATAAGATATTAGATAATTATATTTACAATTTTGTATTTAGTCGAAAAGATACTATATTTTGCTCATTCCTGCTTATCTTCATATTTTGAAATTGTTCAAGACGACCAAAAGAAAGTCCATTGTCTTATTTACCACTATTGGCGAGGGAAAATTCGTCTTGTAATATCTTTGTAGGTGATAGTCCAATTATTTTACTGTTTGATGCACAAAAATGTAAATCATTTTTCAAATGAAAAAAACAATTTTTGGATTGAATAGTTTTTACGATTAATTAAAGTAATAAATATTAAAATTCAAAACAAAGTAAAACATTACGTGACGTTGTCGCATTTAGTAAGCAAATTCCGATACAAACGATAAACGGTAAACACAGTATTCTTGTCTACAGCAAATACCTTTTTTTTAACATCAGAAGAATAATATTATACTCTTAAATCTTTATTGACCTAGTGGACCAGTTATCAAAAACCGAGCGGTAAATGTTTCTATACTTGCTATCTTATTATAATCTATAGTAATAACTAATAATACAAAATTTTCCTTAGACCCTAAATGGAACTTTTCTGTCACACAACACACCTATCCCATCCATGTTGTATCAAAATAAGCTCTACTGTACCTACTCACCTTTTCTTTTCAAGTTTAGGTACCCTATTTTATTTTTTTGACTGACGACTGTTGATTAACTTTCAGGATCTAAGACAAATGTCCCCCATTTCATGAGATAGGATAAATGTCTCCGTGTAATTTAAGAGGTACGACAATATAACTAATGGAATACTTGAAATATACCATACAGATTTAGTTACTTAGCTTTGATCGGATACGGGATACCTAAGTATTACATAAAATTATAATTCGGCGCTCCTTACAAAAACTAGCACGTTTCAAATTGCCAACGACAAGTAACACCTTGCTTAGGTAAATACAGTGATAAAAATGTTGTTTTTTGTTCGGTAATTTAAAAAGTGCTTGTTTGTGTAAGGAGCGCCAATATCTTATTACAACTACCTATAAAAAACATGTAGGTAATACTAGTTGTACAAATTTAGCTGAGTAATGCGTGTAGGTATAAAAAAAAACACCTTACTGCACTCATCTTCTGTCTATAATTCTAAACGCAATATTATTAAAATAATTTTCAGCAAGGAAGACATTGGTTTTTTAAATGTTTATTTCAACATTACATAATAATATTATGTAAAACAATGTACCTATACAATATTACTATTTGTAGGTAGTTACTACTTGCTAGTTAATGTTTGTCGTTTGATTTGGGAAATAAAATAAAAAATATTATATCATTCGTATTCCTGTATATAATGGAAAATAATATTTAATTTCCTACTTGATCCTTACGAATTTGAATACGCCAGATAGAACACCCTAGACGTTTGGCGAGTTGTAGAGGTGATCACGGACAGGAGATTAAAATTCAAATCCTTAAAAAAAATGACATAAACCAATGGATTATTTAAAGTGTGGGTGTGACGTAAGCTTTAGACAGCTGCACTGCAACTGTATATCCTAGGCGAGATACATACATGCAAAGGGTGTATACCCTATTTATTTTGTCTGTGTACGTATCCACTACACCCTACAGCGGCTCCCCTTTTTATAAAGCGAGAACAATATGGGGGATAATACGACCTCAATTTGAACTTAATGTACAATGTATACAGCAATTGACCCTTTATAATAATGTTTTATGGGGTGAGGTCGAGGGGATAGTAGAGCACCGTTTGATATAGTTGCCAATATTTCAATAATTATATAGTGTTGTTTTCTATAGACTAATTTCAACGCAAATCGAAATGACAAGGTGTTTATATAATCCTCCCTCAGCAGACTACAATGATAATACGCAAGCTATTGTTATTTGTTGTGGTGTAGTGAAGTAGGTATTGTCTTTACACAACTTACAGTAGGGCGTGATGTGCTATTGGTATAAATGCAATTAATGATCATTAAAAATACATAATATGGTTTTACGTATAGTAATTTACAAATATTCACTTTTTATTTTAATATAAATATAAAATGTACTTATTGTATTTGTTTAAGTATGTTTTGGCAATTATATAGGGTTTAACATTAAAAAAACCAACAATACTTACCTACCGCGTAATATATAATTCAAGTATAAATAACAATCCGAAACATAGTTTGCACAATACACATCTTAAAAGGCGTCATTAACAGCTTACTCCATCAACATGAGGTTATACGTTATAGATACACATTCCACTTAATAAAAAATATATGAATTTAAACATGATTAACTAATGTAAAAAACTGTGTTTATACTAAAAGGCATATAAACATTCTAGATACATTGGTATCAGCTAAAACTTGGGTCTAAAAGGCCAACCTCACTTTTTGTAACTGCTGAGGAATTAATTTAAAATTTTTATTTTCAATACTATTGTTGATTTGTTAACTAAACTCTTCGTAACAATTATAATATTTTTTCACATTGTCACTGTGTAAAAGTTGTTTTATTTACATTTTTAGTTAGCAGTTGAACATTTTTTTCCCATTAATTGAAATTGACTCAAAATAATACATAACATATTTTATTTAAAAAAAATGTTTACCCACCTATCCATTTTGTTTTGCTTATAATTTTCTTCCATATAGACCAGGCCTTTAATTCTTTTAAATTATTTACAAAAATTTAAATGTTAAAAACGTAATCACTATTATTTATTATTGTATATATATTAGGGTGGTCGTTAATTTCGATTTTGTGGAAGCGAAGTATAGAAATAGGTTTGAAATGTCCTCAGAATCGAAATTAACGATCACCCTAATATATATATATAAATATTTTTTAACATTATTTATATTTCATTGTATTATTTAAAGTTATAAGTAACTAAAGTTATATTTTTGATAGTACTTTAATTATAATTTATTGCTTATAAATATCAACTTATAATAATAAACATCTTTGGAACGGTACAATGTTTTAAAATTCTTAGTTTTTTTTTTTTTTTAACAAGGTGTGCCTTGTATTACTGCCACACCCCATAGTTCTGCCTATGCTCCAGTGTTTCTTACTGAATGTATTCAATTTTTATTAAGTAATAAATGGATTTAGATATTTTTTTTCTATAAATTACAAATAATAAAACATATTGCCGCCTGGTAAGATTTGATGCAAAGGTGAGTTTTAAATTGATGTTAATTTTTTGTATGGTACGGTAACTTTTTTTCTTGCAACTGATTTACTCAAGTAGCATTTCTATGATCAACAATTTTCTTTTACAATAAAAATGCTTTATTAACTTTTTAGACAATCTAAATAACATACATTGAAATATTTTCAATATAATAATTATTACCACATACAATTCATAAAATTAACAGAAATTAATCATTATCTTCTTCTATGTCAGAATCAGAATTATTTTGCTCGTTTTCTTTGGAGTATAATTGTTTGTATACAATAAATTCTTCTACAGTTACTGCAGCAACTTTGACAGCAAACTCCTTTTCACTAGTTTCGATCATTCTCTTTAAAGATGGATTACCACTCAACTGATTTACACTGTCTTTTGGATCGCGGTTTTTCCACAACCCAAGTTTACATAAAAATGTGTGCCGACATTGTAAATCAAATAGTGTTTCTGACATCACACTTGTTGTTACAAATTGATTAGGACCTAGCTCCATTTTAAATAATATATAATTCAATTTTTTTTCTATTTCTTTCCAGTTGTCGAACATAACATTTGGAGAGTATGATATTAATTCCAAAAGTCGGTTATGTTTATTTCCTATAAACGGCAAAAGTTTCGGAATTCTGGATAAAATTTGTTTTTGGTTTAATAGCAAACACGATGGTTGTGCCACCAACAACTGTCTTAATTTTTTATCCTCAAAATGACAATTAGTCCAAGCAAACATACATTCATGTAGATCGTTACGACTAATACTCAGTAAATCAGGATTTGAGTCGATCATTTCTAAAAGTTCAGACTTTTTAAAATCATATTGACTCATATAATCGAAAATTTCCATCCAACGAGACACCGAATGCAATTTCAATTTATCTTGATGCTTACTTACAATGTTAGCCAGCATTATATTGTTTATATTTAACTGTTTAGCTATGTAAGTGATATTTTCTGGTATAGGTATGACATTAGATTCTATTGAAATAGTACACATGCATCGCAATTTGAGAGCTTTATGGATGTATTGTGAATTGCATAAACGATACATTTTGGCAGGTAACATAATAACCTAAAAAAAATACAAATCGATAAATAAATACATTTTAATTAGTTTGAAGTGACAAATTAAGTTTTTATTTAAAATAGTAGTAGCTATAGTAAAAAATAATAATTTTTTTGAGTTTAATATAAGTTGGTCCGCTAATTTTACGCATTCTATAAATTGCAGCTGTTATACATTCTAACTTCTGAATACTAAGTACAACAATGAAGGAATACATAATATAACTAAGCTGTATACCACGCACTATAATCTATTAAATATGCAACTAAAAATGCTAAATACACATACCTGATTATCCTAGCATAAATTATCGATTTTTGTAATCAAATTAAAATTTAATATGAATTTAGTCCTTTTTTGAAAATTCTTATTGACAATCTTGTAGGATTACTATATAAAAAGTAAAAGTTGTTTTATAAACAACAATATTAATTGTTTATACAATTTAATATAATTTTCATATATCTTATTTCTCTTTAGTTTAATGTTGATAACTATTAACTCAAGGTGGATTTATAAATCCACCTTGTATTAACTGATAATGAATATCGAGAAGTGATAACGACGGACCACAGAGACGATTTAGAGAAGATAAGGTGACGCCACTCCAACCGAAACAGAGGTGCTCGAAATTGCGGAATTTTGGTAGAACAATTTTGTCACGTAGATAGCGCCCCCATTCGCACAATCGCCGACTTTTTATATGGAACTAATGTTTTTTCTTACGTATTAATTATTGTAATATGTTAGTTGTTACTGTGGTTATTATTGCTTAATAAACATATTATATAATATATAATTTTATTTTCATATATGGCTATAGATTATCTATTATTTAAAAAAAAAACAATATTCGTACATGCAAGTCTAATTAAACGCAGTGGCGTATATATAAGATATAATTTCGGGGGGAGGGTTATAAAATAAGAATAGATTAAATTAATATTAGGTACAAATTAACTTTGACTAAATGAATTCGCATATGTACCATACCAACCACAAATTTCGGGGGGGGGGAGGGGATTAACCCCCCAAAACCCTCCCCTATATACGCCACTGATTAAACGTATTATTTATTCTAATTCCCATCCCTCAAAGGACGTTTTTAGTCGACCGATGACAATCCTTATTACACAAATAAATTTACAAGAAAAACATTTTCTTAAACTAGCCACCCCCCCCCCTGCTATAACTAATTTTAGGCACCAGAGAAGATTTTTTTCAACTATGGTTACTAAAAGGGCTTTAGACAAATTATACTAGTACCTCTGACTTAATAAACGAAGGCTTTTTTAATCGTAGGTAAATATTATCTATTTGAACGTTAGTATACTTAATCAAGCCTTTACCTAACAATAAATACGTATTGGGTATTTGGGTAATAAAAAAATAAAGCTTAACCAATTCAAATAATAATATAAAAGGTGACCCAATAAAAACGCCGGATTACATTAAATTAATTAAAATTAAACCGGCGTTCTTATTGGGACACCCTATACATTAATTATAATATAAACTAATAATATTAATTATAATTATACTATTTATTATTATATATATATATATATATATATATATATATATATATAAATAGATAATTTATATTCTTACTATTATAATTTTATGGATATTTTATAATAATAATTTTGTTATAACTTATAATTGAATCGGTCATTACAAAAATGACACAAGTTACAAAATTGAAATTTTACATTAGCCACAAAAAACTTCATAACTCGTTTTTGCAGTGATTCTAATTTCTTGTACTCAACATTTGTATTAAATATGAGTCTGACAAATTTAGTTTTCACACAAAATACGTAACTAAGTATATAATTATCAAATTTGACAAAAAAGTCATTTTTGAAAAATCAGTGACTTATGTCGTTTTTGAAATGGCCGATTCAATTATAAGATCATATAATTTCGGTCGCCTTTTAGTAATATCACTACGGAGGACTGGACTCCATTCCATCCCGTTCCGAGTTTTAGGATGTCCCGAAAAATATTTCATAGGTACAATTTAATATTGTACGCATGGCGCATGCACTTATATTTATCTACATTAGATTTACATATATGTATTAACTATTATCCATAATATATTAAAATACAACACGATCGGCGGGAATAACGGACGTTTACTTAAACGTAAGCGGTAAGAGAGAGAGAGAGAAACTTTCTTTACTTCTTTAGTAAAATGTAGCAATTTCTATACATGTCTACGGAGACAACGGTTATATACTGCTTATACAACGTATTACGTACCTATAATGGTATTTATATTTTAAAAATCAATAACAAATGCGGCATGTGTTGTTTATTGTAACTATGTGTTTGTTTCTTAGCAACTACAAAGTACCAAAGTTCGATTTAATAACCCTATCTTTGTATTAGATATTTACTTTAATTCATTTTACAAAAATAAGACATTTTTTTTACTAAATTATTTTATTTGTTGGACCATGTCTCCAAACATTATACCGTCTTTGGAACCGAAATTTATTTTTGGACTTACAACTGGACTGAAAGGAAATTGTGTGTTTTTAAACGATGATGAAATATTGTACCCTGTATCTGGTGTTCTCGTTATTCATAACATTACTTCTCATACTCAGAGATACATACATTTGATTGATTCTCAGAAAACCATTACAGCCATGACACTTAGTTTCAGCAAGTATTGATATATTTCAATTTTAGTTTGATTAATAATTTAGATTAAAATAGCTATATAATTAAAAAAAGTTAATTTATCTTTAAGTCTAAATATAATATACCTACAATAATTATTGTTGGTTTACTTACGTTAGCCCCTATTTGTTTGGTGTAGAATTTTTTTTAAATTAAATTATTATTTAATTAAATATTAATTAAATAATAATTTAATTATTTAATCTTATTTTATTTAAAACTATAGATACTTTATTTAAGGCCATGGTAGATACGTGATTTTACCGACGGTGAAAAATTAAAAAATTAATTTTTTATTTTTAGAAATGTTTTAGCCGTTGCAAAAAAAAATGAAAAACTAACGATTAGCTTGTATGATTTGAAAGCAATGAATTGTTTACGAACACTTTCAGTACCAACTGACTTAAAAGCTAATAGTTTCATTTGTTTACAATTTTCCTACGATGATTCGTACTTGGCAGCACTTACAGGTGGACCTGATTACATGATGTACTATTACAATTGGGAGAATTCCAAAATCGAAAGCTACGTTAAGGCCACTAACCCCCCTAATGTTATGGGGCCCGTAACGGATGTATGTTACTTATCAGCTATATATTTTATATGGATAATATTTTTAAAATTAACTCATTAAAAAGTTTTAAGTGGAATACGCACATCAGTGTTTTAATGAATTTACGTGATTATAATTAAATTCCATTCCAGATGGCACTGAATCCAAATGATAATACAATTGCATGTTTTGTGGGCAAAGGTTTATTTCGATTAATGACCATTACAGATTCAGTGTGGCGGCAGTACGGTTTCCAAAAAGCTGATAATTTGGATTTTACATCAGTATGTTGGTTGAATGGTGACAGGTAACTATTAGGAATGGGACAAATAACCAGATATTCAAATCTGGATTTTCAGATTTAATTATTTATGTATATAGTTCCTTATCATTTTTGTACTTGATATCGTCAGTCTATTTAGCAATGGGCGTAACTCCAAAATACCAAATTTCACACTAAACAGAAAAAAGACGTTTAATTTATTCCATTTAAATAACAATTGCTTACGGTTTATCACACATTTCATCAAAAAAAATTGCTGAAATATAATCATTATTATACCTGCCAACGCACAGTTTTTTTTTTCTTTAAAATAGTGTATTATACCGAAAATTGATTGATTTGGAGATACGTCCTCTGCTAAATAGGCCGACGATATCAATTTATTAAATATGCATATTAAATTAAATTACAATTTCTTTTTATTACTTAAAATGAATGAAAATTCAATTCTAAAAGGCTAAGATATAGTTTTGGTTTTTAGATGCCATCGTTAAAATTGTTTAATACAGTCATTAGTCATTTTAGTATTTAATTTGATATTGAAAACTAATTACAGATTTTTTCTTATACCTTTTAGAATTTTAGCAGGTACCGTTGACGGGCGAATAATATTAGTAGAAAATGGCGATCTCATTGCTGTATATAACGCTAAAACAACACTTATTTTTGATCCTAAAATCAAAGTCAAAGCCCCTTTAGACGTTATGCCACTCCCAAAGAAAAATGGCCAATCGACAGATATAAGATGTTGCGTGCCTTTTAAGAAGGGTCTAGTATTCGTTGTAGGCGATTCTAGAGTATACTATTATAAAATAGAATCTGACCAGAGGTCAGTTTTTAAAATAGGTAATCCAAAACTGGTACTTGAGCGTACACAACTTATACTAAATCGTCTTTAGATTTTCAAAACAAAATGAATTTGAAAAACAAAACGATAAAAACTTAAGAGAGTTAGACGACGATCGACCAATGCATTATATCGAGATGCTGTCTTTAAATCCTGCCAATGACAAAATTGTGTGCGTCACTAGAAGATCTCAAATGTTTTGGGCACCTCTGGTTGAATCACGGGACATCTCATTGGTAAGTGTTACCAAAGTAAGAAATAGAACCTTATAGCAGTATGAGCAACAGATATTGCTTTTACTGAAAAAAATGTCTGTCCCTTCAGTAGCCAAGGGGTATCTCGTGTCCACGTGAGTACAGAATGAGATACCTATATTTATTATTTATGGCTATCTGTGATAGACTTTTAATATCACATAATTATCAATGATATTTGTGTAGTGACAACTACGTAACGAATAACGATGTTTTTTTTTATCATAGAACATGATACATTGTATTCATTATGTTCCTATGGATACCTAATGAAAAATAACTGATTAGTTATTAGTAAAGCCACAATATAACGATTAGTAGCATATCTTTGTGGGTGGAGGATTTATTCGAAAAACATTTTCTTAAATGATATAACCCAGTATGCATACATAATGAATAAAGCTTGATAGGTAATAGTAACACGTTTCGTTGATTATCGCCGACACTTGCATCGTTTTTGTATAATATTATTAGAATAAGTATTAAGTCCCAATTCATCGGCATCCTCTTATCTAAACTTACAATTTTATGCAGCGTGACAATAACCACATACACTTTAATCCTTGTTAGTGTTATACTAGTAGGCACGGAAGTAGAAGACGCTTTTCCGACTTATTTAATTGTCCGACTTCACTCCAACATTCTCACCGAAACTCCTGTTACAACATATTGTTTAATTATAAATAAAATACTGATGTTTTTTTTTTAATACTGATTAAATTTTTTTAAAAAGTATTAAATGTTTTTAATATAATATGTTATCTTTTAATTAAGTATTATAAAATGTTGTTTTACAAACAGCATTATTATGTTTGTATTGTTTTTCCAGGGTTTTTGACAAATGTATTAACTGTTTTTTTTTTAAATATTTAAATATAGTCACTCGAATTGCATAATCTATTTTAGTTTAAAACTGATTGTCGGCGATTTATGTAGACGGCAAAGTGGGATAACACCGGCGTACTCGGTGCGCTGTCCTAGTTTATATGTAGTTAGTCTAACCCTGCAAGCCTGTGACATGACAATGAATACAAGCCACAACCACAAAGATTATTTAATTGTATTTTAAGACTTATTCAAATTTTACAGCCATCGACTTATAAATTTAAACCTCTAGGCGAGGATCTACATCACGGTGGCATAGCGGACCTGTCTACTTGTAAATGGAAACCAATATTTATGACTTGTGGAAAAATCGATCATACCATAAGAGTATGGAACTATTTGAACTGTTCTTTAATATTGTCTCAACACTACCAAGAAGACATATTTAGTATATCATTGCACCCTACCGGTTTATATTCAATAGCAGCTTTTACGGGTAAAGTAGAGTTTCAGTTGGTGCACATGGACGGACTTAAAAGATGGAGAGAATTTGTCGTTACTAGCTGTAATTTGACGGAGTTTAGTACCTCTGGACACATGTTTGCTTTGGCCAATCAGTTCGACGTTGACGTTTATTGTTCAGTTACGTTCGAAAAACGATTTACATATAAAGGACATTCGAATACAGTATGTATAAAAAGTGGCTGACAATCGTCATCTAAATAATTAAACTATAAATTAAATATTTAATTTATGACTAAACTAAAAAAGTTACAGTCTACTTAAAGCCTACAGCTAAAATTATAAGACATGGAACATACTTTAGCTTGCTGGCTCCTGAATAGTTATTATTTCTGATCTATAATCTCATTGCGATTTATGATAATAGTATAGTCTTAATTATATGTTCTAGTCAAACGTTTGCATGACGACGACGACTCATTATTTTGATGACATCTTATATATTATTATACGTTTAAAGTAGGCGCGTTACTTTAGTATCGCTATTTAGTGTCGTTTTTGTGTTGGGGGGCTATATTCCATGCTAAAAAAAAAATAATATTCCATAAGTAATAACTAATAAATATAGAATTTTATTTTGGACACTAAAATAGTTTTTCCAGTCTCCTAAAATTAAAAATGTGTATACAAAAATGTTTCTGTTTTTAATCAATTAAAAATATAGTAATACCTTTGCGTGACAAGTAATACCAATTAACAAATCAACTAATATTTATAAACAATTAACTTTCTACATAGAAATCTAATTATTTGATATTTTTCGTTCCTCTTATCGAGGAGTTTTTCTTTTTTGTACTGTTCAAAAGTTTTAAGTCTGTAAGGACTATGTATATCATTATATTTAAATCTCATAGGCCTGTTGTATATACCCTACTAATATATTGTACCTATATATTAGGTTTAAAAATTATTTTTAATTTTAATGATGCTTACTGCTTAGTCGGTTATCTGTACAAATAATGTAAATTAATAACATAATTATGCTAACTCCTTAAAACTTTAACGAACCATAGACATAATATAATGTGGACAGTGATTACATTTTTTTGCAACCTGTAAAATAGTTATATTTTAATAGATCTCTGCGATTGCTTGGACTGTGAATGATATGAAACTACTGACATGTGGCAAAGATGGTGCTATTTATGAATTCAATACAAGATCTGGAGAACGAGATATGGATATTGTACACCCGGATACAAAATACATGGACTTGGCCATATCTAAAGACACAAATAGAATTTTTCCAGCTTCTCAAGATGGAAGATTTAAAGAAATAAACAACCAATCGGTTTGTAATAATTATCGTTATAACAAAATATAGAATTACATTTTGGAATTTTTGTTGTCTGCGTGAATAAATAGATAAAAGTAATAATAATAATCTCGTTTCCTATTTTTATCAGCCGAGTAAACAGCTAAAATATGATTCTGTGTAACTAATAGCAACCAGAAACAAATTCTGGTTGCTATTGATTATTATGCAATTTTCGTATTTCAAGTACGAAATTCGTGTTTGAGACAACTATTAGAGGGGGGATTTTTAATAAGCCTTTCTTATTGCAACTTTAGTGCATTAGGGGAAACACTATTCCAAATTTCAAGTTCATAGTTTTATCGGATTTTTAGAAGTAGGGATCAGTCAGTAAGTGAGTGGTATTCGGATTTTATGTATATGTGTTACGGTCAAAGTGAAAAATGGGTAAGGGCTAGTTTAATTAAACTAGCCCTTAATTTATTGTCGAGTATTTAGTACTATTATTTTCGGATTACACGTTTACTATGAATTATTTTATTACTATAATACATTTTTTCATTAAGTTATTATTCTGTTGCTATAAAAAGGTACTTATTTGTAATTTTATTAAAAAAAGGTTTAAGTTTGCATTAATTTATTTATATTTTGTACGGAAAGAACGATTAGTAAACCAATTACTACAATTTTTAACCGTCAATCTAAGTATGAACCCCTAGAACTAGGATAAAGTAAAATATTTTTAAGCGTCCATTTAGGCTGTAGCAAGTGCCCCAAAAAAGCAGCAAGTACAGGCCTAGTTCATACCGGATGGTAGGTAGGAAGTCTGAGTAGTTCATTAATAAAACATTTTTTTAAATATACTTTTCAATTAACGTGTATTAATAAATGTTTCAAGGCGGCTACTAATTTTTAATTTGATAATTAAATAAGATGTCTATAATTTATTATTTCATTTTAAATACTCAAATTAGAATTTTATTTGTTCGTTAAAATTAGTCTTCCAATAATATGGTAAATTCATGCTAAAACACCCTTAAACTAGAAAGCAGAAAGATGAGAATTTTAATTTTATAATAAAAATGCAATCATAAAATGTATTAAATAATTTATTATTATCACAGTTAAAACACTGAATGTAAACTAAACTAAGTAATTAAATGTATCATTTCGTGAAATAAGTATAGACATTTTTATACGGTTTTCTGTTAAAAACAAACGGAAAACCGCCAGATCTTTTTGCCGCACCCTGTATCTAATGTATGTATCTGATTTGTTGAAATGTAGAAAACGTAATGACAGAATCAAAAAAAATTAATAAAAAGATAGAATTATATATTTACCGAAATGTAACAATTCAGAAAATATAAATGCAAAAATAGGGCCCGGATCAATATTTGTTTTTTGTGAGTTGATTGTCTTATTTTTTAATACAATTTTTTATTGTTCACTTGGTACTTTTGCTATTCTTATAGAAATTATATATGTAGATATGTATTAAAAAATAAACACAAATAATAATTTTACAGATAACTCGAGATATTGATTTAAGTAAGGGTTCATTGGACGCGCTGGTGTTATCCAAATCAGATTTAATGTTGTTCGTAGCTGGAAAAAATGGCGTTGTATTATCCTTAATGTTACCCATTATGGCTGAAATAAATTACAAACAATTCAATATCCACAATAAAAATATTACAGCGGTTTGCATCATATAAATATAATAATTTTAAAGAACCTGTCTTAGTTCATCTTAGCTGAGCTTATACAGAAAATGGTTGCGAGTTAGTTGCAAGTTACAAAAGTTCTAATGTTTGAAATAGTATGGTTGCTTAATTACATTACATTTCTCTATTTAATTTTAACATCTGATAAAATATATACGAAGCTTTTAAGTGTCGGCTAAGAATCAAAATGAACTGAACAGTTTCTTAAATCGTATATAATGTAATTGCATACTGGCAACTAAGTATCACCTGCTTTTCTCTAGATGAAGCTCACAATTGATGACTCAATTTTAATTACTTGTTCTGAGGATGGTAGTATTTGTATATGGAAAGTAAAACATGCTGAGGGCAAAATGACCGTACTGAATGACCAATTTACATATTCTGATGACATTCTGGTGAATGCATTAGATTTTAAGGTTAAAATAGAAACAATAGAAGAGGTCAAAATGCGAGTTAAAGAATTGGAAAGAGAAAGCGAGTATCAAATGTCTGAACTTATTAAGTCCAATGCTAAACAGTTACATGAACTTAACTATATTCATTCTCAGCGCATTGTGGAATTAGAAAACAAAAACACGGTAAAATGTCCTATAAAATAGTGTTGGCTCTATTTTTTCATTATAATTTTAATTAAATATTTTTAAGGATTTGGCTAAAAAACACATGGCTGACAAAAGTCGATTGGAAATGGAGCTAAACCTTTTACGGGATTCGCATACTTTAAACTTAGAACAGCTAGAAGCCAATTATAATGTTAAACTTTTACTTGAATACGAAAAATATGATGCGCTGAAAAAGCAAATATTTGATAATAATTTAGAATTGGAAAAGTAAATATGAAAGTATTAATTTAGTTTTATTTTAAAACATTTAAAAAGTTTTCTATGTATTTGTTTAGAGGTTTAAAAGAATTAGAAACTAAAAAATATATGAAAATTAAAGAAATCGAAAATCAATTTAACACTAAAATCAAAGAAAAACAAGAAGCTTTTTTAAAAGTATAAAATTCAATAAAAATAAACCTATTGATATTGTATTAATGCAAGATGTTTTGTAGATGGAAGCAAAGTTCATTGAGGATAAACAAATTATGTCTTTATCTATGCAACAGATGAAAGAAGAGACGGAAAAAGCAGTTTTGGAAAGAAAAAACTATTTTATAGCAAAACTTAAAGAGTTAAAAAAGATTAATTTAAGCTTACGGAGTGAGCTAGGTTCTTATAAAATGAAAGCTAAAGCGTAAGTGATTTTCACATGATTTACATACCACCAGTATAGTTACAAAATATTTTGTCTTATATACGTTATAGTTAATAGTATATATATATAATATACTACGCCATATGTTAATATGTATAATCATAAATTATTACAATAAGAAAACAAAATAAAAAATTAGTATAAATTATAGTTATATCCTATCCTCGTATCTTATTGGAATATTGGATAATCAAATTATTCTATCCTCTATCTAGGATTAAACCTTAACCCTAAGCTGAGTTGGGTTCCACATTTCCAGCAACTCTAAGGTTAATCTCTTGTTGGTCAAACTTTCTTCATTCTACGGCTGACACTAACTGGGGTTCCCATCCATAATTTCTCCTTCAAGTATTTAACGCTGTCATCAGATCAATATCCGACTACATTTCCTTTCTTTTCGCCTCTACCTCACAAACGCACCGTAAAAAAACTCTATATTGAATTATGCTATTATCTCTTTTTGCCTTCGCACTATCATAGATACTATTCACTCCTCTTCTATAGCAAGCTTAGAAGTGAAATGTTTCTATCCTTTCATAAAACGCAGAGGCCGCAGGCTTGTGGACAAGAATCTGCTTAAAAATTTGGCTACACCAAATCAACACTTTCTTAAAAATTTTTACTGCCATAAAATCGTCTTGGGTTAACGTCCCTAAAACCCTTCTCATCCCAGCTTCTGCTGCCTCTCAATTTTTCAATTATTTATCACTCATGCCTTCGTTTACAGCTACATGACACCCCATATCTCGTACTTTCATTCACTACTCATGTTACCATTTCTCCTAACTTTCTGGAATACACTCCAATAGAACTGCTCGACCTCCTTATAATTTGGCTGATTCATAGATTTTGTTCTTTTTCCCTACGCTCAGTAAATCATTGACGCCTGGCAATCTAAATGGCCCTGTTTTTCACTAAACTATGTCTCCTGGCATAGACATATCTCCCACCATGGTTCAGAGGGGACGAGGATGGGGGTGGGGATAGAGATGGACTTGATTTCTTTGCCGTATACGTCTGCTACGGTGTTACTGGTTCTGACTAGTTAACTTGAATGAATGGTCAAATTGATTCAGAATAACTAACCAAGTGAATGTTGCCAATAAATCGATTAAGGCCAAATATTAAAAAACTACTAAAAACGTTTGGCCAACACATTTTTTTTTAAAATTCAGCAAATTAGAAATGTAGGTATATTTATTTAAATTGACATGTACTCAGTCATAAGATATATATACATGTGCAGATATGCCTATGTATCCGCTTGTAGCGTGGATACTTAAAATTTTTTGTTTATTACTTAATTTTGACTTGAACATAATAAAATGTTCAACTGATCACTTGTTTTTTTTGACAATTATTGGAATTAGTAACTGATGTAACACGTTTATGTTTAATAGGGCGTCTAAAGAAGCTGATGATTTAAGTGGTTTGATTGGCAAGTATGAAGATGATGTAGGAAAATTAAAGTCCATGGCTAAAACACAAGAAAATACTATACTAGAACTTAACAAACAGATACAGAACCGTGATAGCATTATTGAACAAAGGGAAGCTTCGATATACGAGGAAAAGGTCAAAGTTAAAGAATTAGAAAAACAATTGATTTTATTGAATGATAATATTGACACTCTAGGACACACAATAGAGCCTTTATACATAGATGTACAAGAAAAGGGAAAAACAATTGAGGATGTAAGTAATACAATAGAAATGTTAATTATGTTTTAAATATCTTGTAATACTAATTTATTAGATTGAGAAAGAACTGAAAAACGTTAGTACTAATACAAGTTCTATGGAGTTAAATTTTTTTAAACAAAGAGACAAATTAAAAGCAAGTCAAAAAGAAATAAAAAAGTTAGAAATAAAAGTCAGAGAATTAAACACCGTTAACAAGAATATACGGATTGACATTTATAACATAAAACAACATATTCAGAATCCGTTAAAATTAAAAGACACTATGAACGTAAGTACAAATTTGCACTTCAAAGTTTAAGGGTTTATTACGAAATACGTCAGGTACCATTGAAATTATAAACAGATTGAACATCAATAAGTTTATTAAATTTAAATTCATCAATGTGTTAAGAAATGCAATAACATGTATAGAATTTATGTGTTATATAACTTGTTTAGAAAATACACACACTGAAACAGGAGAAAACTAACATAAATTATTGTGGTTTTTTAGGTATTATTTCAGAAATATGCCAGAGACAGTTCATTTGAATCGTCTTCAGATGATATGGTTGATGCAAAATTAGAGTTTTACAGACAAAGACAGTCTTTAGAACGTTCGGTTGATTGTCTTAAAAATCGTCTTGACATATTTACCAAAAAACATCATGATTCACACCATGAATTGATTAAACAAAATACATTACTTTTAAATGAAATTAACAAGTTAAGACAAGAAATTGCAACAAAAAAATAAGTTGATTAAAAAAAAAAAAAAAGAATGAACACAAAATGTATAGAACATGTATATAGTATATATATACAAATATAAATATTTATCAAATTATTTTCAGAAGAAGTGGTAGTAAAAATAAGAAAAAATTAATGTAATTTTTGTTTTAAAATGCAAATTATGACATTTTTAATAATAAGTCTTACCAACCTCTATTTAAATTTCCTCAAAATTGTATTACACATACAACATATAATATACCTATATAATATATTAGTTATGTTTTTAAAGGTAAATTTTTTTAGATATTTTTATCATTTATCTTATGTGAAAAGTTGCAAAAAGAATGAATACCCATTATCAGCCAAAACCAACCATTAATAAACATTATAAATTGATTATTGTCATTAGTGGGACATACAACCATCTGATCTGGAATGATTTTTGTCTTACTGTGCACACTGTCATATTCAATTTTGAAAATACAACGTAAAAAAAGTTGGCAATTAAAAAAAAACAAAATTTGATTTTTAATGTTAAATAAATTCGTTTTATCAAAAAAAATGTATGATATTGTCTCCAAAATCTTGTCTTCTTTCGTTTTAGGTATTTTTAATTTAAAATCATCATGGAGCTAGTAAAAGGCATTCTGCGTAGATAAGTTTTAACCCTGGAAAATTGGGTGTATCCTCTTAAGTGCTGATTTTTTTATTTATACAGGTAATAGGTTATTTTTATAAATTATTGTAATACTTTACTATTGTTCACATTAACTTTGTCAATTGTTGAGCGATAATTTAAAAATTATAAAAAAATAAAACATAAATAATATTTAACCTGTGATTTATTAGGGATTTAAATGAATGCAAAATTTGTAGAACATATTTTGTCCCTTACATATGTTACTTCTACAATAATACAATTTTCACAGGTGCATACGTTTAGTATATATTAAATACTAACCAAAATACAAAAAAAGTCACCCACCATCAGTTCTACAAGTAGTACAAATATTCAGTACAAATAAAAATTACAACAATAAAAGAAAGAATTTAAAGCAAAAATGGAATAATTGATTTCCTATTTTTCGGGTAGTCAGGAAATTCTTTCTTATAATTTCTGTGTTTTCCAAGAGCCCAAAGAGCCATTTGATAAAATCCAGCAAATGTAAATAGAGCCGCTGAAAAATGTTAAAATATACATTGATATTATTCTATTAAAATCATAATAAAAACTTAGATATATTTACCTGGGAATGTACATGTCATGATGGTAAATCCAATCCAACTACCAACTTCATAAGTATAATTCGGACAGGATACAAAGTTAAAGAGGAGTGTAAATGGATTTACAGTCGGCATGGGAATTCGTCTCACTTTTGTGCCGGGTGGCCGAAGATTTCTTAAGGCAATATGAATACTCAAATTACCCAATTCACAAAACTATAACAAAATATTATGAATTAGTTAGTTTATAAACTATAAAAGTTTATTTGGAAATGAAAATCAATTACTTACAATGAAAGTTCCAAGACCAACATAGTATTGAAAAGTACACGGTGGGGTATATAAAGGATGATTTACAAAATATGAAACGAATGCAGTAAATCCCCAATAGTAAGAACAATTTTTGAAAAGATTACCTATTGGCATCGTAGCATGTGAGAAACGATGTACAAATACAGTTTCAAACACACGTTTAGCATAATGAAATGACCAACAATATGCTGCAACACTAAATGAAAAAAAAAAAAACTTTAATAATGCTTCGGAAACAATATGAAATAAAATACGTTTTTGCATAATATGTATTTGCAATATGAAAATGGGGTTCACTAGTTGAAGTAAATAATTTACCTGACCCAAAACAACCCATAACTTTAAAATCATTCCTGTAAATTGTAGCACATTTTTGTGTTAACTTTGATCGGGTCGTGATGGCAAAAACAAGAATAAAATAATAGTTCAAGTTTGTTAACTAGCTCTATATCGATAAAAATAAATTTTATTTTAACCTTTATGATTATGGGGAATGCCAGTTACAAACATCAAAATAAAATATCTTATAAGCCAGTGATAACAGTTTTTCAACATCAATTATCATTATTATTTCTTGGATCAACTAAATAACGAAAAAAAGTTGCAAAATAAACACTTTTTATAGTTTTGAAGATATAAAATAAACCGGCAAATTATCTCTTAAAGGTATACAAATTTGGGTCAGAAAGAGTTAATACATGTTTATTGGCAAACACTCATTAATAGTTTTTCTGTTTAGAGAGGGTGGTGTTTATTTTGGAATCTTTTCCTAATGTATATAAATCATTGAAAAAATATAAATGTTAATTAATTTTTAATTTAATAAATGGCAAATAAACTTACTTGGCGACTTGAGACATTTGCTGACTAGCAGCAGTACCGTATATTAGACTTGGCCTAATGTAAAATAATAGATACACAAATAATGGCCCAGCATATTCTGCCATAAAAACAGTAGACCAACCAATTTGAGGGCCCAAATCCTTAACATAAAGTTTAGAGCCATTTGTCAAACCTAAAAAATAACCAATAATATAAATAATATTTTATAACAAGGAATACTTAGTAAAATTATACAATACTTACCTAAATCTTTTACTCTATCAGTTTCTTTAAGGCTTTTCCCTTTAACTTCAAGTCGAAGTGACTGCCTTTCTGGGTATAAAGATGGTTTAACTTTACTAATGCTTTTTTTGATGTCGCTAACTTGAGAAGCATCTGTAACCTACAACACAAAACATAGAGGAATAATTTGTATTAGCAATAAAATAATGAAAATCAAAATAGATTAAAGTCAATATAGTAGGATAAGTAGGGGCAATAGGTATAATGAGGTTGGGGTGGTCATAGGTTTACTACTATCTATACTTGTTTGCTATAATCATATTTCTAGAGCAATTGTAGCCAGTTCAGGCACTTTATTTCAACAAATAAAATAGTAAGTAATTTATTATAGATCTTGAGGATATATAAAAGGGAGATGATCAATGACTTCCTACAGTAAAATCAACAAGACAAGTACATATATTTATGTATTTTATATAATATAATATGTGTATATATCGCACAAATATTTTTCTAAATTCCTTTTTAGAAAAAATACAAAATATTTTTTTATTTAAACATACATTGTAGGTATAAAAAAAAATATATTATGAAAAAACTGTCATTTTCTGATATAAAAAAGAGCTACGCAGTTGATAAGAAAAGTTTCACAAGTCGTACTTTACTAAAGTTATAGATGCCTATATACTACTAATCCTAATCCTTATTAAAAAATGTCTTGTAAATTAGAATTACAACTATTTAGTCATTTTATAGCAGCATCACCTCAATGTAGTTTAAAAAATTAATCTTTGTTTCAAGAAATTTATTTTCAGTTAACTACTGTGGATATTGGTTGACAATTTGGACTGAAAAAGGATTCAATAGACAAGACAGATGTTTTTTTTAGTGTTCTCTTATTTAATGTGTAGTTAAACACGTTAGTACTCATGAGCTCTTAGTTTTTTTTAGACAAAACATAATATTTTTTGTCTATCTGTACATGGTTTACTAGAGAATAAGTAGATATGAATTTTTTTAAAAAAGTCATATTTCAGCCAATCCAATTTTAAATGTTACATTATAAAAACTCACAACTTACAAGTGGCTACACTGAATAAATTAAAACATTTAGTCAAGGGCATAGAACTAGTTTTACATTTGAATAATACATTAATACTACACAGTACATGAATAAATCATTTGAACTATTTTTGTTTTTTACTTTATTAATTTATATACACTATGCTCTAGACCAGCGGTTCCCAAACTGTGAGGCGCGTCTCCCTTGGGAGGCGCAAGGTAAATATTGATATTTTTAGATCAACAATAATTTCAAAAGGTAACGTACTAGTACGAGTATTTGTAATTTATTTATTCATGGCTGGCAGGATTATTTTTTTATTTTTAGGGATGTGTGAATCAAAAAAGTTTGGGAACTGCTGCTCTATACTATAAAAACTTAACAATTCAATTTAAATAAACCATTAAGTCGTATAAATTAAAATAAAAGGTGTACAACAATTGGGTAGCTATACACATACATTTGAAATAAGTGTTATTTATGTCTATATTCTGTTCAACAAGAAAATTCACGAAAAATCAGCTCCACCGAAAACAAAATTTATTACTCTCATATGCACCAGCGCAGATAGAGTATACTCTCAATAATGTTTATTTGATACAGGTTATAAATACTAAACAAATGTATTTTATAAAATAATTAATTGTAAAAATGGAAGAAAATATTATAAATTTAATAATCTTGTAACAAAGTAGCAAGTAATTAATGGTTTCTAACTTGTCTAAGCTTTTTTTAGTACTGTATACTTTAAAATTAAGGACCCTATTAATTAAACAATAATATTTAGATATCTTACGCTATATCGGTAATTATGGTTACATATAATCTACTGGTTCACCTTTATATGAACTTCTATTTTCCAAGGTCAAAGTTAAATTTATATTTATATATTATCACAACATATTATAGATAGGTAAGTTATCAATTATTTTGTACACACAATTTATTCGTTTCGAGTTCAATAAATATAACTGCAATGGATTCATATTCTTTAATGTATATATTAAAATTAATTATCACAATTTTTTTAAGACCTAGTAGATGTAGTTTAAAGTCCAATGTAAGCAAAACTTCTAACGCTTATTTTTTAAAATCATATCAATATGTTATAGATTATTATGGAAGTCTAAAGAATTATAATTCATAAATAATAATTAAAACAAAATAGTTTTTCTAATTAATTATTTATAAAAGGACATGTATTTGGAGGTCAAACTTTAATTATTTTTTCTTTTAAAATTTCCATTTAAGAGACAAACACAACAATAATACATTGAAAACAGCTTATGTAGGCTATTTCTGTCTCCTGTTAATAAGACAACCAGGCGTAATTCCCTATCCAGGACAAATCACCCTTCAAGGACAGAAATGGCGACTCATTTTTACTTTAAACAATAATACATAATTTTTTTTGTATAGATGGATTCATTAACAGTAAACAGGGCTACCTGTGACCGAATTTTGAACCGGTGACAGTGCACTCACAGTGATTTACACTGTTGCTTTACTCACTCACTTTTCCCAATACAATAAAATCAGATTAATATAATTTTTACAGTTAAGTACATTAAGCAGAAAACGACTTTAAATTAAAAGATTATAATAAGATAAGAAAATGTAAATTTCATCAAATCTTAAAATAAAGTTAATACAATTAGTTTTAAGCAGAAAGAAAACTTACTTTTATTTTTCCAATGTTTTTTTCACTAGTAGTTAAGATTTCAAGCTGAAAAAATAATAAATTCAAAATTATACATTAGTCTTAACATTTTAATTATTTTTAACCAATTATATTAGTTAAAGTAGTTTATTAGTGGTAATATTAATTGGAGATAATAACAAATGAGTAAATTGTCAAACAAAAACTATATTCAACAGAAGAAATACATTTTTTATAGTTTTATCTTGTTATTAGAGCCATTTTCCATTACTCATAGAAGAACTGAAAATTAAACTAAAACTTTAATTACTAAAAGCTAATATAATAAAAATAATGTAGATAAATTGTTAGTTGTATATTTTTATTAATTTACTTTATTTATTGTTAATAATTATTCTATGAGAAATGTTAAATTAAATAATCCTTATAGTATTTTACTATTTACTATCTTTAAATTAGCAGTAGCAATGCAATAGTTTTAACTAAAAAACATATCATTTAACATAAGAAAGTTTTTGCATTATAAAAACTACGTATAGTACCAGTTAGTGGATATTGCTAATGTTATTTTAATACATACGCTAATATTAGAGAAATAACAACAGCTTTATCTGCTAACAGATATTGTACATAGCTGTTGTATGTTATGCTAAGGCTCTTTAATCATCATATCGCTTCTCCGGTGGAGCAATGGTATAAGTGCAAATTTTTGACATTTTGACTTAAGTAGGATAACATTTCATTTTATCGAGTAAAACCATGGTATAAGTGTAATACCTATTATTGACAGCTAGAGAGCAGTTTTGTCGTTTACCATCGTGTACGGTTACCATTACACTAAATTTTTAAATCACATTTTCTGAAGAACAGTTAAATTTGCACTTACACCATTGTTCCATCGGAAAAGCGATATATCTTAACGTCTTGAAGGCCCACACAACGTTGCTATCATTAGATTATTTCTTGACTAATTTGCTATTTATTTATTTATTCGTATAGAATATTTTGCTAAAAGAGTCAGGTTGTTAGTATGTCACCTTTATACATAACAATTTCTCTACCGACAAGTAGAGTGCTTGTGACCAAGTATTAAACCGGTGATGGAGAGCACCAAACATGCTAACGCCTTACTAAATAGGTGTATAACATATATATATGTATACATATACATAATGTTCTTAGCAATTAACATTCTTTCTATAATAGTTATTTTTTTCAGGGTATTTGTCAGCATTTATTAAATTTTTCATGACACAGCATTATTTATTGAACGTCATTTATTTATAATTGTCATTCTTAAACAATTAATATGATTAGTTAACAAAAATAAATATTGATATCTACAATATAAATTCATTGATTTGTATATTTACACCCAAATTAATAGGTTTAACCTATTGGTAAAAAGCAATTTTTCTTAAGTTATAAGATTTTAAATTAAAAAAATATTAACTTAGCAATTTTCTATTTCAATACTAGGTATAATTGTCATAATGATATATAATTAGTTACTTAAGAATCAAAAACATATTGTAAATAGCTACAATGATATATTTTTATTATAATTTATGTTCAAGACAATCAAGACAAGTATTAAGTCTATACTGCTCATATTGTTTTAAACAGGTAGTGTGGTAGTATTTATTAATGGTTTAACAAGAAATATTGGTTTGGCCAATTAAATGTATGTATGTTTAGTTGTTAAATACCTATATACTGGGTCAGAGTTGTCAAGTAGGAATTACTTCATGGCCAACATGTCAAATTACTATTAATATTTTAACTTACAAGACGCTTCTGCCTTCTAAAAAATTATATACTTATATATTTCTAGTAACAAGTTATATAAATAAAAATAAACTAAATATTTATTGGTTACAACTTTAAACATTTAGTTTCCATAATTTAAAACGATTTATTTTAGGTGGTTTGTAAATTGTAAGCAGACAAACTGAAGCGTTTTCTTATAAGCCACAAATTAGAAAAATAAATGTTTCTTAAGTTATAAAAATAGTAATAAAACTAAACGATTTGATCCTTACCTCCATTGTTGAATAAAATATGAAGTCCAAACGACTAGAAAGAGAAATAATATAAACTGAATACAAATTATAGAAACACTTGCCGCACCACAGACACGCACATACTAAGTAGGTATACTTGGTACTACAACCAAAATTGTCGAACTCACGAAATCAGTTGAAATATTGTGGTGAAGGACGTCCAGGCGATACACCGGTGCAGTCAAAATTATCATTTATCAAACCAGTTGACTGTGAACTCGTTTCATAGAGTACAGCTGTATGACTCGTTTTTAAGCTCAAGGTATACAGCAGCAACCATACAAATTAGTAACTACAGATTCCAAAATAAACTATTGCATGGCGCAAAGTACAAATTACCATGTTTATTGTTTAATACGATTGCACTGTGCTCATACTGCATACATTTAAGCCTTAACCGTGATCTTGGCATAGTAATTTGTCGATAAGTGTTTCCTTTTTACAGTGCAGCCACACTAGATAAAAACCATTTGCATTGCTATTCTAGGTCTGTTAAACGCATGGATAATAAACGAATGGATAAGTCATGTCCACGGTTGTAGATCGGAGGCGGCCATTTTGTGTACCGTATTGATTTGTCCATGATTTTGAGTTCAGTGATTAGAAGCATAGACAAGTATACTGATTAGAAGTATAACTCAACCCACCTTGTCCCTTGATTAGACAGTTTTAAGTTTCTATTTGCATATTACTTATTAGTTATTATTCAATAACTTATGTTCAAAAAACGTTTTAGGTATGTTTTATTTAAATAAGCTGATAAAGTTTTTTTTATCTTTTATAGAAGTTTCATGTTTTTGAGTATTATTAATACTGACATAAAGAAGATATTAAGTAGTATAGGAAAAAAAAATGGATCTAAAAAATGTAAGTTTCATTGTAAACATTTTGTCATTATCAATACTTAAACTATAATTTGCTAGTTTATTATGTGAATATAGGCTCCTCCTATGGAAGAACGCCAACTAGTTACTTATATAAACCATTTTATTACATCCACTGTGACATTTTTAAATAACTTTATGGTTCACTGTGATGGCAAATTAATTGAAACAGAACAACGGTTACAAAAAGTGACAGCATCACTTTGTATTTTAGAAACAAAAGTAAGCCGTTAATAATATAGAAATTATCTTTGGTAATAAGTTAATTATTAGTTCTTTAATTTTAGCTGAATTCTGTTCCGGAACTAAATCTAAAAGAAAAACAACAATGTTTGACGAATAAAACTATAAATACCCAGATTGAAAATAATCAAGCTACATCTGAGGTTAAAGAAAATTCAACAAAGAATTCAAATGAACAAAAATTAGATACACAAGTAGTTACTGAGACTGTTGAGAGACAAGATTCTACTATTGAGGTAGAAGGTTCTGAAACACACAATTTTAGTGCTGATCCAAGCATATTAAAATATCGCAAAATGCTACAAGTTGGAGTACCAAGAGGTGCTGTTGAATTAAAAATGACACATAGTGGATTGGATCCAAAACTATTATAATACTAATTATTATTGTTAGTTATTAATTATTTATTATATATTTATAAAAAAATTTAAATGTTTATCTTTGTAATTAGGGCTCCTTATAACTAGTTTTTATATTTATTTGTATTTAAAATAAGTGTTGCAGACATCTATATATTGTTTATTTTTATTATCTGTTTATAAAAGGATGTACTAATGTATTCTTTTGATTGCAATTTGTACAATTGTTAAGATTGTGTGTTTCATAAAGGCATGTAATCATAAATATAAAAGCCATGATGTAAATATTACTGTTGTGTAAGTATATATTACTAATGACGTCAGACGTGTTCAATTTAGGGTTTTATTTAATAACCCTGCATAGAATAATTTCCACATTTGGTTGAATAGATACATTTTTGCAAAAGACTGCCCCCATGGGTCATGATTAATAAAATGAGTATAAATATTAATGCTCAAAGTTGATTCTATAGAATATAAAGATAATTAAAAACTTTTTTTTTTTTTTTAATTTGCTAACAAAAATAATTAATAATAGTAAATTATAGAATGCAGTTTTGATAAATTTATGTTGAACAGATTTGTTTGCACAAAATAAATAATTTAATATAAGGTTTTGTATTGCATGTGACAAATAAAAATTGTAATTCAATTATTAAAAGATACCAGCTATATACATAAATACTAAACCACGAAGGCAATATTTATATTTTTAACTGAAGAGAGATAAAAGGAGTTCAGCATTTGTAAACTCATAAATTATCAATTAAACTAATGGGATGTCATACATATTTGTAAGTAAAATATAATTAAATTGGGAATTTCGAAAAGGGCTTATATCGGAAAATTAAAATTTTTCAGGAAACTCAAAAAACTGATTTTCCTTTACATGTCCTTTTATTTTTATGAATTTTATATATAGTTTTTTTCATCACAATAGAAAACAGATTTGGGCCCTTTTCGCTCATAAAATATCGGTCTATATGTGTAAATGAAAAAAACGCGAAAAAATCAATTTTGATCAAAACTTGAAATGGGTCCTTTTCGAAATTTACAATTCAATTTGTCTCCAAGTAATTCATAATACTCATTTAAACAATAATCATAATAGATAAATCAAAAAGTTTCTAGCAATAAAAATTCTAAAATCAAAATACTCAAATTATCCGTTACCGTATATCGAGATCGAGATTCGGGTAAACCGAGGTCCGGGAGCAGTCGGCAGTATCTACTAATGAGAGTTGGTGCCAAGTACCAACCTACGGACTAAAATAAACATTTTAAATGAGAGTATTTTGTTTCGATAGATGCACAAAACTGATGTTATCTTATCACATTTCCAGGTCGCACTGAAAATACCGTAACTGATATGGCCGTTTAAGCAACGCATCTAATAGATCATCAAACAATATTGTTATGCTGCAGAATATGTTTCCTGTTTAGGTAAACTTTTCAATATTAAGTAAATTTTCCTCAGTAGTATGTAAGTATAATAACTAAGTTCTAAAACCTACCAAAAATGGATGTCTCTCCGTCAATAGAAACCGTGTATGAAGCTATTTATGCTCTATATAGCCAAAATAGCAATCCTAATGAAAAACAACAAGCTTCTAATTGGTTAAATGAAATGCAGAAATCGGTAAGTAGTGCAACTTTTATACTAATTTATGTATCTAATATTTGTTTTATTTATATAAGGTTTTTGCATGGAAGATAGCTGACGAATTACTAGCAAGGAAGGTTGATAAAAATTCATGTTACTTAGCAGCACAAACAATGCGCTCAAAACTTCAAAATTCATTTCACGAATTACCTCTAAATTCACATGCATCATTACGAGATGCTCTTCTTGATCATCTATCAAAACTCGATGATTCAACAGATTGCGTGATTGCAACCCAAGTAAATGTTATCATTAACTAATAACATTTTTTTTAGTTTGTTACTGGTTATAGTAGGAATAATAATAAAATAGAATATAGTCTCAATAACTTTTAAAAATTACTTTAATTTAAATTAAAAATCTTCTAAATAGTCTCAACATATTTTTAATTTATTGCTGTTAAATTAATTTTTTTCTTAACAATTTTAATAATTTTACAATGTATGTTTATATACAAAGTATTTCTTGACCTTTTGGATTTTTTGATAATTATGAAATATCAATAATATAACTAGTAAACATTTGTGTTATTTTTTTTTTAGTTGTGTATCGCATTAGCTCATTTAGCCCTGCAAATGGGTTCATGGAAAAACGCAGCTGTTGATATTGCATCACGATACAATTCATTAAAAACATGTTTTATTCTCGAATTGTTGACTGTGTTGCCTGAAGAGGTTAATTCTCGGACACTACGTTTGGGAGCTAATCGTCGTTCAGAAATTTATACAGAATTCAGTGAAAACTTGCCTTCTGTTAATCAGCTCTTAGAGTTATGTTTGGTATCTGAGCCTAATAATGAACGCGTTAAAATTAGAGCTTACAAATGTTTTGCATCTTGGTTAAATATTAGAAGTGTATCATTGTCACAAGTCTGGCACAGCAGTGTATTATCAAATGCTTTCAATGTGTTATGCTGTTGTGATGTAATTATTATCAAATAGATAATTTATTTTAAATAATTACATATATATATATATATATTACACACACACACACACTACTAATAAAATCATTTCAATGATTCTAGGGTTCTAACATGATCCAAGAAGCAGCTGCTGATTCAGTGATTGCATTTTTACAAACTTTAGATGATAATAATAATCAAGATGAAATACAAGCTGAAATTTTAAATTCAGTTGGTAGATTAGAGCAAGCCTACATGATGTCTGTTACTAATGAAGATTTGGATAGGTAATTAAATGTATAGTTTAATAGTTATAACATGTACGACATGATGTTTTTCATTTGTTGTAGAACCATTAACTACTGTAGAATATTTACGGAATTAGCTGAATCATTAGTTACGACAATGATAAATAAAAGCCTTGGAGCTGGTTGTCAGCCACATTTTTCAATCAAAGCATTGGATTTAGTAATTTTATGTGCAAATCATCATGACTACGAGGTGAGTATTATAGATTTTTGTCTAAAAAAAAAAACCGTTCTAAAATATTCTATTACTTATATGTTTACCTGTAAACTTTTTAAGTGCTTTATATAGGAGACACATGGCCAAAAAATTAGTAATTTAAATTTATTTTCTATGGTATAATCATTAAGCTTATAATTTAAACTTGTGTTATTCAAAGTTAATTTAAAATTGTTTAGTTTTTATTGTGTTATCTTTCACAAGTAGAATTAGGTATTACCCATCTAATTCTCTTTTTATTTTTCATTAATTAATTAATTAATATCACAAATTACAAATAAGATTAATTTTTTTCAGGTCCTATTAATAACTTTCAACCTATGGTTTCGATTATCTGAAGAATTGTACAAGATTCACAATGATAACTTAACTGAATTATTTAAACCTTATTTTGAACAATTAATAAGTGCATTGTATAAACATTGTATGATAGACACTGATCATGTAAGAAAATTAATGAAACTAAAGCTTTTTTTTATAAATCTTATAATTCTTATAATAAAACTGTTATGTTGATTATATTTTAGGAAGGTCTGTTGGACGAAGGTGTGGAAGAATTTGCAGATTTTAGAATGAAATGTTCTGATTTAATCAAAGATGTGGTTTTCATAGTAAGTTCATCAGCTGTCTTCCAACAAATGTATATGCTACTGCAAACAGCATCAACATCTAATGTGACGTGGGACCAAATGGAAGCTGCACTTTTTATTATGCAGGCTATTGCTAGAAATATATTACCGTAATTATTAAACAAATTATTCAATATCTTGCTATCAGTAAATTTTAAAATTTTAATAGGGATGAAAATGAAGTGGTGCCGAAAGTAGTCGAGGCTATACTTAGTATGCCAGAAACTGTCCATATAAATATGAGGTACACATCAGTAATGCTTTTAGGAGAACTTTGTGAATGGATTTCACATGAAAGTCATTCTGAATCATTAGGTAATTTTTATTTTTGAGGTTATTCTATGAATGTAATGAAATTATTGTTTTTAATTTAAAAAGTAAAGTACTTTAAACAATTTTAATTTTTTATATTTACCATCTTGCTTCTTTTCCTTATATCAGTTTTAATATAGTTTTTTGTTTACTATTTTGAATATAGTTTTTTGTTTACTATTTGAATGTATTAAGATTAATATAATATTTATGTAAATTAAGGGCATCATAGTGCATTCAAGCACATTGTACAGGCATTTTTTCAATAAAACTTAACATTAAGCTAAAAGTTTCAATAATATGTATTATATAGAAAAGAGGGATATATTAGATATATATTTTTATATTTTCTTTTTTTTAAAACTTTTTTAACGCATGTAGGCTCTAGTTTTGTACAAAAACATGGTATATTATATATTATGTTTCTGCTTCCAACAATCTAAGGTTCCCTTTTCTAGATTTCAATTCTGAAAAAAATGTTGAATTCTTTATCATCTCTTCTGTGGTTTGACTAATCGACTACTTTTTCTTGTTATTTGTTTTCATTGTAAAATAGTTTTTGTAAAAAAATGTTTAAAACTATTTTAAAATATTGGAAAATAATAACAGCTTATAGTTTATATGTCCAAACTACAGCAGAGATGATGAGGAATTCCAAACTTTTTCATAATTGAAATCAGATATAAATATAATAAATGGATCTTTACGCCTAATTTTACCACCAATTTTTAGGGTCGCAAGGACTCTTAAGGTAAATTATATTTTAACAAACTTTATTGATTTATTATGTTTAGAGCCAATATTAAATTATCTACAGTATTGTCTACGGCAGCAAAATCTTGCTGCCATAACTGCAAAATCTTTACATAGTATATGCACTACTTGTCGTCATCATATGGTTAAGCATCTTAGTGGCCTTATTGAAATTTTAAAAGTAGTTGATATGTTAAATTTGCCTAACGATGTGGCAATTGGGCTGTTAAAAGGTAATATCCAATTATATATTATATTGTATTCAAATAATATTTATGGTTGTAATTTTAAAAAGGTGTTGCTGTTATTGTTGCTGAAGTACCTGAAGAGCATGTTTACAAAGCAATAAAAGAAATTTGTTGGAGACAATTAAATCCATTGCTAGCTTTAGTAGAAGTATGTTGTACTTAACAAAATGCTAATTTTATTTTTTAAATAATTTTATTTTCAAATCAATTTTATATAAGTTATCAAATGGTTTAATTAATATAATATTTATTTTCATTCACAATAGTCGACAACTGAAAAATCTATTCCTGAAACAAACACTCCATCAGATCCTATTTATTGGCTTGATAGACTTTCAGCTGTTTTAAGGCATTTAGTGGCGAAGACACATTCTGAAAAAGATCCATGTGTAGTTGCTGTTGTTGAAGTATGTATTGTGTAATACTTTGTCATTCTTATACTAGTTACTTGGTAATATTTAATAATATAATTTTCATTAGATGTGGCCTTCTATGTCAAAAATATGCAATAGATATAAAACCGACTCTCGAATAACGGAACACTTTTGTCGCTGTCTAAGATTTATGGTCAGATTGGTGAGTCGTTCGACAGTTGCACTCCTAGCACCCATCGCTCAACAAGTATGTAGATCCTAACTAAATGACCATTTTAGCATATAATTATTATTAAATAAAAAATTAATTAACATTTAATTATGACAATATGAAAGTATTAAAAAATTTAACATAATTTTTTTTTAGATGGCCTATTTGTATAAAGAAAATCATCATAGTTGTTATTTATACATTGGATCAATTTTAGTGGATGAATATGGTTCAAAATTTGATAATACGCTAGTAATGACACAGTGTCATTCAGTTTTGTTGGAAATGATTGATGCATTCATTGAACCAGCATTCCGATTATTTAGTGAAAAAGATGGTCTGCGAAATTATCCTGATACTGTAGATGATTTTTTTCGATTGGCGTGCAGGTTAATACTCAAATAAATAATATTAATTTTACATAATGTAAAGTTTTATTTAAATTTGTTTAGGTTCATTCAAAAGCTTCCTATGCCTTTTCTTCAGTCGCCCGTACTGGAAAGTGTGATTAGATGTAGTATAATGGCAGTGTCATTAGATCATAAAGAAGCTAATGCTTCTGTAATGAAATTCCTATTAGATTTGCTAGTTAGTGGCAAATCCAAAAAAGTAATCTATATTTTAAAATATTAATTTAAAATGAACAGGTCTATAAATTTATAACTATCTTTCATGCATTTATATTTTATTCATATAGGACAGTTCAAACTATGAAGAACGTAAACAATATGTTACTACAATTGTCAATACAATTGGCGAACAATTAGTGGATAATTTAATTCAAGCCAGTGTATTCTCACTTCAGACTTATATGCTACCAGATGTAATAGATGTTGTTATAGAGCTTATGGCTTATGATAAAGACGTAAGAAGTTATTGTTATTTTTAACAGTATATACTTAATAAATAATAATATTATGATAATTATAAATTTATTAGCTAACATTGCGATGGTTGAATGGTGCGGTAGAAAAATTACCTAAGCAAAACTCTGCTGGCCTTGTTACTGCTACTAACGAACAGTGTGTGCAATTTTTAAGCTCATTTCATAAGTAAGCAGCAATATAATCAATTATTAGTTGTTATAGATAGGTTCAATTATATATTAATAATTAAAAATATAAATAATGACATTATTTTTTTTAGTTATGAAAATGAAGGAGAGCTGTGTCGGTCATTGCGTGAATTTTCTCGATATTTTCGGTAGTGTTAACATTGTAATTTTGGTATTAATAAGCACTTTTTTTGACTTATCAGTTTGAAACATTTTAGTTTTTACTCTACTTTATTGTGCTTTAAGTTTCGAATGAAATTTAAAATTTAACCGTTGATGTTTGACCACTTTTAATGCAGTATAGGAAGTATACTAATAGTAATTACTAATTATCAACCTATAGCTGTTGATAAATACATGGCACCTGTTAAATATTTTGTAACATAAGTTGTTTAAAAAAAAAAAAAAAATGTTTTTTCCCTTAGTAACAATATAAATATTTTTGTATTATCTGTTTTTTTTTTTTTTTTTTACAAAATAAACAATTCGTTATTTGGTCAATGAGTATTGGTAAAAAAAAAAAAATGATAACTACGAACGTGTGTTGTAGAGTTAGGTTTATAACCCTCCATCAGGCGCACTTAAATTAAGTGTGACTTGGGTAAACCTTTCATGGCAGTCACATAACTATATGAATCGCTTCATGCAAAAAGGCCCTTGATCCTTAACTTTAAACTTTTGAATATGTGATATAAATATATTTAATATGATATTTCATAATATTTAAGATGCTTACAATGGGTTCTAGTAATTGGACTAAAGCTGTTTTAACATGAATCAATGCGTCTAAGTAAAGTGATAACGAATCTGTAATAATCACATTTTTAATAAAATGTTGACTTAGGCCCTTTTTATATGAAGCGATTCATATAATCATATGATAAAAATTTACCCCGTGCGCTGTACTTAAGGTTAAATAAATAAGAAAATGGACTTATGATTTCGATCAAGCTACTTATTACTTTTATTTGTTATTCTATTATAATGATCAATTTGCTTGATATAGCCTTTCAATAATAAAGGAATTGTATAAATTTATTAAAATCATTGGCTTTTCGTAATGAAGATCAAAATGAAAATAAAAAGCACAAATAATGCAAATTATTTTTTAAAAACCTGAAAGCTATTATAGTTTTATTTCATTTCGTAAGATTTGTATCTATCTATCTATTATAGTTAGTAAAAAACTAGATACAAAATTTACGAAATTAAATGTAACTCAGTTTTACTTAAAAGTTAAGTAATAATGAATGGAAAATATAATTTTTCAGTTTTTAATATGATAAGTCAAAAGTCATATAACCTCTTCTCCCCACCCCCTTATTTTTTAAAAGTTAACCTTTATATTGTATAATATCTGTAACAACTGTGAATAAGTGTGTAAGTAGAATTTTAGTCATAATTGACAAAGTACGCTAAGATGTGGTCCGAGGCGCGTCTAGCACACATTGAATAAAAGTCTAACTCGTTGGACCAACAAGAAACCCTTGAGAGAGATGTGAGTTATTGGCTAAGTTGGGATTTTTATGGTAGCTGGTCATAGTTTAAAATCACTGAAATCGACTTACACACTTATTCACAGTTGTTACAGATATAATGTTTTACAATTTAAAGCTGCTATTAAAGGTACACATTTATTCAAACTCCCGGCATTTTACCGTTAAATTGATAACACACTGTTTATGGTGTTATCAGGAACGATCCGCGGCCGACGGTAATGAAAATTGATAAATGAATTAACAGTATTTACTATTTAGATATCTGTAATCTGCTGAATTGTCAATTTCATTCTTTGAAGATCCGAGTTAGAATTCAATAATTAAAAAGACCATTATCGATTTAAATCTAACACATATCTTAGTAACAATATGGCTTATAAGTTAAGTTCGGTTGTTTATGGCCACGTGCTTGATGTTCGTGGTCTAAGCTCGACTAGCGATGGTTGTATTGTTTCTGCATCAAGAGATAAAAGTGCCAAACTTTGGAAACCGAACAGGTACCCATTACATGATCATGAAGTCGAAACAACATAAATAATATAACTTGTGGTAAATGTTTTTAATTTTTAGTGGAAATGCTGGTTACACGGAGGCTCAAACTTTTTTAGGACATACTAATTACGTAGTCTGTGTCACCGTTCTTAAAGAATCCAATAGTTTTCCAAAAGGTCTCATTGTCACTGGAGGCAATGATAAACTTATGTGTGGATTTGTAGTCGATTCTCCTGAACCAGTTTTCATTGAATCTAGACACACTAATACCGGTAGGAAGTGTTTGATATAACTATTATGATATTTTTTGGTAGTGTTATACAGCTAAAAACTAGTTACAAAATATGGAACAAATTTACTTCACCGGACACCCTTTTTTTTTTTTGCCATATAGTATTTTTTTACATTTATTGAGAATCTGAAGTCAAAGATCAGCAAACTCCAGTAGTTCTAAAGTTATAGCTACTTGAAATTTGCATTTTCCGTGTGTATAATAATAGGCAGCGGCAGTCACTGCACCATGCATTATTTGGCGAGGCGAGTGTGCGCTGCTACAGTATTATTAGTTAATTATATATTTTTACTATTATTATTGATTATTATATTATTATTATAATATTATAAATTATTTAATATCAATATTGCATTAAATAACAATATACTTTTCTAAAATTTTAAAGCTTAAGTTAGTAAATCTTTAACTACCTATTTAAAACAACTCCCTATACCTACTGTCTTCGGGAGCCGACTCAAGCCTTTTCGGGATTCTTCATTGGATTGGGGCTCACGCCCCCAAACTCTGAGATAAATAAATAGCTTGCCTAAAGGACTAAACTGCCCTACCTATCGCTCAGGAAGTGTCATCGACCCAACGAGTCCGAACCTACCTATCTTTGCATCAACAAAAAATGTATGGTACGGCAGTGGCCACAACCGCCACTGCCTATTATTCTATAATAATACACACAGAAATATGCAAATTTCATGTAGCTATAACTTTTGAACTAGAGGAGGCTGCTTAGTTCTTAATTCAGATTTGTAATCAGCGTAAAAACTATATAATATGGCAAACAAAAAGTGTGCTCGGTAAAGTAAATTTATACCCAAAATGAATTCAGTAACATTTTATATTGTGACGTATTGAAATAAAGTTTGGTGTTTTCTAAATTTCCTGTATTTTAAAACTTCTTAAGCAATTTCATATCTAACAATCCAACAGGATGTGTTTAATATATCTTACACATCTCAAAAAAGCTAAAAATACTGAAGAATATAATTTCATAAACGACTACAATTTAATCAATTAAGTCAGTGTATATAATTATTAATTAAATCTATATACTTTTAAAATGTGTTAAAATAATCCCATAATATATATTTTATAATATTTTTGCAACATCCTCAAATGATTTATTTTTGCATATCTCTATGTATATTTTTTCATACATGATACTTACGATTTATTTAAAAATATTTAGATTAATGATGATGTACACAGGAGAACGGCTACTGGTTTTATGAGGAATTCCTGAGGTCAATAGAGATATCCTCATCATAGCTTATAAACGGGCTGTTGGAATCATCTCTTAACAATGAGAATCCGCATAAAATTGGTCTCTGTTTTTGTGCGTAGCATCGCTTATTGCTATTATACTATGTTTTAATAATTTAATTCTAAAGTATTGATGGTTTTTAAAAAAGTATTCAATCCATTTTATTAAAATACAAATTGTACTTTTATTAAAATTTGTAACTGTTAAACAAATATATATTTTATAACCGTATTAATAGTATTAACCACAATTATTTAATTTATAATTATAGTGTGTAAACTCAACCCGGGTGTACTTTTGAATACATTTCTAAGTTCTTCGTGGGACGCAACAGCCCGATTATGGAAAGTAACCATTAATGATTCGGATCATACTATCCAACCAGTACTTTTGTCAATATTTAAAGGCCATACTGCAGCAGTTTGGTCAGCTATACAGTTACCTTCAAAGCTAGTTGTAACCTGCTCAGCTGATAAAACTATTCTAATACATAATATTTTACCCGGTGATCCTGAAAATTCCTCAGCAATTATTAAGAAATTAACTGGTAAGCCTTATTATTTTATTAAAGTTTTGAAATGATTATGGAAAATTATGTAAGTAAACTCTTGCATATTAATTAATATTTTTACAGGTCATACTGACTGTGTTAGAGATTTAGTAGCATTGATGAACAATGAGTTTTTATCATGTTCAAATGATGCAACTGTAAAACGGTGGAATGCAAATTCAGGAGAATGTTTAGAAACATTTTATGGACATCCAAGTTATATTTATAGGTACATTTTTAAGTATTTTATCAACAAAATGTTAGTAAAAAATAATAATAATAATAATAGCTTCTCAACTGCATTAAAGCTAAAATGAAAGTAAACAGTAAAAATTGTTAATATATTTTAAGTATTGAATTTAATAAATTTAACTGTGGAAAAAACATTGCTTACTATGCTTATTATTAAAACATTAAAAAAAAAATACAAATTTTGTTTAGTCTTGCTGTATTTTTGGGCACTGATATGACCAATACGATAGTGGCAACTGGTGGAGAAGATAGATATTTAAATGTTTGGCAGTCTGTAGATCAGCAAGTGATATTACAACCAGCTCAGAGTATTTGGGCTGTTACTATTCTTCCAAACTCAGATATTGTTGTTGGTTCCAGGTATAATTTTTTTGTTTAAAAAATATAAGAATCTTACCTACTTATAATCAAACTATAAACTAAAAATGTCTAATATTAATTATTTTTTTGTTAAATTTAGTGATGGTATTATAAGAATATTTACTACAGATATAAATCGTCAAGCATCTAGTGAGGTACAAGCATCATTTCAAGAACAAGTTGACAACGTAAATGAACAAGCACAAAAAGAAATTGGAGGAATTAAAGTGGACAGGTATTTTCCAGTTTGATTTACATTTTGACAGCCTAACAATTTAAAACCAGTACATTATTTTTGTAGTTTACCCGGACCAGAAGCTTTATATCAGCCTGGCAAAAATGATGGTCAAATCATTATGATAAACGAAAACAACAAAGCAATATGTTATAAATGGTTGTCAAACGAGTGTAAATGGGATAAGGTTGGAGATGTTTTGAGTGCATCTGAACCCAATAAAAATATGTATAACGGAAAGGTATTAATCAATTTTATATAAATTGATACTAAGTAATTTTTTTCAATAGTCTAATCTATTTTCAGGAATATGATTTTGTTTGGAATGTTGACATTGAGGATGGCGCACCTCCTTTAAAATTACCATACAATAAGGAAGAGGACCCATGGGTTGTGGCTCAAGCATTTATTCACAAACATGATTTACCTCAATCTTATTTAGAAACTGTAGCAAACTTTATAATCTCCAACTCTAATTCTTCTACTACTGCACAATTACCTGCCAACCAGGGTTTTGTAGATCCATATACAGGAGCTGCTAGATATGTGCCGACTCCAAATCCTACAACATCGACCCCAAATGGTCAAGACCCGTTTACTGGACAGTCACGGCATATTCCCATTAATCCAAAAAGTTACAACACATTTTTCCCACAAAGTAGTTACCTCAAATTTGATCAAGCCAATATTTCAATTATTTTTAGTAAGTAACTTTGATTAATATTTGTTATGATTTATGTTTATAAATATGTGTTTTGTATTTAGATAAAATTGAAGAGTTTAACAAAAAAACTGGAGATTCCAACAGTCAACTGGATAAAAGTCAACTAGAATCCCTAATGAAACTTTGTAATGTAGACTGCAGTTTTGATGAAACGTCAGTTAATACTCTAATCCATCTTCTCGATTGGCCTAAAGGTTAATAAATTGCTTTATAAATTAATGTTTTGATAATATTTCAAAATGGTTCTGATGCATTTAGATATTTTATTTCCAATACTGGATATAACAAGATTAGCTGTAAGGAACAAACAAATAAATGATGCATTGTGTTCAAATGATTTGATCATGATCAAACTGCAACCTCACATACGTGATAATGAAGTATCCACAAATCAAATGTTAGCATTCAGGATTCTGTGCAATCTAATGCAACATGAAAAAGGAGAACTTCTTGTTGTGAGATATTATGAAGATCTATTGAGAATTACACTAAATCTATCTCAAGGCAATCTTTCACCGAAACATCTTCAGGTAATAATTGTATTTTTTAAAAATACATTTAGTGCATACTTTCAAAGATTCTTTTCTTGAAAAAATAAAATGTAACATTATAGTGTGGAGACTGGAGGCATCATAGACAGCCACTCTATATGGTTTAATTTGTACATAGTATGTTGCATCATTTAATAACACATTATAGACAATGATTAGCTGTCAGAAAACAAAATAGAATAGTAGTAAACATTATGTTTGTAATCTTGATTACGTGTGATATGAGGTTTTCTCATAACAAATGTTGTAATTGAAAAACCATGGTTTTGTCTAAATTTGTTCATCAAACATCTTAATTAGTGTGAAAAAAATACACAACAACGAATTTTTAAACTCATTAAAATACACATTTTACATTTTTTAATACTTTCTTTGGAGAGAATAAATGGTGCTGTAATCTACTTCAGGCATTGGTAGTGCAGCTGAGCGTTGTTTATAGTTTTATTAAGTTACCTACTCCATTTCAAAAAGTGACATTAAATAAAAAGTCAAATAATAAATGAGGAAAGGGAGAAAAGGCCATACTTTGACAAAACAAATGTGTTTATCTTGATCATCTTGAATGTTGTTTCATAATAAGTATAGTTGATGTTGTAGTTTAGAAAAAAAGTATCTTGAAAGAAAAGAACAAACATGTAATCATTATAATATTAAATTCATGTCTTTTTTTTTAGCAATTTAATACCAGAAAAAATGTTAATAAAAATATAATTTAAAATCTAGTTTAGTTTTTCATTTAGTAAATTAACTGCAAGTTGAAAATTAAATACAGTTTTATTACACTGGTATTTAGTTTACATAGTGTAACATAATTTCATAATTATTTTTAACAAGAATTCTTGAAAAAAATGAGATATTTACATTTTTAAATATTAAAATTTATCTGTTTAAGATTGCTGTTGCCACCCTACTACTGAATTTCAGCGTCATGATCAAACAGTCTGATGACTCGATAGCCATTCAAACTGTATGTGATGCGGTTTCTTCAATATGTCCAAAACTTACTGAACCAGAAGCAATATTCCGTTGTTTTGTTGCAATTGGAACACTGATAACTTTAAAACATCAACCTAACCTATCTGAGCAAATTAAAGATTATATTGCTTTAATGGCATCAAACTCCGAACCTTCTAAAGTGTTATCATGTTCAAAACATTTGATGGCTTTAATGAAAAAATAACCAAAAAAATGTTAATAATAAGTTATTGTGTTTACTTACACCAATATTTAACACAATTTATTATCTCATATTGATGTCATTTTTTTTTTAATATTAATTTGTATTCATATTTGATTTGTTTATAATAAATAAATTAATATTCTAGTTATGCATATCTATAAGTGGAAGGTAAATTAAATGTATAATAAACAAATATATTTTTATTTTATGGACTAATCTCACTTTTTTTTGTAGTTTATTTTTATAAGTATTTTGTTATTTTTTATAATTTTGTTTAAGAATAACATCCAACTTAATTTCGGGAGCTTCGACGTGAGGGAATATTAGTAAATCCTGTGTGCGTGGAAGAAATGTTTTATCATACCATCCATACCTGAAAGTATTACGTTAAATAAATATTAATTTATTTAATTATATTTAACATTCTCAATGTTTTAGATATTTTACAAATATATGTTTAATTTTAATAATGGTAGAGCAAGAGCAAAATTAATATTCAGTTAGTCGCCCTACCTACTCATGTATTCAGTTGAAATTATTGGAGTTTTTAAAAAATTACAAAAAAATCCTAGGTTGGATGGCAGAAATTGGCTTAAGTTGCCAACTAGTGTGTAGAAATCTGTTAATTTTATTTTTAGTTGATATCTTGATATCATTTAATAAAATATTACATATATTTTCAAATTTGTATAAATGTGAGTACCCTTAAATAATCTTTATGAAAATTTAAATTTGATAATAACAAAATTAATTATTATTCACGAGGAAGGACTGACGACTGTAGGGGAATTCGTCAAGAAACCATCTCGTGATAGCATGGTTGGCTTTATTCCTTAAAGGAATTTTGAGCTATACGTTAATGATTAAACAATTTACCTTTTAACAACCTCTAGCCAGGTTTCAAACTCATAACTGATAATGTACCTAGTAATTAAATTAATTGTTTACTTTTGATTTTCAGTTTTCGGTGAAAAATATTTGTTCTTTGACCCAAGAGTTTTTGCTTGTGCTAACAAAAGTATAAAATGTTCTTTAGGTTCTCCTTGATCAGCCGTCGCTTCGTGGCGTGCGTAGAACTTTCCAGTAATTGGGGAAACTGAAGACGCCGAAAACAAAACAATTTACTCCACTTACACACATAGTACACATATATTGTTTATTTTACATAAATATACGTGAAATGGGAAAACAGTTAGAAAGGATAATATGGTTTATAGGGTAAGTCATGAAATAAAAGATTATTACTAGAGTTTGAACTAGTTATATTCATTATTTGATAACAGTTTTACATAACATGTAATACATTGTGGTCACTTAAAAAACAAACACGTTGTCAAAATGTCGTAGGGCTGGTTTTGAAACTAGATGCCTCAAATGTAATTGGCTGGATTGACCAGGACTGTGTAGAACTGGGTTAAAAATATTTTTTGAAACATCACATCGAATTGGGTAGTATTTTTTTAAATTATTTAATATTACTATTTTAATATTCGAATACTATTCGCACGATTTGAATATTCGAATCCAAACTATTCGAATAGGTAATCGAATATTTCCCATCACTAGTCCTGAACATGAAATGATGATAACAGACGTGAATCGCGCCTTCAGAAAGAGGGAGGAGGGTACACCGTACAGGTGGGTAAAACTGCGAGCATTGCTTAATAATTAATATGTGTTTCTGTTTTCCGACCGTTATCTATCACCATAGCCGTTTTCCGCTAAAGGTTATATTCCGATTTCCGCAAAAATAAATAAAAATTTGTTACCTAATATTTTTGAAGAACCCCCGAAACTAAATCTATAATATAATTTACTGCTTTTCGATTACCGGTTGAATTTATAATTTGTTTATCTATGATAGGTACGTCTATCGACAACACTATGTAGAATGTTCTGCTATATGATTATTGATTACCCTATATTCTGACGAGTTCATAATTATTATTTTTTGAGAACAGTTTAGCCGTACACTTTTTGTTGTAGCACCTCGATCGTGTTATTCCATTTTTATCTGTACACGCGTAATCAAATTTAAATTTGTTATAAATTAGCATAATATGCTCACGGTTATTCGTAATTATTTCAATTTTTTCCGATATAATAAACGAAAATGGCACTTCATATTTGAATAATTAATTAACAAGTTGACTGGCAAGCTATATGAAATTTTTGAACTTTTGAGAGTTAATATGATACTCAAGTCGACTTGTTAAATTCTGTATAATGGCGGAATTGAGCGTAAAGCGTAGGGCAAAAATGTCGCACTAATAAGTATGAAGTATACCAATAATATAAGTAGAATAGTGCTGAAGAAAGAATTTACCGTTGTACCAAGACTTATCTCTAAACTAAACATTTCTAGCCTCATTACACTATTTAAATATAAATCTTTTTTTAGCCGCTTGTTAATACTAACCTTTTAAATTTGGCCGAAAAGTAGTGTAAACCTTTTGAAATTGCTTTTCTTTTTTATATAATTCCACCAGCAATGCATGATTATTCATAACTGTCTAAATGTTTTCAATAGCCTTTTCTTATGTATAGTGTATCCTTGGAGTCTATTATTTATAGTATTAAATGTCGTATAATGTGTATTTTTGTAATAATTTTGAAATAATAAAAATAATTGTTCATTGATCCCGTACTAAACAGTTCAGTGTAACTAAGGTAAAACATTAAAACATTATAGTAATAGTAAAACACATATGTTTTCGCCTTGAGTTAGGACTGGTATATAATTATACTTTAGGACTGTAGGTTTAATGAATATATATTTTTTTCCTGACAAAAATTGGCAAATCTAAAATATGGATGCAATATATAAAGATATATACAAATTACAATATAATTATATATATATATATATATATATATACATTACAATACTATTTTTTTTTTGTGTAATATAAATTACTCGATTTTGAATCTGCAGTCTGTACACATTCTATACAAATTTACTTTAATTAGGTATTGTTATTGGATTCTGAAATGTGTAGTGTTTAAATACTTGTGTAATTACATTATTTTTTATGTATTGGAAATTTTACACCACTAAGGTATGAATATTTTTATAAAATTAATTAAATGTAAAATTTGAAAAGTTAATTTTGACTTGTTTAATGCATTAATTAACATACATTAAAGTATTGTACTATATTATTACTAAGTACTAACGTGATAATACCAATTATTCAGAAACGAATCCATATAGTAAATACTTCATATTTTTTTTTTAATTAATAAATGAAATTGTAATACATATTATGTATTTAATATTAGCTAGTCATTTATTGCATTATATTTTGTGCCTAACGGCTCGCAAAATATAATTATTTTTGCTTTACGTGTAATGTTCAAAATACATTTTTAAGTTGTCTGTTTTCAGGCATTAACGTTATTGTTCTCTTTGAATTTCTTTCATCATTTCTTCTTCATTAATTGTCATCTATATAAATAAAATAATATAAATTATAATAATGGCATACATTTGGTGAATAATATGTATATCTTACGTCTGAATATTTCAAAAACTTTTCGTTATTTTCATCCTTTTTGAACGATTCCAAGTATTTTCTGCGTTCGTATATAACCACATTTAGGTATCGTTTATGCTTTAACGCTAATTCCAAAGCTCTGAAATATAGAAACATGATTGTTTAGTTACCTAGTAAAACTACTCGGAAACAGTTTCAGCAGTCTATGTAGGACTAATTTTCTAATTCTGTCAGTTCTAATTTCAGAATTCTATTCAGCGCAGAAAATAGTCGACTACAGACGAAATTCACCATAGAAGAGGTAAACTTGAATTATCAAAAGTATAGAACATTGAAAAATTAATAATTAGAAAAACTGGAGAAGGGGTACAAAGAGTCAAAATAAAATCTAAGAAACACCGTATGTAGGTATTGAGCACTATATAAAAAGTTATTTTAATATTTATACATATAATATTGATATAATTATATATTATCATGTGTAGATTTAAAAGCAGAACGTAGAATTATAAAAACTAAAAATTACAAAATCGAATTTAACTTATTTTCTTAAAATACGTACATTTACACATAAAGTATTAAAGTATACCTTGTCCAGTTGTGAGCCTTTACGTTGAACATGATAGCTTTGTATGTGGATCCACTTCTGAGCAAAATCGATTCGGCATCGTTAATTTTTCCACAGAGCAAGGCAAGCGAGGATTCTTGTTCTGACCTATCGGATACAGTCTGAAAACAATATGGTAAACATTTAATAATTTAGGCGCATTTGTTTTTTTAAAAGTTATTATTGTTATTACTTTGAGGTTTTGAATAAACGACACCCGTTCGATGTGACCAATTGAAATGAAACACTCTTCGGCAGTATCTAATTGCTTGGCGGCAACAGCAGAGCCCGCTAGTACTGCCCACATTGCTTCGTTTTTCACAGCACGACATAGGGTACGACATTCCATCCAATTCCCTTTGTCGATATAGTTCTTCAAGCTTTCTAAGTAGGGTGTTATTTGGACGGCGACTTTAATACCCTCCGCGTTGACCAAACTTATCACGTTATCTTCATAGGATTCAATTTCTAATTTGGTTCCGTAAAGACTAGATTTAAAAAAAAAAGAAATAACCCCGGGTTTGATTTTAACGTACACTTTAGATAGCAGATCATATTTTATGAGGATGCAGTGGCGCCGTACCGCGACTATTTCATCTAAAACTTGTAGGTACATACAAAACTCAAAGGTATTATTTGGAAAACGAAAACCCTCAATCGCAGTCAATGGTTTTTAGATTAATGCAATAATCGATGGAACAAAATATGTGTAAACTTTAAATTTACTTCTTGTCTACTACCCCCACTAACTTAGATAAATTGTGTGCAATCCCGCTTAGTTCGGCGCCACTGATTAATGCGTTTGTTAGTCATACTTTACCTCAAATCAATTTTCTCGATAGATTTCCGAATTAGAATTGGATCATTTAAGAGTAATAACGGATCGTACCATACAATAAGATTTGAATATTGTAGTGCTGCTAACGATCCGGTCTGGCTGTTCCAACACATTCCATTAAACATAGAGCCTTTGAAAATGAAGAAAGTGTTTTTAATTTTTATTAAACTTAAACTTTAGAGTTATAGCATTGAGTTATTCAAATTGTAACTTTAATATTTACTTATATTGAGGATACTTCTATATTTACTTAATGACTTGATTGTCAACGTTTAGAATATGGCATACAGACAAAAAGCAATGAATAACGATAAAATAAGATCATAAAGCAAGTGCAATCAATATTAAGGACGGTCAGGAAACATGAGAAGATATTATAATAGAACAGTGTTTTCGACAGTGCAGAGTTCGAATGATGCCCCACCTAGCAACAAAAACCAGGTGCTTACGATATCTAATGTTCGTGTGGTATATTGTAAACAGGCCAGACCAGATTACTAGGAAAAATAATACGAGTAAGCCCATAAATGATGTGGTTTTAAGTATTACAATAATTGGTAGCAGCGGAACAAGAACAAGATCTTAACATTAAATTTAAAAATGTCAAAACTCTATCCTAAGAATCTCATCATGCAAAAAGGATGGTGAAGGATGCCAGTGAAAATTAAAATGGGAAAATGTAATGCGAATTTGAATAGAAAAGATTTTAAGATTGGTGGAGTTTAAGCGGAATGTATAAATCAGTTATAAATCTACTTAAAAGAAGTTCAGGAATGGAAGATGCAAAAACGTTGCTGAAGTAGACCTAGAATACACGAAGAGATAGTTGCGAGGAAAAGAGTTTCTGGTTTTGTCAATTGACCGAGGGGAAATGGATCGTTAATAGTTGAAAAGAGTAAGGGTAGCATTAATAATTTACGACTGTGAGTAAAGACGATCGGATCAGTCTACGAACAGCAACGGTATTATACACATCAAAACTCAAGTGCAGCCTTGTAGAAGAAAGATGTAAGGTTTCCGAAACGTTAGCAGACAGATAAATATAAGAGTATCCTCAAGATATGTGAATATTGTTAACACAATAATAAAAAAAACACATACAAGTTTCAACAAAACTTTCAAAAGATTCTATTGTTTTACCTATTTTATGTATTTTAGAACAATTGTTGTTTTCAATTTGAACTATAGAAATGTTCAAATTTGAGTCGATAACCGCCAAATACTTATTGTCTTTGTTGTTCATTAACTGAATACACGTGATAGACGATCCGTGCTTGAGTGCAGAGAGCGTACTTAACGGAGTAATTTCGAATATGTGTACCACTATCGAAGAAATCGTTAGTAATATATAATTAATACTAGTTAATTTATATGTTTAATATATGAGTGATATTTTGTTAGATACTTTTATCATTTAGCTGATCTCGGACGGCTAATAAATCAGTAGACATGGATAAGTGATTTTCTTGAATTGCATCGCATTGCATGTTTGGCCATTTAGGACACGACACCAGTTTACAGTCATACGTATAAATGCTAACGCTCGAATTAGAAAATATAGCAAAATTCCTGACAAATAAATTGGTTTAATTAGCACAATTAATTAATATTAATTAATTTGGTACAATAGTACAGCAAGATCATTAATTAAAGGGGATTAAAATATTTAATTTACGACAAGGAAGAAGACGACCCGACAGATCCAGAAAGCGGTGTTATTGTGGAATCGAAAAACCTGAAAGTGACGCAGTGGATAATAGTATGTATTGATGTATTACAGAACAGATACTAATGTGTAGATTTTTAATCAGTACCTACTCCAAGAGAGAAGTTACTTCAGACTCCGTCAGTATTTAAGAGAGAAGAAGTATATAATTGGTATAGAAAAAGTACAATAGTTACTAATTAAATTTGAGTTATTATTTATAAAACTAAAATCAGACACATGACAATTTGTTGATCAATGTGATTCTATCGGTTAAGTATAGGAAAGTGAGAAAAGTTTTTCTTTATCTTATGATTTTTTACCGTCATTTGAAAGGGTTAATATCCCTAACTAGATATTGGTATTGAGCTTCATTTATTTAGGCGATAGTTGACTTTTTTACTATAATTTCCTATTCCTGAAAAAAATTTTAATATTAACTTTCGCGTAGTTTGTATTCAAAACTGAAATTTCGGTTATTTTGAAGGAGTTATTATATTATAAAATAGATATTTTCTAAGTTTTAGGAGCACATTATACCACTTAGCCATGTGCAAAATTGTTTAGTCATTATTGTACAAATATATGTCTCGGGAGGTTCATTTTTCTGATAAACTGAACTAATTTAGCGTCAAAGTACATCTGTAAGAGTATCGAAATCGATACTATCGAGATTTTGACATGGTAATATTGAGAGATTTAAATTAAATCCCAAATTATATGATATTGAGTTTTAAAAATTGTAAGACTTATCTAAATATAGTTTTATTAAAAAAATGGCCATGTCAACATTTAGATTGTCTTAATGTATTTTTATACATCCTAACATAGATTCTCAAAAAAGTGTATCTCCTGAAAAATATTTGAAATAAAAATGGTTTTTAAATTGTTTTTTGTTACGTCGACCTTTTCTTAGGTACTCAAGTCAATTATGACTTAAGATAATTGCCCATTACAATAAATTTAGGTCACATAGTGGGTTAATGCCTAAAATTAATTCTGATTTTCTACCTTAAATAAGTAGGTAGGATAATAGTAAGACACTATTGCATAGAATTTTTGAAGTATCATTATAAACGTACAGTGTACTAATTTGTTTTGGTACCGTTAAGTTGATTCTTACTTTTCGCTTAAAATCACTCTAAATACATTGGGGTCTTTTAAGCTGATGATTTGCGGAGTGTTTAAGTTTGGTATTCTATACACGAAACACTGTGTGCAAGTTATAACGACCAAGTTGTTGTGCTTTAAAGATACATGAATAATTCGTTCAGGAAAATCAAGATTTTCTTTCGTCTCGTTCAGCACGTCCTTTACGGTCATTGTCTTTCGGGACGTCACCAAACATTGAACATTTTTGTGAGAGACACTCCTAAAATACAATCATCTATCACTAGCAGGCTTTATACATTTACAGACAATTATGATAACGCAACAAGTTGAATTAAAATATCAAACCTTTCTACAATCGTAGATACCATTAGTTTGCCATTGGCACATGCTGAAGCTACTTGTGTGCTATCTGGTGACCAACTAAACTCTCTTATACTACCACATTCTACACGATTGACCGATTGAATAATCTGCGTTTATAAAATATGTAATTTATTTTAAATTTGTTTAATGGTATATTATTATTTGCTTACACCAAATTGGTTGCAGAGTAAAATGACGTTGTATGATCCAACTACCAACAATTTTCCGTCGGGTTTCCAGCAAACTGAAGTAACCGGATGCTTTAACATTTCGCTGATGAATACAGAATTTCCATAGGAATCCCAAATCTGTAAGTAAAGAGATATATATTAATTACCTCCTTATTTAAATATTAATATAACCTATTTTTATAGGCTCATCAAACGCCAGCGTACAAGAGTTGACGGAGAAAATCCTATGGTATATTGATTTGTTTGTTCAGAACAATACATATTATACTTTAAGTAAGACAATTGGATTAATGCCATTATAACCTAATAACTGCGATTTCTGAAAATAATTTTATTTCGATTTTATGGAGCCTCAAAATAATATTATTTTATTGCTTTCATTTGTCTACCAACACGTATCCCAAACAAAGAAAATAGAGTTATGGCATGTCTCATTCTGTAATGATTTGTTATTTTTTCTAGCATAATTGGTACATATAACTTTCCTATTAATATCCTATTAATCCTATTAATATTTTTTCAAAACTAATTGCTGTTGGATGTAAAGTTGAAAGTTCGAATAATCTGATGAAAATAATTTTGGACGGTTAAAATTCAAACTAACTCAAAATGTTAAAACATTATCGATTTAAAATGCTGAAATGTTCTTATGTTGTTCTGTAAAAAGCAATACGGAATACCATTATAATTTTTTATTAAACAAACGATAAATATTTCAATCTACTTTTGGCATTTCTAAACAATTTTTTTTTAACCGGAGTTGTTGGTATTAGTTTTATTTCATCAGGTTTCTACAAACAGCGTTACATAGTGTTACATACTATCATTGATTAGGCTATTGAATTTACTACAAATGTCACTAGTTGTTTTGAAATACATTCACAATCCATCAACGGTTTTCTATTTCAGATGATACCTAAAAACAAAATTCGTACTTTGTGAAATGATTTCATTATATCTTCGGGTATACGATCATAGTTAGTATCTCAAATACGTACAAGAAAATACTAGAAACGGTTACCAAAGAAGGAGAACCTCCAGTAAGAGAAGGCTTGATCGAAAAATTATTATGGATATCGAGTAAAAGCCTGATGAATATATTATTAAACAATTCGGAGTACAATAATTATGCTATTTAGTATTTAAATAGTTACCTTATAACAGCAGTCTTCGCCACCCGAGACTATCAAATCGTTAGTTTTGCCCCATGATACCTTAAGCACTAGATTGCTGTGAGCTCGTACCTACACAAAACCGTCTTAGTATTATATGTGATGCGGAAAGCAAAAAGGTATTTTTTTTCTTGTCAGAATTTCTCAAAATTTAGCTGGCTGCTATATACTGAATCTTGATAGATTGTTGAACAATCCTAGACGTGGTATATCTCTGTAGCTAAAAATTTGACCAAGTTTTTGCATTTGTAAGTTTACAACTTTATATTCGGTCGACAAATGGTCTGTTTCCCAAAATGTATGCTAATTTAGGTGAATATTATATTGTAATCGATATTTTTACCTATACCCCAATCCTAGAGACTCCAACATGCTATTATTGATACTTGGTAAGAAATCGACAAATTCGCCCTTAAATAATGTTTTGGCGTTTTTTCGAAATCTACTTTGCCGTCAAGAGGTGCCTTTTCGCTTTCCGCATTACAAATGGTTTTCATCAATAAGCGTATCTTTATAATTATTACTGTGGACTATAGTTTTGTCTACTTACTCTGATGGTTTTGACGTTTGGTTTTAACGATTTTATACAAATCGCATCGTGTTGTGTGTAAACGATTTTCGAAGAATCTGAATTCCAATCGGCAGACATTATCGGTTCTCCGTTCACTACCAGCTTCGTTCTCAGCATTCCGATGCGTGACCATATCTTAATGTTGCCATCTTCTCCGGCTATTTCATCAAACAATTTTAATTATTTAATGACAAAAAAAAAACATTGTCAAATATTTATAAGTAATATTTTCATATGCTACTAGTGGATTGTAAATAGCCCACAGACAACAAATGTTCATTAACACAAAACAATTATAATAGTTTGTAGAAACACTATTTTAGTTGATAGCTCTTAGTCGAAAAATATTTACCTGTTAATAAAGTAGAACCGTCGGGACTCCATTTTCCAACCGATACGATTCCTTCGTGTGCGTCAATAGCTTTGTCAATCTTTGTGATTTTATTCATTAAATAAAGCTTACCTAGACGTGACAGTATTAAAAATATTAATTCTTTCCTAAAAAGTCACAATTTATTTTGCGTTCGAATTTCATTACTTTATAATAAGTATACTTATTATTTAAGTAAAAATATTCTTATTGAAATTATTACATTAGATCTAATCGAAATTAGAATATATTTTCCAAAAAGCCCTACAATTTAAAAATTACCCTTCTTCACTTTTGTATTTATAAACAAATATAAGTAAAAAATAAGAATTACATTTTACATGGAAGTTGTTTATTGCAAAACGCTTTATTTTACATTATTAACAATAAGCTATATTATAAGGTTTACATTTTTCTCGTAGTATAATTTTAATTTATTATGTAAATCTAACCATCTGAAGTAGTAGTAAGAACTTGTTCATTGCCAGTTGCTTTATTTGTGAGCTTTTGGCTACTCAGTAAAACGTCCAAGTCAACAGGAGATGACTTTTCTGGTAAAATACAAAGTTTAAGGGTTTCTCTAGTTGCCTGACTCCACTTGGACAATGTACAATCATCTCTAAATTGATAATAGTATAATAATATAATAATATAATTGACATTATTAAACTTAAAAGCATAATAAACGAATGCGAATAACAAAACAAATTTAAGTCGATATAAGTTGTAAATACTGTTACTAGTATCTGGTATTTAAGACAACGGTCATATTTGTAATGCAATATTATCAAACCTTCCAATCAAAATTTCATCATTTCCAATCCAGCTTATACAGTTAATTGTCGGTTCAGTATTATCATGGGATATTGTTGATTTTAAACGCATATTATTTTTAGAAAAGAAAACAAACAAAAATTACCGCAATAAAATTAAATATCTCAAATAATGTCTAACATAATAATATTAAATAAACATATTATACTCAATTTTTTTTAGAACTTATACACATGCACGTTTTTTAAACAGAAATACAAGCAGCAGGCTTGTGTGAGTGATTTGGAAATGTTGTTACAACAGTAACCATAGTGACGCGGAATTGCATAATGCATATTATACATAATATTATGTACTTAATATGTATTAATTTTTCATAGATTTTTATTTTATATATAAATATATAATGTTTAATATTACATACAAACTTTACATAGTTCTCGAATCCAAAATCCTAATTCTGAAATTAATACTCTTGTAACTCTTGTGACTCTTGAAGAGTCTTTGTCTAGCAGTGTTCAATATGATTTACTATCCAGTAGACAACAATACGTGTATCATACGTATAATATGTTTCTTATAATTTTGGTGTGAAACCCGTGTAAAATTTATTTTTAATTACGTTTATATTTAGTGTAAAATACGTATATTATGAATGTAAAATTGTGTAATTGTCGTGTACTATACGTTGGAATTAGGGTATTCATGGAAGATATTTGGTCTAATTTTAGTATAAAACCATTGATATAAATAACATATGGATATCCAAGTATGAAATTTAAACAAATGTCTACAACAATTAATAGCTATTATTGTAATAATACGTAAATTAAGTTATAATAACTTAACTATTGTTTGTAACAATATTAGCAAATATTACAATAAGTAAAATTACCATTTACATACTATATATCATCAATCATCATACTAAGAGACAAGAGTACTAAAAAAAGGCTTGCTAAAATAACATCTGGCTTAATCCGGAATGTTTAGTATTTGTAAGGGAAGTATTTTATAATTATATAATGTTTCTTACACAAAAGAGTTATTGAAAGTATTTTATATATTTAATTACATAAAATACATTATCCAAATGTAATACATACATTTTTTAAACTATTTTAAATTCTAGAACTATGAAGTCATTATTCATGTTTAATGACCTGCAAATTAAAATTAAATGTATTATGACTACGATTATTCAATCAGGACTTTGTTGACTGTAGTGGAATAAAAAATGTAGATTTATTATTTGAGTTATATTATGATCCTTTATAATTTCATTTGTTTTTGGGTTCCAAATTAAACAAAATTGTTAAGAAAAATCCAATTTAACTTAATAGACATAAAAAAATTATTTAGAAACAAGTGGAGCTATCAAAATAATAATATTACTCAATATATGTTGTGAAAGTACTTGACCTAATTTACAAGTACCTACACACTAAAACACAACTAGCTTGTTTCTACTCTTTCAAAATCTTTTAAACATGGGCAGTTTAGCGATTGTTGTAGCCTAAACTATAAAACAAAGTATTAAGTAACAAATTAGTTAGGTATGTTAAATGTAAGTCTACTAGTTGTAGAATTGTTTTCAACCAACATTTCTGGAAAATGATAATTTGCTATTTAAATAAATGAAAGTAAGTACATGTATTTGACTTCTTATTTCTTGAATAGGTGCTTAACTAGAGGCAAACAATTTATTTTGGCCTATTTCATAAAAAATGAATAGTTCGATTCTATTAATTTTTTTTTTCTTTGTTTTGTTCTGAGTAAAAGAAATGTTATATTGTATAAATTATTACTTTTCTGAACGTCAATGTATTACATGTAAACAAAACAAAATTTAATATATAGTATAAATTAATTCTAGTAATTATAACTTTTGGCTTTAGTATTGTGAATAACGCTCATTTTGTTGTTTTTTTTACCATTGTTTGCTTTCATTACTAACGTATAATTGGTTTCTGATAGATGAGAAGCTATAATAGAAATAAGTAAATATTATGTAAGAATTTAGATTTATAGCTAGAAGTAACAAGTATTGTTATTTAAAAATATTACTATTGCCCCTCGATATGCGATATTGAGTTTTTGTTGTCAACGAATTTAGAAGTTAATAAAATAATATACGTTACCATTTCAAAATCTCAGCTCCTAACGTTTTAACACATATAGGAAGGAATTTTATTTTTGACAAATATATTAAAATTGGAAAAAACTATTGACTATAGAGGCCACGAGGGTATAAAAAATAATAATTTAAAAAAACGAATTTATTCTAAGATATTGATTAGGTCATAGTAATAATTAGTAATATTTAAAGCTTAAAAAGTTTCTTTTTTGACTAAGTCATTTGTTGTCGATTGGTTTGTTCACATAGACAAAATATCATGCTCGGTAGGTATTTTCCTTTTTTTTTAAAAAATAAAAACACAAATATATCATTTATTTACGGGAAAAATTATTATAATTTGTAAAAATATTTAATTCGTTTTCTAAAAAAATTGAATTAACTTGTGCATCGTAATTGCATCCACCAATGGCCCATGCAATTTATCGGGAGCATATAATATTTAACATCTATGTTGCATTTAATTTCATTGACTATGGCCGTTATTTTCGTGTTTTGTAACAAAACAAGTATTGTGTTAACAAAACGTGACTTTTTACCTCGTTAATCAAAGATAAAAATTAAACTAAAGAGATATATACAATTGATACTTACAAAATAGATTTACATAGGTATAGTATACATTTACATTATAATAATATAAATTAATTTACATTCGGTTATATAAATTACAAAATCCTTGAACACTATGATACAAAACAGTACGTATGCATGTATAGTGTATATTTGGTTCACACTATAAATGTATTGATTAAAGTTTACAGACCAACAGTTTTTCTTTGGCCGTTAAATGTTTTTTAACTACGAATCCACAAAATAGTAATCCGAGAAATGTGTAATAACCAGCATAAATTGTAAACTGAAATTAGTTATTTATTTTCATTAATAAATACACATCAATTAATCTTCGAGAATTTAATTAAAAATTTCTCAATAATCGGATGAAGATAATTTTGTTGGATCTACCAACATTTTTAATATACCTACGGTACTTACCTGTTGAGCTGTTGTTACCGATATAACGTGTCCTTGGACGATTCCATATGTCATTAACGTATGCAAAAACAAAGCTATAAACGAGTTAAACCCGAAAACTAAACCATAGCTATCTTTACCCAAGCGTTTTGCTACTTCAGATCTGCGAAACGAAAATAAATTAAAATACTACGTCACGTATTATATAAACTTGCTATGTATGCACTTAGACTAAGTTTTGTATGTGCATTGAACTGTTACATAAACTGTAATATTTTGTATTATTATAACTTACTCGGCTATAGTGAGCATTGTCTGATATAGGCATCCATATATTATGTAAAATGCATAAATGAACCACAAAGTTCTTGTACAGTAACAACCGAATAGGACTAATCCGGCCAACATTGAACCAACGGCGAAAAACGCGTCTCCCACCCTAAACCAATTCAGTTCCAGTTTTCCTATTAAGTAAGCCGAAATGGCTCCTGCAATAAAAACAACATTTATATGAATACACACTATACAATAAATATCAATAAATAGTTAATTTGATACTGGTTGTACACCTATTAACGTGTTAAGCGACTCTGCAGCACCGTTGTACAAAGTAAACTCGGAGTCATTGTTCAGATCTAACGTATAGGTGTATAGAACATTGATGTAAGTGTACACCTAATTAAACAATGATTGCAAATTAATTATCTTTTTTATGCGTATTCTACTTATGAATCATGGGGTAATTGGTTTACTTGAACGTATGCACCATAGGCTAGGGCCCACCAAAAGCATAGCTTAACGACATAAGGATCCGAATACGAATTTTTGAAATCATTCCACAGCCGTGCCAAAGCTTTCCTAAAATTTCCTTTTTTAATATCGCATTGTTTAACTGCTTCCTAGCATTATTAAGTACATTTTTGTATTTTATTTATTTGTCATATCATTATATTTCACTCTCAGGTATTCGCTAAAATAATTACTTTTTTTTCCTGGTAAGCCGACTTGATGGCTTTGACCGTTTCTGATTCGATGCCTTTTGGCGAATAGACGATTGCCGATGAAGTTTGAGTGGTCGATTCGATATCTGCGGCATGAAAGTATATACTGTGTTTCACCGACGGCATTATAAAAGCCCAGATGGTTGAAAAAAACATACCTTTAAGATCATGAGAAAAAATGTATTATTTAGTTCTGACTGACATTAAAATATTATCTTTTTCATTATATTACACACTATAAATATAATTTATTTTAAATACATTCGCTGTGGATTATCAGGTATTTTGTATTAAACCGTTCTCACCAAACGCATTCGTAACTAATAGGCGATACATACAAATTAACCTAATATTATAATAATGTATGTCATGGTGTAACTATTGTGACTGGGGCGATTGTCATGGCGAAAAGTCCAATATGTACGCTAACTAATGAGGAAACAAGTTAAGTATGAAATATGAGCACACAATGAGAATAATAGTAGGTACAGTATTGATGAAGATCATTTTGGATAGAAAGAGAAGTTAGGAATATTTTATCTAGAGGTAATTTGCAATCATACGATAATGGTCGATGTGAGTGACAGAAGCTATGCTAAGGATTTTTATCAACGACGAATTGAATTTAAAAACGACATAGGCAAAACTTAACCTAACTATAGGCATGAATAGAATACATGAATGGATTGGAAAACAACTTCTCTTAATTTATCTCGATCCCTCCGAAAAATGTTGTACATGTTATAGAGGTAGGTAAAATGTTAACACAAATATATAATACAGCATTTTACAAATGTAAATACAGCAAAGATACACTACATTTTTTGGAGGGCTTAAGATTAATTAATCTCAAACCGTCCTTCCATATTGTACACCTTTTTAAAGTGATTCTTATAAGAAGACTGGGTTTAGCTCTATATATTTTTTAATTGCTATTTGCATCTATACCGCCACTATTCCGCAAACCTTCATACACTCAACCTTAATTAAATTAAAATTTCCCATATTTCCGTATATGTCTTATGACCGCGTAAATGCCAATTTAAGTATACTTACATTTCCAATATTCTGATTTTTAAAATTTTTTTGTTGGCCAAAAGTTTTTTTAGTAGTTTTTTAATATTTGGCCTTAATCGATTTATTGGCAACATTCACTTGGCCAGTTATTTTGAATCAATTTAATCATTCATTTAAGTTAACTGGTCGAAACCAGGAACACCGTAGCAGACATATACGGCAAAGAAATGAAATTACAATTAGTTTGGTCGACTTACGCGGACCAAACGGAGCAGAATTAATCTCGCCGTTTCCACTTCGCGCAATTCAACGTGCATTGACGCTGTGTTTTCACGCCACATCAATCGTCTACATCTCGTACTGAAGTACCCACCGACCGTTATTATCTATTACTTCTTAAATAACATTGTAAGATAAATGTTGTCTAATCGCTGAATAGTGTGTTACTCGTTTTTCATCACCTACCATTCGCTCGAGTACCGTGGTTACTATAGTTACATTTCAAGTGTTATCTCTTATGAATCCCTCTATATCCTTATATATATATATATCACACATGAAAATGTCGACTTCAGCCCATCCCCAACTCCAACTCATCCCCATCCCAATAACATACCTCTAATTTCTTTTGAAAATTGTATTGAACATTTATCTTTTTTTGTATGTTGAATACGCGGGTCAATTCAATTTAACTTAATAAAACCACCATTTAAGACCTGATATTTAATATTCGTATATATTATATATTTTAAAGTTTTAAACAGTCAAATGGAATTTTTTTTCTAAAAATAAATTTTGAAATAGTAAAATAAGATAAGTGTTCAATACAATTTTGCCGCCCCTCCAAAACTTTCCGCTATATTTACAATTTACATTATTTTTTTGCGATCTTTAAAGGAACTATACTCATCGATTATGTCATCATATTCTAAATTTTCTGTGATGTCTGATTCAATATTTAATAAAGCGATACTGTTGAGTCGTTCATCGGTCATTCTCGACCGCAAATAACTTTTAATGCACTAAATGATCGCTCTGAAAAGCAATTTGATACGAGACAACATAAATACATTCTTAGAGCAATATTTACATAAGGGTTTGAAGGGTCTTAAGATCCTTCATTTTTAGGTGTTAGACACATCTCTATAGTTGATTTTTATTAACAGAAGATGGGTTATGTAAAAATCTGATGCCACTCCTAAAAAAATGCCGCCCGGGGCGATCGCCTCATCTAGCCTCCCCCTAAATACGTCACTATTTGTGGGCGAAGGAAAAATTCTTACCAAATGCACTCATGTAGACCAATTCGACGAAAGGCACGGATCCGTTGATAAGACTTAACGATTGGGCCAAAAGGGACGATATGAACTTGCCCGAAAGACATGCCGCCCTAGCTTGTCCCGTGATTCTTTGGTAGTAACGTTTATCCTCCGTCATGGCGTACAAGTAACCAAAATATGCTACTTCGGACGAAAAGAAAAATCCATAGAATACCTGGCCAATCTTTAAAAAAACAATAGGCATGATAAAGTACACCTAAACTACTTGTTGCTTGTTTAACATGTTTTAACCTTGCCCCCCCCACCCCGAAAACGACGCTAAATTTCGATACTAAAGTAGCTAATAATAAAATAAGATTATTGTTTATTTGGCCAGAACATATATGTAATTTGTTTTAGCATGGAACATGCTTTAGTCTTAGCCTCCCAGCTCGAAAACGACACGAAATAGTCTACCTCACACACCCAGTGGACCACGGCCTGGTCCCTCTTTCCTTTCTTGGATATTGGTCTTATCTTGTCCTTGGCCTCGCTCTCGCTCATTCTCATATCTGGGTTTTGCCTAACTATCATGGTCGGAATATTATCGGGCAGAATGGCCGTGTCCACTTCCTTAAAAATAACGGCATGGTCACAGGCTTCGGCGGCCCTACTTCTGTTAAAATTGATTTGAATGCACCGGATCATTTTTATGTGGTCGGTCTTTGTGCCTCTTACCTCAGCGCCTTTACTTATATTATGCTGCACGACTGAAATAGGCGTAGCGGTCCCTATTATGTAACTAATACGGCGCTCATATACACTGTGTAACATATAATAATAATAAGTAATATTAAGACTATACTATCGTCATAAATCGCAATGAGATTATAGATGAGAAATAATCACTATTCAAGAGCCAGCAGGCTAAAGCATGTTCCATGTCATATAATTTTAGCTGTTAGGCTTTAAGTAGACTGTAACTTTTTTTGTCCACTTTTACCACAGCATTTATACTCGTTTGAAATATTACGTTGCACTTACTTGCATCCTTAGAATACCCGGGCTGCCTATTATGTTGAAATACGTGATCATGCCGCATAGTCCATCAACGATGAGCACCGGTTTGTATCTCAAATAATCGGTAATTAAAAATACAATAATAATCAAAACAAAACACGAGTAAGCTCCTACCGAATAAACGTCTCGTGACACCTAAATTGTACAAGTCCATTCGTTAATATATATCTAATAATCTAAAATGTCTTTTAGGGTTAAGTAAGGCAACTGTAATTAAACGGGCTAGTGTAAATGACATTTTTAATAATATTCTAATTGTAAGTGGTGTAATGTATAAGATGTGTTATTGTATTATACTTACTATAATATAATTAAATATACTACATTAACATTTTTGGTTTTTTAATTTTGTGATAAAAACAATCGTATATACATTTGCCTTGATGGCTTACAATTACCTCTCCTCCCTTGACACTATACGAAATAAAAAACATTGTGTTCCTACCTCAATCAATGTAATATTTATAGCTGGACTTGTCAAATATGCCGCGTAAAACGGTTCAATGGGCCTAAATTCTCTTACAAACGCGAAAACGCATACAAACAACGAGATCTTTTTCCACTCTTTCATTGTATTAATTTAGTAAAAAAAAAAAAGAAAAACTAATACTGAAAATTTACTATTAAAATATTTACAAACGAACAAACATTATGTATATTTCATTTTGTCCGTTCAATAAATGCGTTGTATAAGATTATATCCGAATGCCAGTCAGTACCATTGGTTTTATAGACACACGAGTACATGTCATTATCGTTGTTTGGTTAGAGCTTAGTTATAGGAAAACGGTCCAATTGAAAAGATAGCTAAATCAAATTAATAAGTACACGGCATGCGCAAACAAATTGCAATTGGCGTTTATAATATTATTGTTCATAACATACCTACGGGATTACACTTAAACTCTTGGAGATAAGCTACTCTCATATTTCGTTAAAAAAATAAAAGTAATTACGAGTATAATGTAGTAAACAAATAAATCCAGTATTGCAGACAAAGATAACATCATATAATATTATTATTCAATAACATTGAGTATTTTTTAGTTGTTCACAAAAAATATTAGAACAACGAGAAATAATTAAAAAAAGTAAACCTGGCGGGCTATGGATGGCGCTTTCGAGCGTACCTGCATCGGTTTGACATTAGTGACGTAACATATTGTGAATGTGTGACGGTACCTCTACGAAGGACTGATGGCCCGTGCTTTTACATTGCCCGCTATACGCTGACCAGAGAGCGCAATTACCTGAGACCTTTTACAAATCGCGAACGTTAATGCCCTGGATCGTCACCGACTTGATGGCGTCCTCAGCGGCGTTAGAATCGTAGGGAAAGGCTATCTTCAGAAACAGAAGGTGACGCGAAAATAACCTGCTAAGTATCGCGACAAACCAAGGGCAGGGTTGCATACCCAAATTAAACAACTTATGGATGCGGCAGATATGGACGCGCATCTCGTGACCAATATTTCTCTGGCAGTTACTAAGGTAGAGCCTATGTGGGGTGGTTAGGCCCTCTCCCGGTGACGCGTGACGCCGGATCAGGTACGAAATAAGTTCTCACGGACTCCAGAGTGCGCCCAGAGTTTTCAGTTGGTGTGGTACGTAAACTGCGCCCAAATTACCTTGTTTTAGGTAAACTGCGTTCCGATTATAATTTTGTTCAAAAAAGGTTAAATGTAAACTGCGCCCGAATCAATAAAATCACAGAAATATTCATTTTTTAGGGTTCTACCACTTTTATCAAATTCCATAAATTGCCAATGTCCATGACGAGGTTTTTTGTCAGCGGGTGGAATTAGAAAGGTTGATAAGGAGGACGGCAGGTCTCCGAGTGTTTTAGCACTCGCTCGCTGTTTGGTCTCAGATAAAGATACACATGTGTCGCTTTCATTTAACACAATCGTGGAATTGAAATATCCAACAAATTGGTTCGAGTATTGACTATAAAGATAAGAACAGTGATATTAGAAGGTGGTTAGTTCAATGCTACGATATACCATTTCTAAGCCCAGAAAGTGTATCTGAGTATTTTGTAAATTATTTAATGAAAACGACGAAAGAGTGACACGATTTGCGGATTATTTAGTAGATGATTATAGTGTGAAGAAGCTCAGTATCCACCTGAAATATAGGCTCAAGCATCAACAGAACCAACTTTAACTGTCAATGCATGCGAGTCATTCCATACCAATTTTAATTCTAGCTTTTAAAAAACTCAGCCAAATATTTTTATGTTTATAGAAAAGTTAAAAGAAATTCAAATAGAAACATACATTATATTAAATAGTATAAATGAACCTTAACTTCACTCGATAAGAACCTGGGCGCAGTTTACATGTCATCTTTTTCCACTTGATAAGAACTCAGGCGCAGTTTACATGTAACCTTTTAACACTTGATAAAAATTCGGGCGCAGTTTACAATCGCTGTTCGGTTGGTGTGGTACGTGCGTTAAACTGCGACGCACAGGTCAGACCGGCTCTGGCGAAAGCTCGTATAAGTACACAAACAAAACCAACTAACCTTAACAAAAAAAAACCAACCAACCAACATACAAATAGTCGATAAAAACCGATAAAAAAAAATGTAGAAGATAAAAATTTTACCAAATAAATAAGAAGAAAGTCTATAATGATTTTGTAAATGGTAATAACTTTTAAACACAATATTAAAATATATGCAAATACACGACATTATGCATCAATATTTATTTTATTAAAAAAATGTTGAAATGTTTTAAAGTGGACAGAGTCTTATAACTGTTTTATTGTGTAACGATTAATTAGGGTTTTTACTACTTTGTTGTTGTTATCTAGTCTTACTAGAAATCTATCCAGCACAATAAAAATGTTGGTATTTATTTAAGTATGTTGTTTTTTTTTGTTACTGTCTGTGAAGTGTTTATGCATAATATTGGTTTTTTTCGTAGACTTAAAAGATGTCAAACACTTCTTTTCAAGTATTTAAAGACTTTAGTGTGATTATACAATAGTAGACAAATAATACATTTTGTTTTAACTCGAAAGAGGTATCAACAAATTTATTAAGTAAAGCCCTTGTGTGTAAACTGCGCCCAGCTTCTTACCTTCGGTATGAAAAGCAAACAGCGCCCGAATTAATAAAATCACAGAAATATTAATATTTAAGGGTTGCTACCACTTTTACCAAATTGTATATATTACCAATGTCCATGCCGAGTTTCTTGTTAGCGGGCGGAATTAGTATTGATAAGGACGGTAGGTTAGAAATATCCAACAAAATGGATTGAGCATGGACTATAAAGATAAGGATAGTGATATTAGAAGGTGGGTAATTCAATGCTACGGTATACCATTTCTAAGCTCAGAAAGTGTATCTGAGTATTTTGTAAATTATTGAATGAAGTCTAAGCCCGACGACGAAAGAGTGACACGATTTGCGGAATATTTAGTAGATGTATAAGTATTAAGTTTAGATATAAGTAGATTTATAAATGAAGAAGATAAGTATCTACCTGGAATATGGACTCAAGCATCAGTAGAGCCAATTTTAACCACCAATGCATGCGAGTCATTCCTATATCCATTTCCATTTTAATTCTAGCTTTTATACAACTCATTCAAATATTTTTATGTTTAAAAGAAATTAAAATAGAAACTTACATTAAATTAAATAGTTTAAATGAACCTTTTAAATACAAAATTTTAAAACAAAACAAAAACGTGAAAAATTACAAAGTGTAATTAGTAAATATATTAGCGGTGAAACACCAATTGATCAATATGTATCAACAATATGTTATTATATTTAATCTAATTTTATTATTTGTTCAATTTTTGTTTTGATTGTTTTGTAAAATATTATACGACTGTAACGATCGAAGTATTATTAAGAAGAGACACTTTTTCCACTTGATAAAAACTCAGGCGCAGTTTACATGTATGATTTTGTGTTTACCTTGGGCGCAGTTTACAATCGCCGAATAAAAAGTTTGACTACAGATTTTTGAGGAAACTAAAGAAGTTATAGTTTTGTTCTAGATCTACTTTCGTCTAGATTTTAGACCTAAGCCACTAATACTTTGCTTGAAATAGTGCAATAAAGAAACAATTTTTATCCCTTCTAGGAGAAAGAGTTTATGGTATTTTTTTGGTTTGTCAATGCTTACTGGTAGTACTGCGTTTAAAGAATATTCACCACAGACCACAGAAATTTGATGAATATATATTTATAACCCCACTATAGGACCTTAATTCTAATATTAATATCTTTACCATAAGATTACACCTAATAAATCAAAAGAAAGTTTCTATGCCTTCTGAGGTAAAGGGTATTTGGTTGGTCAACATATAATATGGATAATACTATGCCTAATCCTTATTCTATCCAATATAACTTTAGAGCTAATTAGACTATTTTTTTTTTTAAAAATACAGCATGCTGTAGTTTTAAGTAGAAAATATGTAACTTAACTCGATTTTTTCGCGATTTTAAAGGGGAAGGGATGAATTATTTTTTGCCCAACAATGCACCTTTTAAGTACGATTTCTAATCTTATAGACGTGTTACATCATTTCAGTGGTTTTAGGAAATATCGTAGTTCCAAAAAAAAAAAAAAAAAAATAATAAAAACACATCATTGTAAAAACAGTACGTTTTCAGCATCAAAGTCAACGTTACATAGTAACTTTATAATTTTATAATCTGTATTACAGAATTTTGTACTATAGGATTTAATAAATTTACATTTATTACACTCATAAATGATTTAACATTCAGATAATAACAAATAAATAAATAGTTAACATTAAATGCTTAATTAAGGTCTAATAGCTCGATTTCACGGTTTTTGCATTTGGTCTTGTAGCGTAAAACATAATATTATTATTGTGACACAATCACAAGTTTGCATAATATTAAAACCATTGACTTATCCCTTGGAAAGGACGATCTAACCATTTTTTTTTCTTGATTACTTGTATTCCACTATTCCTTCGTCTCTGAATAATTTAAGAATGCCAGAACCGAAAAATACCAATGCCAGGAATATGTACAAAACGCCATAAATCAAAAACTGAAATATACCATAAAATTATTACACATAGTTAACAAATACATTTTGTAAGATCAGTTAAATTTATATAAAATAAAATTAATTTTGTCATAATTTAAACTAATTGTTGCTTGTTGGGGTAATATGTATTTTTACTATGTTATCGATTTATTTTACTTATGAGTTAAATGTTTTCTTTATTAATTTTTAGAAATGTATTAACCTCGCCATCATTATTTTGACATATAATATTGTAAAAATAAATTCATAAAATTTAAATGACATACCTACATTTTTCACAATAAAAAAATATATTACTAAGAAGCAATAGTATTTTGAAATAAACCGATTAGATGGTTAATACAATTTGCAATTTTATTATCTAACCAACACAAACTGTTACAACCATAACATTATGCACAGTACTCATAAGTGAATTTTTTAAAACAAATTTTAGGTAAAAGTAATTTTAATGTTCTATTTCTTCTAACATCAAAATTATGAATCTCTGGCCTTCAATATTTGTATACGATATGGAGGTGGCCAATAAATATCTATTACTATACATAATTTAGTTTCCAAAAAAAAAAAAAAAACATTATTTTGTCAATAATAATATGTTTGTTAGTTTTATATTATGATCATTTTATTGGACTTTTTTGAACATCGGCTCACCTGTTGCGCAATTGTTATCTTGATAAAATGACCTTGTATTACGCCATAGATTATTATAGTGTTAATGCATACTGCTAAGAATGTGTTGAATCCAAATATTAGACCGTAACATTTTTCGTTTAATCGTTTAGCTACTTCCGATCTATAATATAAAAAAATAATCAATTGTTATTAAATAACATAATATACTTTATAAACCGTTGTAATGTTTTATTTGGTAAATAATATCAAATTTCAAATTATAATTTGAATATTTTAAAAACACCTTAAAGATGAGACAACGTTTAAATGTATGTAATATGAATATGATAATAATCTACACTATTCTTAAGGGGATTGCATACAGTCTGTTTTTTTTTGACGTTTTAAACCAAAAAGCCAGACAAATTTTGACTACTTAGTCATCATCCGATTTGAATTCTGTAATGTGGAGTTCTTTGGCTAGGTTATGTAGGAAACAGATTTTTTATATTTTGCGTTTACAAAAAACGGACATTTTTAAATGATATTAGGCTTTGTACATAACGTATTAAAGTAGCCAAAAAAACTCAAATCTCTTTACAGAACTAAAATTGGACCATTCTTTGTAGTCGAAATTTTGTCTAGCTTTTTGGTTTCAAATAAACCAAATGGCTTTTATTTTTTAAAAATGTATTTAAACCAAAAATAATACCTTAAAGTTTATAAAAATTTCTATTTACCCGGTAAATTAATTGACATTGTCAAAATTTATTAAAACTTCTTTTTATATTAAATATTACCCTAAGGCTAAAGAGGAAATGGTGTAGAGATTTAAATGTAAATTAGATTAATTGGATTGACTTGGGGTCAATCCAATTAAATACCTAAACCACTCAAGTTAAAGAGCGCCGCCATTGGGCGGCTGCTTTTATTCATGTGTATCCAAGTCATTGTACTAATTCCGCTTACGGACTTATTGTAATATAATAATTACAGATTGTTTGTTTTACCAATAAAATGTTAAAAAAAACAAAAAATATATTACCCATACAATAGGTACTCCTTAAAAACAGACCGCATGCAATCCCCTTAAATACCTATCTGATTGCAATTTATTTTTGCCTAAAAGTAATTACAATTACGTAAACACTATGTTATGATAATGTTTTAATGTCGTGCCTGACACAATTCAAGGGACGTAGCACATTCGGCTCCCGTTTTACAAAAAGGTTAATTCCCAAACGGCTCTGGTTTTTTACAACACAAATTCCTTATCGTCAGCGAGTTTTTTTATGGAAAGAAAACGAAAAATGTTCTATCATTTTTTCAAAAATTTTAATAGATTTAATAGGGGGTTGCTACCATTTTTACCAAATTCGGAATTCGTATTGATAACTGATAAGGACGGCAGGTCCCAAAGTGTTTCGGCACTCGCTCGCTAACTAAAAATATCCTAGGTTTGCAGGCTACAGTCTAGGAGGATATTACAGGTTTAAATTTAAGTTAAAGTTTTTTTGAAAAGTTAAAGAGCCTTGATAATATACGCGTAGTACCAAATACCGGAGCCGTTTGGGAATTTACCTACTCGTGAAACCTTTTTCGACGGGAACCGTTTGGGAAAAAAACAAACAATGGATGGGAGCCGTTTGGGTTGCACCGAATTCAAGTGATCCTAACAATACAAATTAAAATATATAATAATTATTAATTAAAAATAAACAAATTAGCAAGTATATAAAGTTACAGAATATAGTGCTATAAATATAACTCCGACACACTGCCTGCAGTCCTATTACATGGTAGATTTTTTAAAATGTACTAAAATACCGGAATGAAACTGCAAATTTAAAAATTAACTCATTCCTGTGAGTGTACTTTTATACACGTTTGAACAATTTGAATAAAATGTATTGGTGAAAAAACTCATCTTACTCGGCAATAGTTAACATCGTCTGGTACATCATGCCGTAAATGATATAAAATGCGTAAATGAACCACAAGTTCCGATTGTAGACACAGCATAGTAATACAACACCGGCGCACAACGATCCAAAAGCGAAGAATATATCGCCCACAGAGTACCAGTTCCAATCTACTCTGCTGATTGTATATGCAGAAATGGCTCCTAAAAAATAATGTATTTAAATTTTGGACATACTTCTATAGTGGCTAAATTATAATTAATGCGTAGTTAAAGGCTATACACAATAATTGTAAGCCATTGTACTCAGTGTAATTGGCTCAAAGAAACAATGTTCATAACTAACGTATTTAGAAATTATATTATTTCTTGCATTTTGTTAGGTATTGTTTTATTATTGTTTATACCTTAGATTTAATTGGTTTTTATATCAAAACATTATTATACTGAGACATTTATGTCTTTTAATTACACTTTTTTTTTTATGCGTGTAATAATGTTATATATCTACGTTGCTTTTTAGTAATTGTCTTTTTAGTCTTACCTAATAAAGTATTTAAGGATTCTGCTGCTCCGTTAAACAGTTGAAACTCGGTATCATTGTTCTCTTCCAATATGTATGTGTAGAGAACATTTATGTAAGCGTATACCTGTGAAAAAAAGTTAACACTTTTTGAATCGCTTGTAAAACATTACGTACGACAAAACGAGTCGTGTATTTGGAAATTTTACTTTCTTTTACGAAGAATAAATTTGTGGATAGATAGATAAAATGAGTTAGTGATCTATTTAACCATATTTTGAAGCTTATTTAACTGTAACTTAGATCTTAAAAGGTGTCAATCTTAAATTTCTGATAACACCCGTCAAAATACCTACCTATCATAAAAATAGTTACACCAATAATTTTCTAAAAAAAATCTCACTTCAATATTTACTATTAATAAAAGTATGCCTAGTAAGTATAATTGTGAAAATACATGGAGTACGCAATGGTTACCTCAGCTGTCACTCGACACCTGAGGTAAAGCTGTGTCCATCGTAGCTTGATTCCAAGTAGATAACTACCCGGGATTTTTAGCCACAGTCCATGTCATGCCTTCTACAAGTGTTTTATACCTACACCAACCTAACCTATCCAAACCAATCAACTAACCAACAAGCCAATTGCCAAAGATGCTGAGGCAATGTCGAGAATGAACTAGTAGTGGATGCGTTAAAATATTAGTTATAAAAAACAGGGACTTAAATGGAAAACACAAGCGGTTTAAAAACTATTGAAACCTAGTACAACATTATTTGGCGAGGTCCTGGTTTGTCATAGTACTACTAATTTAATACATTGAAATGCGAGACCTAGTGCTATCAAGCTAGGAACTTAAAGTCGACTATGATGGAATCTGAAAACTTAATGGCCAAAAGCGTCTAATTTTAAGATTAACTCTTTAACACTGAAAGTATTAAATATTTTCTTAATATATATTATTTTCGTCGATTTCTAACCTGCAAGTATCCACCCATAGCTATTGCCCACCAAAAGCAGAGTTTTCGCACATAGGGATCCGAATACGATTGTTTGAAATCGTTATAGAGTGTTTTTATTACACCAATCTCCTCTTCTTCAGTCACATTTTCAACTTTGACATTATTCTAAAACAGTGAACACATGCATTATAAATAACACGTTAAAAAATTATACATCCTTAAATATTACTGCAGTAATTGATAAATACAAATGCCGTAATACCCACTGTTTTTAAAAATGTTTTTAAATTTTTTAAACTGTTATGGTAAATTAAAAAAATAGATTTATAATCTATAATTAATACAGACTTTAAAAAAAAAAATTGATTTACAGACCTTAAGCACTAAACTACACATAAAAAAACGAAATAAAGAAAAAGTTTCCATTCATTTTGACAATGTTTTTTAATATTATTTTGATTTTTCAGTGTATAAAATAGATTACTATGTCTTAAGAATATCCCATTCAACTTTTAAACTAGTTCGACTTTTTTTTCTTCAAAATTACAGAGTGCCGTAATTTTTAGTTGAAAATATGTACATTTTTTGGGTGTTTTGAAGAAGAAGGGGTGAACTTTTTTAAATTTTTCGCCTAATCTTTCAGGTTAGGATAGCTTTTTTGCTCAATTGTATTGGTTCTGAGAGCCTATATTGGACCATCTGTGGTTAATATAAACACGGTTCTCTGTTGTCAAACAAATTTATAAAGTGACATTTTTAATTTTGTTTTTCTAATAGTTTACAATTTATCCTATTAGAAAATCGACTATATTTAAGTACGATATGTAAAATAAAATAAGTAGTGCAATACCTACTATATATAGTAGGTATATAGTACTAATAATAATAGTTCAAATTATTAAGATATTTACACATGAGTAATTTTAAGAAAGTATTATCGAGTGAACAATATTGGGAAATTATAATTAATTATTATTATTATTATTGGTCATTTCCCCATTTTCCGGGAATCTTTTCCAATTTGTCTTTCCGCTAAAACCTTATTCGGACTATTACGAACATTAAAAAAAAATGAGCCAAATAGGTTCAGCCATTCGCAAGTGATGCGCTGACCAACAATCAGTATTTTATTTTTATTTATATAGATAATAAATGGGTTCTTTACCTTATCCACGTTAGCGTTTGGAACGATGCTGAGTTGCGAATCAGTGTATTTGCTTGGGTTGTAAATGGTAACGGTTGAATGAGTCACTGAGGAATCATTCACTTTTTTCTTCTTGTGGAAATAAAGACTTTGCTTGACCGGTGGCAATATTAATGCCCATACCGCCGTAAAACTCATCCCTATAGATATTATATAAGATTATTATTATTAAAGAAGCATGTCATTTTAGTCTTAGTGACCTTAGATTTAGTATAGGTAGTACACAAATAGTTTGTCAACATTCAAATTTAATCATAACGTTCCAGTTAATTGATCTATAATTAGCTAATTGTGTCTCATTTTAACATTTTTAAGTAAATTTTATTATTTTTTACTTTTTTTCTTTTACTTACCAAATATAGACATGTATACGAGTGCGTTGAAAGGAGGACTTCCGAATGCCATGGCGAGAATTTGAGCCACGCAAGAAGAAAAAAATTTACCACATAGGGTTGCAGCCCTTGCATGGCCTGTAATTTTTTGGTAAAACTGTTTTTCTTCAATCATAGCGTATAGATAACCAAACAGGGCCACTTCCGCAGAAAAGAAAAACCCATAGAACGCTTGTCCAAACTAAAAGCATAGAATAATTTGTTAAGGGTTTAAAATATTTGTATTTAATTTATTAGCTACTTGTAATATGCTTCATACTGTTTACAATTAAAAAAACTCGATTATAATAGGTATAGTTTAATATTATTATATAGTTAAAAAACAAACATTTTTTTCTGCGGCTACAAATAAAAGTATTAAAATAAAAGTCAGCACAGTGTGGTCGGGGCATTGTGAGGACGGAGTATTATTGAGATAATTAAGATCGGAGAGGTCACATGTTTTCAAAAACTGTTATAACTAAAACGGATAAAATCACTTTAAAATAAACGCCTCGATTAAAATTTGTTGACGGTAGAAATACAAATATCAATAAAATCATTGTTATGACAATAACGTGGATTAAATTGTATTTTTAGTATTAGGGTGGATATGATTAGGGTTCATGGTCTGTCTATAATAAGTTGTTGCCGTTGTTTTCTATACATCATAATATTGTTAACAACGTAATACAATTATTTTAAAATGCCTGTTGACTGTTGATTTACTCACACATACCACAACCTAGTAATTTAGTACAGTCAGAGTGAAATTTATTTTTATTTTTGGGTTTTCCTAAATAAAATAAAAAATCTGTTAAGAGTATACACACTTCATGCAGATACATCAATACCGATCTATAATCTCCTTGAGTCTTAATTATTATATGTAATGGGCAAACGTTTTTTAGTAGTTTTATAATATTTAAGACCAATTGCTACTTATGGTTGCGACACATGGGCCACAACAGCAGGCGTATACAATACACTTATCATCTTTGAGAGGAAAATTTAAAAAAAATTGTATGGCCCTGTTTTCGACGACAATGAGCAAAGATGGTTAAGGAGATCAAATGAAGAATTGAAAATTCTGTATACGAAAGAGGATGTAGTGCAGTTTGTAAGAAGTTCAAGACTTCTTGGGCTGGTCATCAGGCACGGCGCCAGAATTTTTTTCTTAGGGGGGCGGGAAAGGTCAAGTGAATTTTTTGGAGGGGCAACCACAATAATTTTACCTACTTCTGTCAATAAAAAACAATTATAATGATTTATCAGTGAATGACTTTAATATTTATCAGTGAAGTAGTATAAAATATGAATTTATTACAGATTAAGGGACAATATATACTAGTGTACAATTTAAGTAAGGCAACTTTTTTAAATAAGCGTTATTTTTACCTGTCGGCCATCATATAGCTCTTATTGTACTCTATGAAAGTCGAAGTAAAAATGAAGGCTTATAAAACGCCCAACAACCAGTCAGTGGAGATTATAGTTATCGTGTTATACCTACATTCTATTAAACCAAAACAATCCGTCAATAAACACTGAATTTTTGGAAAACACACACACAAACGTAAATATTATAACTATATATATATATATACACCAAAACACATAATTATGTGGGCGACGGATTATTGATAACCGATTGCAAAAGTACTCAAAATAAATTGATAAAAAAAGGCCACATTTGGTGGCAATGTCATAACTAATAACTAAATTTGTATAGATAAACAGGTTTAAATCAAAACAACAATTGTTTTCACAATTTCCGTAATAACTAAATTTGTATATATAAAAATACAGTTATTCAAAATCTGGGTTTTAGGAATAATAATCAAATATTTAAAATTATACTATTTAGCAAAATATCTGGGGGGAGGCGAGAGAAGGGCAAGAATTTGTTATGAGGGGGCGACCGCCCACCCTCGCCCCCCCTTGGCGCCGTCCCTGCTGGTCATGCATGGAGGGCTGATGGTTCCCTTATAAAGATGGTTATGGTAAATCAAATAGATCGGAAAAGACCAAGATAAAGATGGCTTGAAGTTGTAAATAAAGATCTGAAGAAGTTAAAACCGGATTGGAACGGAAACTTGGGTCTAGCTTACGCACGAGAAGTATGGGGGGAATTGGTTTTAAAAGCAAAGAGCATAAATGCCTCGTAAAAGCTTAAAAAATAAAATAAAATAATAATATCTGGCCTTAATCGATTTACTGGCAACATTTATCAATATTTAACATTTCTCATAAATCAATTTCCGTGGTTCACCAGTAAGTGAGTGCCTACTTAACAAATTCATTTGACTATCCTTATATATATCTTTATATCCTTATATATCCTGCAACTTTATGTATCTGCATAAAGTGTAGATACTCTTAACTTAATTTTCATAACATACGCCCTCCATAATCTTATGGAGATTGTAGATCGGAAATAGTTATATAATTTACAGGATATATGGACATATCCATGTATTGATGTATCTGCATGAAGTGTGGATACTCTTAACTGAGTTTACTCAGTTAGTTTTTTCTCTAAAAGGAAGCTAGTCAGAGTCGACTTGGAAAACCCAGTAATTAATAGAGTGAGAACAGCGTATACCCTTTACAGCCTTTTACATTTTTTTGAGAAAATTGATTTTCAGACCTTAAGTCCTACACTACACATAAAAAAGCGAATGAAAGAAAAAGTTTCCACCCGTTCTGAGGGAAGGAGTTTTGGATATTAATTGGTTTGTAAATTTATATAGATAAAGAATATACTATTCAAAAGGGTTACAGCGTACCGTAATTTTTTAGTTAACAAATATTTAAATTATTTTGGTGGTTTTCTCAATTGAAGGATAAACTTTCTAAATTCTCGGTCAATGAAAGTACCTTTTATGTACGATTTTTGATGTATCTACATAAAGAAATCGGTTTAGCGGCTTAGACGATATCTTGGATCTAGACAAAAAAAAACTATAACATATCATTGTAAAAACAATACCTTCTCAACTTTTCGGCTAGTAAATACTTTTAAAAAAATCCTGTGAGGAACCTGTTTGATTCTGTTTCTTAACGTTTAATGAAAATAATCGAGCACATTGCGAATCAATGAACTGGCCTCATTAAATGTTTAAAACAAAATAAATACGTGTAAAGTTTCTGAAAAAAATATTTAGAACCCCATGGTGCATTGTAATTTAATTAATCATTACATTTATAAATTGGTTTACAACCCAGCACTACTAATTTAAGACAAAAAAAAAACAACATATATAATCAATACTTATGATGTTATTGGCAAAAATGACTAATGGATAAGTTCGTTATCACACCTAGATCATAGTATTTATTATTATTGTAATAATTTATCCTTACATTTTATTGCATACAATAAAATTTTAGAATGTCAATAAGATTATTTACAAGTAAGTAATTTTATAAATAAGATTATTTATAAGGAGATACTTGTAGTTTGTAGAGATTATTTTATGTGAAAATATTATAACTTATTTACTAGGTACTTTATACGATAAACAAATAACAAGTGGTACTCTCACTAATTGGAACATTTAGATAATAGTTTTATAGAACAGATTAAAGTAACTGGAGCAAAATATTGTAATTACTTTAAACCTTAATGAAGATTAAAACCAAATATTGTGTTAAATCAGTTTTAAATTGTTTGAAGTGTACATAATTCAACTAAATGACCTCAAATGAATTTTCACTTTAATGCCACGTGACAATAGTATTGTTCGTCCGATTTTTTTGTTTGAAAACGCGAAAATAAATTTTTATCAATATTATCGAGAATTATAATTTGTACATTGAATACCTAATAAATTTTAAAATTAGATAAAATTATTATTTGTAATTAATAACTGTATATATTCAATATTATATGCGCGTTAAACCCACTTTACTTTCAATAAGCTAGTGAAAAGGGTCAGTATAATTAATTTACCTGTATCCTCAACTTTGAAGGGCGATTTGTTATGGCTATGTAGTGAAGTATTCCACCGATTCCATCGACGATAAGAACTGGTTTATATTTGACATAGTCAGTGACCAAGAATATAATTATGATCAAAACAAACATGGAGTATGACCCCACAGCGTAAAGTTCTTTTGGCACCTACAAAGTTGACACGTTATTATCAGTAAAAGACAATAATAAACAAAATTAAGCTGTTAAAAAATATTTTATAACAATTTTATTCCTTGAGGGTTTCTGAAGTTAATAATTTAATAAATACTAACTAGTGTAATACTAAATAGTTGGAATATTGAAATACATAATTATTCATCATCAGAAGTCATTTTTCTAGACGGTTTCCCGCCCAGCAAACAAAACCACCTGACCGAGTGCCGAACCGATGACAGTGAACGCCAACACACTGCCGCCTTACCCACTCGGACATTCGTCTTCCCTTTTTAAATATACATTAATTAAATAATGTATGTATTATGTGTGTTATTTAATGTATGCACTTCATGCGGTTCAATTTATGCATATTTTAATAGACTGCATTAAAACCAAATTTAAATGTTTTTATTTCAATAAACATCATTACCTGTTCAACTGTACAATTGATATATGGACTTGTCATATAAGCCGCGTAAAACGGTTCAATAGGCCTGAACTCCCTAACAAATGCAAACACTCCGACAAACAGTGATATTTTTTTCCAATTTTCCATTTTTTTTTTATTCAGGAATATCTGTTTAACAAACAATTATAATTTTATTTATGAGTTGTGTATACAATTGAACAGAAATATAAGGCACCTAATAATAATATTAAATAGGCTAATGACAGCAATAATGGTTTCAAACTAATAAAAAACAAAATATGTAAAATACAAATACTTAATTAAAATAATATTAACAATTTAAAAATAACAAACAATGATAATATCATATCTCTATACTATACAGATCACAGATGTATAAATTAATGTATAAAAAAAATATTTTTCGAAAAGGTAATTCAAATTTCTTTAGCTGTAATTATGAAATAGCTGGTAAAAAAGTTTTTTTTAAAAATTATTATCATAATTGTTATATTCAAACAATTCATAAAATTAAATGATATATATATATGGAAATTAGTAATTTAAAAATATGTGACTATTCTTAAGTACAAAAGAATACATTTTGGAACAAAACTTGTTTTGTCGTTAATAGGTACTAAATATTTGACTAATTTTTGAAAGCAATTACCTTCATCATTAGAACTAACACAATTTTTTTGAGCAGAATTACATACAATAAAACTAACATATGACAGTTAGTAATTTATTGTTGCTTAAGATTTAAACAAATAAACGATAAATTAAAACAAATTGTATGGCTTTATTATAACAAAAACATACTTAAAAGGTATCTAACTGTCGACTTATCAATTGCTATTCTGCAATACATTTCGTTAAATTAGAAAGCTCTATAAACAATTATCAATTACTTTTATATCTTTATTATTCAACTTTAAATTCATATTTTAAATAATCTATATTCTGTATTTCGAAATAAACTAACAATAAAGCAATAAAAGGATAATTATATATTAAAGATTTTAACAATGGGTACGGTATTAGTGTTATTAAGATTTACATATTGCAATCGCAAATTATAAAACTAAAATATTTTTTAGTTCAATTTTAAAATTGTTATTAATTAAACCTTAATGAGTTTTGAATAGTAAACTGTGAAGTATATTTTTAGTTAACTAATGTAAAGTGTTTAAATCAGTAAGTGTGCATAATATACAGTACAGTAACTAGTAATAAAGATTTAAATATGTTATTATAATAATTATAATATATAAATTAAAAGAATTACGATATCATTAAACCGTCGTATTTTTTATAATATTAGTTATCTGATCATAACATGTTCTGACCACATCTGATTAACACTCGTAGTTGAAATAATAATTATATCAAGAAAATTGGATATTGTAGAAATATTTAGGCATGAACTGATGTAATTTTTATTAAATAATTCATAAGAACGAAAATTTAAAATCCTTATAAATAAATAAATAAATTATAGTTAAATAATTAAAATTATTTCTAAGGTTCAATGGGAAAGTGAGAAGTTATTTTTTATGTTTTGTCTGTCTATATAGAAATATAAATTATAATAAATATGTATGTATTATACATTTTCTATTATGTATTTTGTACACATAAATAAAACTTAAAATATATACTACTCACATTATGTACCAAAGTTTTTTTAAAAAGTCAACACCTTCCTGATGGAATGAACGAAATTTCACATCTGAGTACTTGTCATCGGTACAGACTGCCTTTTATATAAATATTATCATTTGAAGCACCAATTTCTTAATCCATAAGATTAATTATATATTTATTAGTAAGCGGCGTAATAAGCCAATTGTATAGGATACATAACACGGGTTTTTTATATAAAAATTATAATATGCAGGTATACAACGTGGAGAGCACACTCCGACCACTCTGACTGAAATACCGCCAATGACTGAAATCTAAATACGCTGGCAAATAAGGCAACGCATGATTCAAACCAGTTTATAGTTTCTTATGAAAATTATTCTCGTCTCGTGACTACATTGTAATGGGAGGAGGGTAACCTAAGTTTTTCGGAACTCATTTGAATAGCCATTAGTTTATATATTATCAGTTATCGATATTATATAAGCATATAAAGACACTATGATTCATTTTTAATTAATTCATATAATTGCTATGATTACTGTTTATTATTGTTAATATTAATTATGTTTAAGGATAAGGTACACATTTTTAATGTCATCTAAGGAGTAAAAAGATCTATACATTTAGATAGTTTAAAAAAAATCAATTGATGTGTTTTAAACATTGTGTAACAAAATTGATTAGACATTATGTACTAAATTGTACACTATAACATATTTTATTATAATATGTTATAGACATTGGTCATCACTTTTTATTGGCTAAAATATGTTTATAATTTAAGTTACTTACGATATTGTTGTTATTTAATTGTATGAAATCAGCTCAACAACAAAGTTAATTAAAATTCAGTATAACATAAACTCAAAATATATATACTCAACATATAATCGTCTATATTTCTTATGACCTGAAATGATGAAATTTCTTATGTACACGAGATGTTAAAATTACCAATTGCAAAGTTCTTCGGCATAAAATTTGAGTTTTCCTTTATGGAGCTAAGACGGTGTTGATTTTACAATTATGTTTTGTAATACGTTCAGTAGCGCAACCAGCGGCGAAGCTTCAATCACTGAGGGCCCCAATTTTTATCGACTTCAAGGGCCCCCGACGGCCTGGCCCAACACCAATATTAGACTATTTTAATAATCCACAACAAATGTGAAAAACATAGATATTATATTTTAAATTTTATGTGTTTGGGAAAATATTTTGAGAGTATTGAATGGGGTATTCAAATCATTCCAGAATTCTAAAACAAATTTGCACAATGAATGCCAATACTTGGAAAGAGCTAAAACTGTTACAGAAAACTTATGAGATGGCTATGGAAATATATTTTTAGAATATTAAGATTTAAATTTCAGTTGGGGAATTTCTACTAATTTTCATGTGAAAAGGAATCGATTTGCTACACAATAATTTGATGGTGATTGTCGACTGATGACAACTTCCGCGTTAAATTTTTTTTCCAGTGATTGATACTGTACTACTTCAACTAGACTCAAGATTCAAGGACTAAAACGACTTACAGAAAGTCGTTATTTATTATTTTTTATAATGTTAACTAAATTAGATGAAAATGAGATCTCCAAGGCTGCAATGGACTTTTTTCATTTATTTGTATAAATGATGATATATCTTCAGATTTTACTAGACAATTATTGTGCATAAGAGGATGATTAAACAATATATACATATTCTAACTATTAAGGATCGCGCTTTATTTATTATTAAAAATTATTTCTGTACAACATACTGTGATATTGAACTACCTGTATAGTTTAACTGTAGCAACGACTGAGTGATCTTTCTCAAAATTGAAGCTAATTGAAAACTATTTGAGGAACAGTATGGGTCAGGATCGCCTTTCCAATATTGATATTTTGAACATAGAAGAGGCGTTACCAGTAAACTAAATTTGGAAAAAATGATTTCATCATTTTCTCTTTCCAAAATAAGAAAAGTACATTTTCTCAAATGAATACACATTTGTAATATTATCAAAAATATAAATTAATTTATTACTTATAAGTTAATAACATTATTATTATTTTAAATTATTTATTGTACGGATTTATGGCCATTATTCTTAGTTCTATTTTGTTATTATATAAATCACAAGCTGTCCGGACTCGGCGTTACCGGGGATTTAGTTTACCAGGGCTGAGTAAAATAATTACCATTCCCACCCCTCATCTCTAATCTCTTATCAGATAACAGCGTGGCAACGTTTTTGTGACACTTTTTTCGGTTATTATATCCCCCTATTACTCAAGGGCCCCAGTCCCAGTCCCAGATCCCGTTCCAATAGTTAAAAGCTTGCCCAAAATCGTGGTACAAATCGGCCTGTTCCTTTAATCATCACCTACCATTTGCTCGAGTACTGTGGTTACCATGGCTACAAACAAAGTGTTTATTTTGGGTTATCAACAAAAAATATTTCGTATATAAAGTACAAAATTCGTGTTGAGGCCACCCTTAGGGATGGAATTTTCAAAAAGTACTATGCCAGTTAAGTTCGCGGGAGTGTACTCAACAACTTCCCAAAGTTTCATGGCGATACGATAAATAGTGTACTAATTCATAAAGGAAAGACAAACAGACAGACATTAATTTTTATATATATATATATAGATAAAATAGAGTTATTACCCATATTGTATGTAATAAAAATAAGGCTATTTTTAATTAAATTATTCAAAATATTTTTAAAAGGTACTCAATTCTGCTTGATGCATTCTATAATAATACCTAAGACATTAACACCGCAGTGCCTGCGTTTTTAAATGTATTTGTATGTATCCCTAACCTCCATAATTCCCAATGGCTTCTTAATTGTATTTTCATTTTCTATTTTTAAAACTATGATTGTTATAACATTCGTTTCAATCAGAATCTAAAAAAAAATGTAGTTCTGTAAACTCCGTCATGTCCGTTATTATCGAGTTTTCCTAATTTATCAAGGAAAAAGCTAAAAGTTCATTAACATTAACTTATTTTTTACCATCGTCATTTTTTCGTCTCTAAATGTTTTTTTAAGGATTAGCGTAAAAAAAATCTTAAACGAGGGGCACTCCATTAAAAACGACACTAGGGCCCCAATTGGACTAGTTGCGACACTGAATATTATGTTGTGCTTATATCTTCATAATATTTCTGAAACTAATACCTAATACGATACATTTTTTTATTGGTCTACATATTTTAATGAACAATCTCAAAAATATTCTAAAACGTTTAACTGTTTATAGCAACACGAAAATTATTAACCCACAAATGCCACAGTAATAGACGTAGCCATAGACTATAGACGGAACACCTAAAAAATAACAGAAATAAAACGTCTTATTATTCAATGAGACGTCGGATGATGATGTTATAATTTATAATAAACAATAGTCTATGTATTGGTATATCACACAAAACAATGAATTAGCATGTATTTTAAGAGGTATATTAAGTATTATGTATTTATACAAAACTGGTAGTTATCAACACAGATAAACATTATTATATTATTAGTATTCTATGTAAGACTTCAACATTTACACAAATCTATGAAGTTTTTGAAAAAACAGCATATAAATAAGGCAAATAAAACTTGTAAACGTAAACCCTAAATGAACATTTTTTTTCTTCGATTAGAAACAAAAATGATTCCAGGAGCATGAATTTTAGTAGAAATCGATTAATGATTCTAATTGACACATTTTGTTGACCCGAATACAATGGACAATTTCTTAGACATGTCAAGAAATAATAATTAATACTCATGATTTGCCATTGTCACAAATGTACCACTGACGGTGAAATTACCTATATAACATTTTCATTTAGTTATAAATCTAACATATTATAAATATGTTATTTTCAGTAGCAGAAGAAAATAAGTTAGGTCCATAAAGTGAACATATATTCAATCAACTATTAGGCAACTATTCATAATTAATATATATTATAATCAATTCGGTCGTGTAAATTGGTAGTTAAACACTTTTTGTAATTACTTATTAGGTAATTATCATATGAAATACATCTAATTAAACTAATTATATAATTGACAATAATATGTCAGTGATAGTTAAATTCTAATTAAATAACTTAACAAAAAATTGTCAAAAATGTGAAGGCTGAAATAAATAAGTAATAACAAATAAGTAACATTTTAATATATTATCTTTAAAAAATGTATTCTGCCAGTAACCGATAGAAACAAACTATTCGTATTAGTATAAAATATGTAATAAGGTGGACATCCATATCCATATTGTCAAGATATTAACAATTATAATGATTTATGGCTTTAAATTTACGGTAAACTGAATTTTGCTAAATGTTTAATCAGATATTGAAAGAGTTACTGGTTAGTGGTTATATTGGTTCAAAACGTTATTTATCGATTTGTTCCGCCCAAAAACGGAAAATATGATTAATTTATCAAAAAAAAAATTAATAAAATAAAACATGGTTAGAGTTATTAGTTTCTAATAAGAAATTAGAAATAAGAATATGCTGCCAATTTTTGATTACTTTATATTTAACTATAATAAGAGAAATATTACTAATATTGATTGGTTTAATTAATATTTTGATACAAAAAGAAACAATCACATTTCCTATTGTAAAACTAATACTGTCTTAGTTTCGCATAAAATATAACAATTTTTTATTTTAATATTTTTTTATCGTATAATGTAATGTCAATTAGGATAATTGTTAATAATGGAGCAAATGTAAACGGAACTTGTTATAAAAAAATTTAAAATATTTATTTATTATGTAAATTAATATTTTATAACTAAAAACTTTAGTCTAGCTGTTGAAGAATATGCGTATCGGTTTTTAAGGACACACTATATATCATATATTTCCATCATTTTTTTTTGTATAAATCGTTTAATGATTATCGTTTTCATATTTGTTATATATTTTATTTCGTAATAATTATTGAATAAGTACCTCTTAAATAGGCTAATTGCTACTATAATAATTGTAGTTATTCTTTTTATCATTATTTTTATTGTATTTCTATGTTATTATGTTATTTATTTCTATGTTTGAAGACACTTAATTATTTCAACTAATTTTTTTAAAATATATATACATATATATATATGTTACTTTCACTTCTCCATATCTTTATTATTGTTATTATTATATGTAAAACATTTTATGTACCCTTGTCCCTAGTATTGTAAGACAATTTAAATTATCAGAAATTTTTTAAAACAAATATAATTTACATTTACTCCCTTTGCTTTCGAGTAGCCAACATTGGAAATTAAA